CTTAATCGCCTGTCGCTGCCCGATGGTGAAGTACCAGAAGCCCCTGTGCGCGCCCAGGGCCTCACTGCTATGTGTGTCTGTGGGGCTGGTGGTGGTGAATGAACTAAGGAAGGGCGCACACAGCAGCAGCAGCAGCAGCAGCCACCTCCTCACTCACCACGGTCCGCCAGACAGCTTGATGCCCTGGCGCTGCCCGATGGTGAAGAACCAGAAGCCTCTGTGCGTCCCCAGGGCAGGGCCTCCCCGCTCTGTGTTTGTGCGTGTGTGTGTGTGTACGAGGGGGGTGTATGAACGACACTCAGGGATGAGTGAGCGACACACAAACAACTGGCTTCACTCGCCACGGCCCCCCGGACAGTTTGATGCCCTGCCGCTGCCCGATGGTGAAGAATCAGAACCCCCTGTGCACCCCCAGGGCCTCCCCGCTCTCTGTCTGTGCGCTTGAGTTTGAAGGTGGCGAAAGAATGAGTGGACCACACACACACTCCCTCCCTTCGCTCACTCACCACAGTCCCCCAGACAGCTCGATGCCTTGCCGCTGCCCGATGGTGAAGAACCAGAAGCCTCTGTGCGTCCCCAGGGCCTCCCCGCTCTCTCTGTGTGCTTAAATTAGAGCACAAACACCATCAAGGCCACACAAAACAGCTCTCACTCACCAGGGCCCGCCCGAAAGCTTAATTCCCTGCCGCTGTCCAATTGTGAAGAACCAGAAGCCTCTGTGCGTCCCCAGGGCCTTCCCACTCTCTGCCTCCACCAGCAACCCCTCCTGCTCGCCCACGTGCCGTGCCACAACTCAGGGAACTTCACCTGGTGACAGAGATAAGACAGGTATAAGACATGTACAAGAGTAGAAAGTCCCGTGTGCAAGTGGGAGCAACTGGGTGGGTGCCAATGAATCGCCTTCCCACTCTCTGCCTCCACCAGCAACCCCTCCTGCTCGCCCACATGCCGTGCCACAAACTCGGGGAACTTCACCTGGGATACAAGAGCAGGATAGGTACAAGGGTAGACAGGCAGGTGTGCAATTTGGTACAAGAGTAGGAACAAGGGTGTGAAACAAGTCGCCTCGCCCCTCTCTGCCTGCACCAGTAGCCCTCCTGCTCGCCCACGTGCCGCGCCACGAACTCAGGGAACTTCACCTGGTAAAAAGATGGGATGGGAAATCTCAGAGGTTTTCAAATGTTTAAGATGGTCTGAGGAGTTGGGCTGGGTTACAGCCACTTGAAAGGAAAATAAGCTGGGCAATAGAGAGTGGACTGTGGAGACAAGGTAGCCAACACAAAAAAAAAAAAGACCAGACATACGGAAAGAGAGTATATGAGGGAAGAAGTTTACAGTGAGATACCTTCCCCAAGCCAGGGCTTCCCCAGGTCGTGCCTGATACCTTCCCCAGGAAGCAAATCCTTTGGGAGTGCTTCTGGCTCGGGTTCGGCAGGTTGAACGCCGACGCCAGCTGTCGCACCTGAATCTTGAATCTACCTTCTTCCCAGGCCTTGCCTTCCGCAAATCTTACCTTCCCCAGGAAGCAGATCCCCTGGGAGTCCTTCCGACTCTGGTTGGGCAGGGCAGAAGAAATTCCACCTGAATCTGCCTTCAGCATGCCGTGCTTTCACCATGCCCTGATTTCACCATGCTGTGCCTTCCCCAGATCGTACCTTCCCTAGGAAGCAGATCCCCTGGGAATCCTTCCGGCTCTGGTTGGGCAAGTTGAATGCTGCCGCCAGCTGTCGCACCTGGGACTGCTTGGGGAAGAAAGGACGGACGTGATAAGAGGAAGAGGGAGTGAGGAAGAGGGCGGAGAGGAAAAACAGGGGACAGGACAAGAGGGCGAAGACGGAAGGGGGCAAGATGGCAAAGAGGGAAGAGGGCCAGAGGTCAAACTTTTGAGGCGCCTCAAAAATCGGACGAGGGCAAGAAAGATGGCAAAGAGGGAAGAGGGCCAGAGGTCAAAGGGCAAAAAGGATAAGAGAGAGGCATACACTGGTGAGGGCAAGCGGGCAAGAGACTGAGAGAGCAGCATACCTTGGTGAGGGCCCCGAGAGGGAACATGACTCGAGACAGCTGCTGCTGGGATAGGTGCGAGAGGAAGTAAGTCTGATCCTTCACCTGGAGAAATCAGTTGAGTGGGAGAAGACAGGGCGAAAGGGACGTAGCAAGGAAGAAGAGTTGATATCCTCTGGGAACATGACTCGAGACAGTTAAAAGGCGTCTGCAATCTGCGGTGTCACCTGGGTGAATACTGACACTTCTCAAAAGAAAATGTCTGTAACCTGTGGTATCGCCTGGGCACCTGGGAGGATGCTCACCTCGTCGGCTGAGAGGACCAGGCGCACAGCAGCAGACTGGCCGGGAAGAGAAGGGCCAGCTGATGAGCGGACAACGGCGATGCGGTGCCATGTGGTTGTAATGAGTGAAGTGTTTTGCGGCCGAGATAGGGCCTACAAAATTGACTGAATAAGCGATGTGAGAATTCGACTAGAGGTTGAATGACACTTACGGAAGGGAGAGGGAGCGAGTGAGAGCGGTTCAGCAACATTGTTTTCATACCTGGTGGGTGTAAGCCAGAGATGTGGGACTGCGAGAGGGGAAGGGGACGGATAGAAAGGCAAGCAAGGCAGCGATAGCGAGGGAGTGAAGGAGGTGCAAAGACGAGAGAGCGTGTTGACTGCGCACCTGGTGCATGTGAAGGCGCCCCAGCAGACAGATATATCCCATTCATCTGCTGGAGTCCTGAATATACCAAACAACACTCCATCCACCTCCTCAGCTCGAGAGCAGTCGTCAGCAGAGGGGAACAGCTGCCTCACGGTGAATAGATTCTCCAGAACTTCAGCACCACTATAACCTCCTTGGTCCCTCTCCTCAGCTCGAGAAGAGTCGTCAGCAGAGGGGAAAACAGCTTCTCACAGTAATTAAATTCTCCAGAATCTGAGCACCACTATAACCTCCTCCTCCGTCCCTCTCCTCAGCAGCTCCACCCCTTCAAATCCCAACTCTTTCATCCTTTCCCGCACCTCTTCAGGGTCATTTTCCGCAACAACAAGCAGGTAAAACACTCCTCTCGGGGACAAAAGCTCCGCCGAAACCTTCATAACTCGATCTATTACCTCCCTCCCACGATCCCCTCCTGCCCAGGCTTGCGTGATTCCTGGTCGGTGCATTTCTTGCGGCGAAGTGGGGACGTATGGCGGGTTGAAGATGAGAATGTCTACTTGGCCTGCCATCCTCGGTATAAGGGCCGATCCGAGATCCGATATAAGGACGTCCGCTGGAATGCTGTGGGCTGCTAGGGTTTGTCGGGTGATGTCTGCGGCATGGGGATTAATGTCCACTGCGAGAAATGCGGATTGAGTGGCAAGGGAGACGGCAGCATTAGGAGCAGCACGACCACTACCAGCATCCCTATCGGCAGTACCAGCACCATCAGCGCCGCCAGCACTGCTAGCAGCACCACTGCTGCTTGCGTTAACAGCCGGGGTAGAAGGGGCAGAGAGGGCGCGGAGAGCGAGAGCCACTGATGTAAGGACGAAGCCGCTTCCGGACCCCAGCTCGACAACCAACGCAGGGAACGAGGGACGGCCAGAGGAGATGAGGTGGGCATGAGGAGGATGGGAGGACGTGGAGTAGTCTGAGGGAGGGGACGCGGGGGATTTGTGCGAGATCAACGATGGTGGAAGGGTTTGATTGGATGACGGACTGTTGTTGCTAGCGCAGGTTGCAAGCGACGGGTAGAACCGAGCGATGTCCGCGGCGATGGCATCGGCGAGGGCGAAGGAGTCGTCGCACGGCTCGTACACCTCGGGATGACGTGGCATGAGTCGCAGATCTGGCTGTGGCCAGCTCTCCCTTCTCTGGCGTCGCTGCTGCTGCATTTGGGAGGTAGGCATGACTGGCTGTATGGCGAATGGCCGAAGCCCGTTGCCCCCGTGTCGGAAGCTGTCATATATTCTAAGGGCGCTCAGACTGATTGTATAGTACAGGCTAATGCACCACAATGAGTTGCGTTTATCGGTTAGAATCAAAACCTAACGGTACAATCATTCGAACAAAGCCGTTAATTGAGCGATAACGCAGCGCGACACGGGGAAGAGGGAAGCTCGGGAGGAGACGAGCAGCAATTTCGCCAGATCTTACATACGAAGTAATGATCTTGCGACATCACTCCACTGGCGGTTCAAAGCGGTTCAGTACTGTAGAGCGCCAAGTTTTTAGCAGAAATGTTCACGGATTTGTACCGTCTTGCAAACCTCATAATTGCGCAGAGCAAAGCAAGAAAACCTCCGCCGAAACCCCAACAAACATACTCGATACAGAATGGTTGGTTGCGTTTGCAGCCTCAAAGCATTTTTACTGTACAAAACTTTACAGTGGCAAACGGCAGAAGTGGCAGCAACATCCTTGTCCTCTTGTGTTCTGTAGTGATGGGCTTCAGTTGTGCTTGGGGGAAACTTGTCAGTGTCGTGGCAGGGAAAGGTAGGAAATGACGTTGGAGCGTTTGTTGGTCGGCGCTGTTGCGAGGGGGGAAGGAAGCGCAAGGTTCTATTGCGTTGCGTGTTTGCCAAACTAGCGTGTTTTGCAGCAGCACGCTATGGCTTCGAGTTTCGAGCAAGAGGAAGCGCCGCCGTTACAGAGCTGGCGGAAGCGACCCGAGCGTTACCGCATCAAGGAAATGGAGGGGGGGACGGAGGGAGGGATGGACGGAGGGAGGGACGTACAGAGGGGGGGACGGACAGAGGGAGGAAGCGAGAAAGTCTACCCTCACAGCTGGCGTGTGCGATAGGGATCCCGTCGAAACGCGCCCGTCCACGACTTCATACTAATATCTCTCGGACAGATGTTCCTCCAGCCAAACAGACCAACTTCGCACAATCCGTTAGCTCAACGCAGCGTGCCATTGCGTTGCCTTGTTCATCCATCATTAATCATAAGCTACTCCTCTGTTCTCGCACGTCTAATTTTGGGACTAGCTCGGCATGGCGTCTCGTACCTTCGTACTCGCAATGCTTCTGCTCCTCGCAGCGGCTTTGTCGCCAGCCGTCAATCTTGCAGTCGCTCAAACCGTTACCGTCGGGCCAAACGGTTCGGTGAACGGTAACGGTTATTCAACCGACGCGGAGGATGGCAGCGTGACGGTAAACGGCACGACCTTCTTTCCGAATGGCACAATTCTAAACGGTGACGGTCAGACGATCACCCCGACAACGAATGCGGACGGATCTGTATCTGCCGGCGGTTTCACCGTCTATCCGAACGGGACCGTCACTTCTGACGGGACAACCGTCAATCCTGGCGGCGGGATTACGCTACCCGGCGGGCTCAACATCAGTACCGGCGGCGCCGGCGGGATTCAGACGCCGGGATTTTCGGTGAATCCTGACGGAACAGTGACCGTTAAACAAGCCGCGCCGCCCGCACCCAAGACTGCTGGTAGGTACCGTGGCTGCTATTACTAGGCACCCTCTGTGTATGCCACATCAAACCTGGACGAAATCATGGCCGTAAATCAGGCCTCTGGTTCCGCAACCAAACCTGCTGATAGAACCACCATTTCGATTTCGTCTTTCTGTGGCTCTCACACGGAGAACACAACGCTCGCGGAAGAGGTGTACCTGCTATATAGTTTGCACTACAGTGTTTCCACAATGTGATTTCAACCACATTGCTGGATGTCCTAACCTACAAGTTCCTCTGCACCCGCTGTTTTCCCGTAACAGGATCGCTCGCATGTCCTGCGAGCATATCGATTAGCCTCTTTACCACCCTGCTGGCCACTCTCCTCTTCTGCGCATAAACTACTGTCTCAAACTTTTGAGGACTTCGTCGAGTCCGAAATAGGTTCTATGGAGTCCGAAATAGGTTCTATGGAGTCGGAAATAGGTTCTATGGAGAAATTAGGCTGTGCGTGAAAAGTTCTGGAGTTGAAAAACTGGGTGTTGGATTTGGTGCAAGTTCCGCAACAGGATTGTGCGTTGGGCAAGGGCAAGTGTACTCGTTATTGAGTGGGCGGATTGGCGAATGGGTGTATTCCAACTTATTTGGAAGCTAGTTAGCCGGTGCATGCTTCTAGTCAGCATTAGTAATGAATGTGTGGATATTTCTACAAGTGCAACGACCAGTTCTTGGCGTGGTAATGCATGAAGACGAATAATGCAGGACCGATACAAAGATATGGCGCTTCCAATAATAACAGAAAAGCTCCGTCAAGCACAAACACAAATGCTCCACAATTGAAGGCGTGCATTTCACTCTACCTTGGGCAAATATTGGTACCACACATACCATACCAGTTACTACAATCATGGAGATTTTTCTTTCTTTCTTTCGAGTTGTCGCATCATCTCCTTGCAGCCAGATGAGCTGCACGAAGGGAGTGGTGGCTCCATTCACATGAACATTCATTCAGGGCGGAGCTTCACAGAGCAGCACTCTTGTGTCGAAGCCCAGCTCTACAGAGACACTATGGAGGCCCAATCTTCCCGAGCCCGAACCCTCTCAGCACGTCTGCTCACAACCAGATGAGCCCCGAGTCTGGAATGGTGGCTTTGGCACAGACGAATGCGCAGCCGGGCTAGTGCTTGGGTGTGTATATCCTGCCCCCTACCTTAACCGATCAAATCTTACAGCAAGCAATCAAGGAGGGCCGATCTTTTTTAGCCCTCTCAGCACGTCTGCTCGCAGCCAGATGAGCCCCGAGTCGGGAATGGTGGCCTTGGCGCAGAAGAAGGCACAGTCAGGCTGGTGCTTGGGTGGGTGTGTAAAAATGTCACCCTTATCAGAATTGATCAATCTTTCTCCTATCAGCAATCAAGGAGGGCCAATCTTCTTGAGCCCTCGAAGCACGTCTGCTCGCAGCCAGATGAGCCCCGAGTCGGGAATGGTGGCCTTGGCGCAGAAGAAGGCACAGTCAGGCTGGTGCTTGGGTGGGTGTGTAAAAATGTCACCCTTATCAGAATTGATCAATCTTTCTCCTATCAGCAATCAAGGAGGGCCAATCTTCTTGAGCCCTCGAAGCACGTCTGCTCGCAGCCAGATGAGCCCCGAGTCGGGAATGGTGGCCTTGGCGCAGAAGAAAGCGCAGTCAGGCTGGTGCTTGGGTGCATCAGGGTCGGCACAGTGCACCAGAGCAGGGTTGGTGGCGTTGGGAGGGGGCTGTAGGAGGGGTCTGCGGGAACAAGGAATAAAAGTAGTGGAGCCGCCGGGGGGGGGGGGGGGGGGGGGGGGGGGAGAGGAGGGGGGAGAGGAGGGGGGAGAGGAGGGGGGAGAGGAGGGGGGAGAGGAGGGGGGAGAGGAGGGGGGAGAGGAGGGGTAGCAGACAGAGGGAGGCATGAGTAACACCCAGTCCCATTGGTGCTTGGGTGCGTCGGGGTCAGCACAGTGCACCAAAGCAGGCTTGGTGGCGTTGGGAGGGGGCTGAGGGAAGGGCCTGGAATAAGTGTTGGTTGAGCAATCGAGAGTGGATGGAGAGGGGAGACATGGGAGAGAGAGAAGTGGGGACTCGCTGTCTGGTGCACATCTCACAGTCTGGTGCACATCTCACAGTCTGGTGCAGATGTCACTGTCTGGTGCAGATGTCACAGTCTGATGCAGATGTCACAGTCTGGTGCAGATGTCACAGTCTGGTGCAGATGTCACAGTCTGGTGCAGATGTCACTGTTTGCAGTGGGTTCAATGATGTAGAAGGGGTCCTGCAGCACATCATGGTACTTCTCCAAAGCAGCGCCCAGTACAGCGGCCTTGTTCAAGGAAAGTGACATGGGAAAGAGGAATCATTTTTGAGAATTCTCAAAAGGGAAGAGACATGGAAAAGAGGGAAATGGGAACTCACTGCTTGGTGCAGATCTCGTTGGCTGTAGGTTCGGTGATAGCAGAGGGGTCCTGAAGCACATCATGGTACTTCACCAACAGCAGCGCCCAGTACAGCCGCCTGCCACTCCATGTGCCTACCTTTCTACCTTTCTAGCTACCAACCAATACCTGGAAATGCCTTGTTTCAAAGGGGAGAAACAGAAGAAAGTGGGAACTCACTGCTTGGTGCAGATTTCGTTGGCAGTCGGCTCAGTGATAGCAGAGGGGTCCTGCAGCACGTCATGGTACTTGACCAACAGAAGCGCCCAGTACAGCCGCCTGCCACTCCACGTGCACGCATACTGCGCCATGTGGTTCGCTGCATGCACCAGCCTCTGTGCTGCATCGTCGTTCTCCTGAGCCCAGCGAATTTTAGCAGGGAGATCGGAGAATCTGAGGGTTGCGAGGGAATAGAGAGGCATGGAGAGGGGTCGTTGAGCTGTCTCACATTCCCCCCAGAACAGCCACCTGCCTGCCTGCCACTCCACGTGCACGCATACTGCGCCATGTGGTTCGCTGCATGCACCAGCCGCTGCGCCGCATCGTCGTTTTCTTGGGCCCAGCGGATCTTGGCCGGCAGATCGGAGAATCTGAGGGTTATGTTGGAGTAGAGAGGGGTGGAGAGGGGTTGTTGAGTTGAGCCGCCTCACATGCCCCCCAGTACAACCGCCTGCCACTCCACTCCACGCGCACGCAAAATACTGGGCCATGTGCTTTGCTGCGTGCACCACCAGCCGTTGCGCCGCATCGTCGTTTTCTTGAGCCCAGCGGATCTTGGCCGGCAGGTCGGAGAATCTGAAAGAAGAATGGACAAGGGCGAATAATTCGTTATAGGATTCTCGAAAAATGAAAGAAGAAGGGTTAAGGGGGGTTGCTGAGCGTTCATGGGACCTGGTAGATGGGGAGGGAGCGGCACTGCTGACACGACTTACCAAGGGGTCAAAGCACCTTGTCGTGGCTTGGCTTCACAGGAATGTGGTTCAAGAATCCTATACCGGGTGAACACCGGTGAACACTTTGAAGAAATGCACACCGGGTCGATCCGACTGGCCCGACTCGATTTTCCTGACCCGAGGCAGGTTCGGGCGGGGACGGGTCGACCCTCCCCGGATGAGTAAGAACTCTGAGGAATCCAGCCCGGCCCGGGAATTTAGGGGCGGGTCGGATTGACCCGAGTTGACTCAAAAGTCAAGTTGGGTCGGATTGACCCGAGTTGACTCAAAAGTCAAGTTGGGTCGGATTGACCCGAGTTGACTCAGAAGTCAAGTTGGGTCGGATTGACCCGAGTTGACTCAGAAGTCAAGTTGGGTCGGATTGACCCGAGTTGACTCAGAAGTCAAGTTGGGTCGGATTGACCCGAGTTGACTCAAAAGTCAAGTTGGGTCGGATTGACCCGAGTTGACTCAAAAGTCAAGTTGGGTCGGATTGACCCGAGTTGACTCAGAAGTCAAGTTGGGTCGGATTGACCCGAGTTGACTCAGAAGTCAAGTTGGGTCGGATTGACCCGAGTTGACTCAAAAGTCAAGTTGGGTCGGATTGACCCGAGTTGACTCAAAAGTCAAGTTGGGTCGGATTGACCCGAGTTGACTCAAAAGTCAAGTTGGGTCGGATTGACCCGAGTTGACTCAGAAGTCAAGTTGGGTCGGATTGACCCGAGTTGACTCAGAAGTCAAGTTGGGTCGGATTGACCCGAGTTGACTCAAAAGTCAAGTTGGGTCGGATTGACCCGAGTTGACTCAAAAGTCAAGTTGGGTCGGATTGACCCGAGTTGACTCAAAAGTCAAGTTGGGTCGGATTGACCCGATGGGAAATGGGTCGGGAACATTCCGGCCAACCCGCCATCTACTTGTGATTGTGCGGGAAGGCAATGTGGTTTCTAAACCAAGTGAAAGCTCATAGGCAGGGTCGGACAAAACAAGGATGATATACAGTGGTTCACGAGGACTATATTCATTCAGAGGCGTGGGTAGTTGTGAAGTCCGGTCAAGAGGGGTTGGAAAACAGAAAATAGATTAAAGGTCATTGTTGAGAACAGTTGAGAACAGTTGAGAACAGTTGAGAATGGTTGAGAATGGTTGGCATAGCATCATACGTGAGAGTGGTGGTAACTAGCCAGTGCACTCCGCCCTCCAGCAGCGGCTCATAGAAGGAGGGGTGTCTACTGTTACCTGGTTACCAGCAGGCATGGTTAGTCACGTGTGTGTGAGTGAGTGGTATGCACACAACCTCCAGCAGAGGTTCTTAGAAGTGAAAGAGCGGCGTCTGTGTGGTAAGGTAATTGGTTTACCATACCAGCAGGCACCATTGTTACTCACGTGCGGGTGGTAACCAGCCAATGCACCCCATCCTCTAGCAGCGATTCGTAGAACTGAAAGAGAGGAGTCTGTATGGTTAGCAGGTTACCAGCAAGCACCTTTGTAGGTCGCAACTCACGTGCGGGTGGTAACCAGCCAATGCACCCCATCCTCCAACAGTGCTCGTAGAACTGGAAGAGAGGAGTGTGTATGGTTACCAGGTTACCAGCAGGCAACCAGGTTACCAGCCAATGCACCCCTTCCTCCAGCAAAGGCTCGTAGAACTGGAAGCGAGGCGTCTGCATGGTTACCTGGTTACCAGCAGCAGACATCGACACTCACGTGCGCGTGGTAACCAGCCAATGCACCCCATCCTCCAGCAGCGGCTCGTAGAACTGGAAGAGGGGCGTCTCCTGGCGGATGCTCAGCTGATTTGATCGCAGCACTCCACACGTCCTGCAGCTGCCACCCCCACCATCAACGATCACCTGAAAATGGAGGGAAAAGGGCACGAGGATGGGAACGAGAAAGGATGGCCTGTTGCTCGTGAACCCGGTGGAAGAGGGGCGTCTCCCGTCGAAGCTGGTAGGATCGCAGCACTCCGCACGTCCTGCAGCTGCCGCCTCTCCCGTCGATGGTCACCTGATGGAGGTGGGAAGAGGAATGAGAAGGGGTAAGAATGGCTTGCTGTGGCTACGGGAAGTGTGGCTCGTAGAACTGGAAGAGAGGCGTCCCCTGTCCTGTCAGATCAGATGCTCAGCTAATTCGATTGCAGCACTCCGCACGTCCTGCAGCTGCCCCTTCCCCCATCGAAATTCATGCGTTTCGCCAGCAACTCTCCGTCTTCAGCCATGGCTGGCGAAACCGCGGGCTTGGCGTGGCTCCACGCGTTGATGTGAGCCTCCATGAGCGCAGAGAGCACTCCACCTCTCCCTACACTACCCACCTGGTACTTAAAGGCATTGAATTGGGTGAAGTTCATTCTCTTCGCCAGCAACAGCCCGTCCTCCGCCATGGCTTTAATAGCAGCCGGCTTGGCATGGCTCCACGCGTTGATATGAGCCTCCATCAGTGCCAAGTGCACGTCTGACAGCCGGTGCAGTCCACTGCACGTCCCACCCTCGTTCTCCCCCTCTCTTACCCCCCATCTCTCCCTCCCTCCAAATGACACCTCACCTGGAATTTGAATGCATTGAATTGGGTGAAGTTCGTTCTCTTCGCCAGCAACAACCCATCTTCCGCCATGGCCTTGATCACCCCTTAAGGTCCCATCCACCCCACTCCCACTCCCACTACCCACCTGGTACTTGAACGCGTTGAATTGAGTAAAATTCATGCGTTTCGCCAGCAACGATCCATCTTCCGCCATCGGTTTAATAACCGTGGGCTTGGCATGGCTCCACGCATTTATGTGAGCCTCCATCAGCGCAAAGTGCACATGTGACAGCCGGCGTGTGCAACCCCACCGCCTCTGAGACTCCCATCAGATACAGCTCCCCTTACCTGGTACTTGAAAGCATTGAATTGGGTGAAATTCATGCGTTTCGCCAGCAGCAGCCCATCCTCAGCCATCGCTTTAATAACAGCGGGCTTGGCATGGCTCCACGCGTTGATGTGCGCCTCCATCAGCGCAGAGTGCACGTCTGACAGCCGGTGCAGCCGCACACGCGGGTTGGCGCCCCAGTTGCCATCCAGCATGTCAAAGTTGGTCGTCTTTCCGCGGAATACTGCTCGTGCCTCCTTTCTTTCCCAGGGTACCTGGGGTTTGAGGGATTTGTGACAAACAGAGGGTCATCAATACACTCGCACTTGTGTTAGCCTCCATGAGAGCAGAGTGCACATCTGACAGCCGGTGCAGCCGCACACGTGGGTTGGCGCCCCAGTTGCCATCCAGCATGTCAAAGTTGGTCGTCTTGCCTCTGAACACCGCTCGTGCCTCTTTCCTCTCCCAGGGAACCTGGTGTGGTGTGGTGAACAATAAAGGTGCACAGAAGGAAGGGGGGGGTTGGCGCCCCAGTTGCCGTCCAGCATGTCAAAGTTGGTGGTCTTTCCGCGGAACACTGCTCGCGCTTCCTTCCGTTCCCAAGGAACCTGGTAGTAGAGGGGTTTGTGACAATCAGGGAGTCAAGAAGACACTTGAGTTGACATCAATACAGTCGCGCAGCGCAGAGTGCACATCTGACAGCCGGTGCAGCCGCACGCGCGGGTTGGCGCCCCAGATGCCGTCCAGCATGTCAAGGTTGGTCGTAAACACTGCCCGTGCCTCCTTTCTTTCCCAGGGGACCTGAGGGGATTGAAGGTTATATGGAGAAGAAGGGAGCGGAAATTGGCGCGCTAGTAGTTATCCAGCATGTCAAAATGGGTCCTCTTGCCTCTGAATAATGCCCGAGCTCCCTTGCATTCCCACGGCACCTGGGGGGGTGGGAGGGTATGTGGGGAATAGGGGCTGAGCTGAGCTGAGACTTGGCGACCCAGTTGCCGTCCAGCATGTCAAATTGACGTTACCGGCACAGGGGGGATTGGGAATTCGGTTGGTCAATAAATGGCTTAGAAGACACACCTGAGCTGAGTGGGCCCCTCACTACATACCTGAGTGCTCAAATCCGGTGTGTAGACCTCTGTCAAATCCAGTGGGTCAGGGATGGGTATGTCCCGCTTAACCATGAAGTTTGGTGCCAACCATGAAGCCCATGCTCATCACATCACAGGGTTACCAGCACGGGGGGTTTGCCTGAGAGTGTCTCAACTCTCACCTGAGTGCTGAGGTCTGGCGTGTAGTCCTCTGTCAAGTCAAGTGGATCAGGGATGGGTATGTCCATGGTGTCGACCGTGAAGCCCATGCTCATCACAGGGTAACCAGCGCGGTCGGACCAGTGGCTGCTGTAGAATGACTGCGGATGGTCGCACGTGTTGACTATCATTTCCAGGCGAAGGTCTGTCAATCCATACACGTCTATAGCGTCCTGGCGGTGTGGCACAGTGCAGGGAGGGAGGGGAAGGGAGGGTGGTCGCACGTGTTGACTATCATTTCCAGACGCGGGTCTGTCAATCCATACACGTCTACAGCGTCCTGGCGGTGTGGCAGGAGAAAGACGAGGGAGAAGAGGGGAACATGGGAGGGGAAGGGAAGGGAGGGTAAGTATTGAGCAGCACGGTTGGCCCAGTGGCTGCTGTAGAACGACTGCGGGTGGTCGCACGTGTTGACTATCATCTCTAATCGGAGGTCTGTCAGACCGTACACGTCTATAGCGTCCTGGCGGTGTGGCAGGAAGGGGGGAGGGAGAACGGCAACAGGAGAGCAACGAGGGAGGGTAAGCAGAGCGGTCGGACCAGTGGCTGCTGTAGAACGACTGGGGGTGGTCGCACGTGTTGACTATCATCTCCAATCGAAGATCTGTTAAAGCGTACACATCAATGGCATCCTGTGGTGTGGCACAGTGCAGGGAGGGGAGGGGAAGGGAGGGTGGTCGCACGTGTTGACTATCATCTCTAGTCGGAGGTCTGTTAACGCGTACACGTCGATTGCATCCTGCAAGCCATGAGAGGGAATGCAGGAGAATGGGAGGAAGAAAGAAAGGGATAAGAATGAAAGAAAGAACGAAAGGGGGAAGGGAGGGTAACCAGCACGGTCGGCCGAGTGGCTGCTGCGGAACGAAGCATGGAGAAAGAAGGCCGTACACGTCAATTGCGTCCTGCAAGCCATGAGGAGAATGTCAAGATAGTAAGGACAGTGAGAAGCCATAGCTAGGGTTGACCTAGCTAGGCAAGCAAGAAATGAACAAAGGAGGGCTTACACTAGCAAAAATGGGGATACAAATAGCAAACCCTAGAAGGGTTGTACTCGCTATAGAGCACCCCACTACAGGCTAGAGCATAATATTCTGACACACCCCCATAGCCAAAGTGGGGTGTAATCAACAGAGCAAGCAAAGCAGTACAAGCTCAGGGTGGATCACAATGTCACCACACATTCTGAGCACAAGTTCAAGAAGCAATAGTTTAAAGTTCACAATTATGAGCAAAGCTAGTGGTAGTCACAACGGGCAAGTGAGGAGGAGGAAAGAGACTATGAGAGGAGAGGAGGTAGTGGGCGGCAGCTGAAGCTGCTGGCACACGGCGCAACTGGAGCAACTGGCACACGGGCAACTGGAGCAACTGGCACACTGGCAACTGGAGCAACTGGCACACGGGCTACTGGAGTAACTGGCTCCGCGGCTGAAAGTAGCGGCAGACGAGCAACGGACTCACGGGCGACTGGAGCAACGGGCTCACGGGCGACTGGCGCAACGGGCTCACGGGCGACTGGCGCAACGGTCTCACGGGCGACTGGAGCTGCTGGCTTCACGGCGGCCACCCCCTTCAACCTCCCCAAACTATCCCACTCCCCCTGACACACACCCGCTGCTACACCGCTAGCTCCACTCCCCCTTCACCCCCCCTTAGTACCACTCCGACGGCTCCAACAGGTCCACCCCCCTCAGCGGCAGCTGCAGCACAGGGAGACGGAGGAGGAGGAGGAGCAGGGAACGGCACACAGAAGCTGCACCCCCATACCCCCCACCCCCAAACCCTAATCCAGGAGTACGGGCAGAAGGAGGGGTGGGGCGCCTTCAGAAGCACGGGGGACAGCGGGGAGGACAGGGGCAGCGAAGAACGGGCCGCCCACGGGTCTGGCACAGCCTCCCGAACCGCGCGCAGGCGGCCCGAGCCGCGCGCGGGCCTGGCGCAGCCCGTACGGGCCGCGCGCGGGCCTGGCGCAGCCCGTACGGGCCGCGCGCCGGCTGTACGGGCCGCGCGCAGGCCACGACGGGCGACGGGGGGCGACGCGCGGGTCCCCGTCGCCCGTCGCAGCGCCTCCCGGGAGCAACGCGCGGTGTGACGGGGCAGAAACCCGCCGCGCGCCTCGGGGCGCACGGCGGGCTGAAAACCCTAATTTCAACGCCGCGTACCACGAGGCGCGCGGCGGACAGGGAGTAGCAGTAGCAGCGGAAGCAGTGAAGTGGTGGGCCCACAGGACAGGAGCGTAACCGCTCTGATACCATGTCAAGATAGTAAGGACAGTGAGAAGCCATAGCTAGGGTTGACCTAGCTAGGCAAGCAAGAAATGAACAAAGGAGGGCTTACACTAGCAAAAATGGGGATACAAATAGCAAACCCTAGAAGGGTTGTACTCGCTATAGAGCACCCCACTACAGGCTAGAGCATAATATTCTGACAGAGAACACGCGAGGGGAGGGGAAGGGAGGGTGGTCCGCACGTCTATTGCGTCCTGCACGTCCATTGGCTTGGCAAAGGACGCAAAGGATGGTAACGGCGAAAGAAGGGGACTGGGTGGGGAGATGATGGTGACGACCATGGTAGTCACGATATCTACGAGTCAATTGAAGAGTTGACACGATACATGGTGTGGCAAGCACGACATGCATGCATCATGCACTGAACTGAACTTACTTGAATCATCTTGACAGTTTGCAAGAAGCGGTTGAGGCAGTAGTAAACGTGCCAGAAGCCTTTCATTGTCACTCATATTGACTCACACTAAAGTAAATCGTCTCACCAACTTACTTGAATCATCTTCACGGTTTGCAAGAAGCGGTTGAGGCGGTAGTAAACGTGCCAGAAGCCTTTCATTGTAGCGTTGACTCATATTGACTCACACTAAACTAAATTGTCTCACCAACTTACTTGAATCATCTTGACGGTTTGCAAGAAGCGGTTGAGGCAGTAGTAAACGTGCCAGAAGCCTTTCATTGTCGCGTTGACTCATATTGACTCACGCTAAACTAAATCGTCTCACCAACTTACTTGAATCATCTTGACGGTTTGCAAGAAGCGGTTGAGGCGGTAGTAAACGTGCCAGAAGCCTTTCATTGTCGCGTTGACTCATATTGACTCACGCTAAACTAAATCGTCTCACCAACTTACTTGAATCATCTTGACGGTTTGCAAGAAGCGGTTGAGGCGGTAGTAAACGTGCCAGAAGCCGCCATATCTGAAGAACACCTTCCCGTTGATCACCTGCAATGGTGCGGACAAACATTGAGAATGTTACATTCGAGTCGACCTTCAAAGGCAGTAGTAAACGTGCCAGAAGCAACCACATCTGAAGAACACCTTCCCGTTGATCACCTGCAAGCAATGAAACAAAGCGACACGGACAGACAGACAGACAGACAGACAGACAGACAGACAGACAGACAGACAGAATGTGTTTCAGAACAATGAATGCTGTTGACGAACGAGGTTGAGACAGTCGCAGATATCAAGCGCTTCCGAGTTATGAGACGTCTCAAAACGGGCAGACAGCGAGAATGTGTTAGAGAGCAATGCAATCGCAGATCTCAAATGCTGCCACAAACTGTACACACCTTGACATGAAACCCGCTAACTGTAACGCATCTTGACATGTTACCCGCTAACTGTAACGCACCTTGATATGAAACGCTGGCACTGACTGACTGTTTCGCAGCTTGACACAAAACTCTGCCAAAAACTGTATCGCACCTTGACATGAAACCCTGCCACAAACTGTAAGACACCATGACACGAAACGCTGCCACTAACGCACCTTGATGTGAAACCCACTAACTGTAACGCACCTTGACATGGCCAGAACATGACATAACAGACGGCTGCCGAGCCAAGCGGTAGAGAGCCTCGGGAGTGACAAAGCCCTTATGGCCCAAACCAGACTCAATCCCCTGGGTTGGGATGGGACGTATATTGCCACGGATTGGATTGGACTGGGTTAGGAATATCATTTCTCTGAAAGCAAGAGGTAGAGGGCCTTGGCAGTGCTGAATCCGGTATGGACCAAACCAGATTCAATTCCGTGAAATGAAATGACATGGAACGGGAATGCATGGGGGGATAGATCGGGATAGCAATTTCCTGAACCTGGGATAGGATGGTGGGATGGGATAGGGTGGGATGGAATGGGAAGGGATGGGGTGGGGTGGGATGGGATGGGATGGGTGAGTTGGTATAAGCTGCCACGGCTCCAGGCACTATAAATTCTGGGGTATATCCCTACCATCTGCACACTTAGCTCAACCTTCCCATGCTGCACCAGCAAACCCCCAGCCCCACATCCCCCTTACAAGCCTCACCGGTATAGGCTGCCATGGCTCCAGGTACTTGTGTATAAGCTTCAGATATTTCCCCACCATCGGCGCGCTTAGGTCAAACTTCCCATACTGCGGCACCCTCCCCAACACATCAGCCTCCTCTGGGGGGAAGTCTGGGAGAGAGGGGCATGTGCCCTGCGGTGCTGCTAGCAACTGCACTTCGTCTTGCAACCACAGCGCCGCCCATAGCGCCAGTGCTACGAGGCCCGCTGTTAGGACGGTTATGGCATCCACCTGTAACGGGGATGGGTGGGAGGGGGAAGGGGAGCATGCCAGCATGGGAAGAGTGAGGGAGGGAAAGAGAGAGAGAGAGGGGCATGTGCCCTGGGGTGCTGCTAGCAACTGCACTTCGTCTTGCAACCACAGCGCCGCCCATAGCGCCAGTGCCATAAGGCCCGCTGTTAGGACTGTTATTGCATCCACTTGTAACGGGGATGCATGGGGAAAGGGGAATTGGGAACCCGAGGTTAGACCTGCCAACGAGTGGCTGGGGTATATTCCAGTCCAGGGGGTGAAATTTTGAAAGTGGAACATAGGGAAACAAATGCAGGCGTAGACTTCAGGGAATGATAACTAGGGAGTAGAAGATATACTAAGTAGGAAGTTGAATGGAGGGAAATCTAGAGGGGTCTGAGCGTTGCTACAAGTGCACCTGCCTGGTCGCGCGAAAGCCGCGATAATCGCACGGCGACGGTTGCTCGAACGCGCTGCAGATGCCCTGCGACTGCTGCGACTGTCGCGCGCGCACGCGACGACAGAACGGCGCTCGAGGCGAAACCAAACGCTCTCGCACCCGACGTTTCGCGAGCGTCGTCAGAGTCGCCGTTATCGGTAGGCGACGAGTAATAGGCGTGGTGGGTCTGTAAAACGCTGCGCGGGTTACTAAGATTGGAGGACGGTATGCGAGGGTTGCTACTTGTGTTGTTTGGGACGAACGGGGAGGAGGAGGATGCTACCGGCGAATGCTTTCTTTCGTGAAGCTGACCCGAACTTTTGTAACCCGCGGGACGCGACATTTCGAGAGGAGATGACGAAACCGTTGGTCAATTGTAATTAAGTTACCAGGCGCGGATTTGCTGGCGTTGCCAGAAGCACTGTGTTGAATCTCAGCTCGAACTATCCACAGGCCAGGGAAGCGTTGGAGACAGGAGCGTGAATCACGGCGGGAAAGCGGTAATTAGGTGGTGTGGAAGTGAGCGGCACATTACCACCACAGACATAGCTTTAGGAGATCAATATCAGAACGGTTGAGTAGGTTCCGTAGAGGTGGCGCTTTGTGTTGTGTAGCGGGTGGAATGCGTGTGGGGTCTCTACTTGCCTAATTGCGTGTGGTGCGATTCGGTTTATGGTGAGGTTGCACGGTTTCGTTTCATTCATCTCGCCCTCAGGGCGACATCAGGTTGTACATCTTTTTGTACGCTCTAAGCGGTAATATTCGTTTAGTGACGGTGCGAAATGTGAACCGCTTCCCACCGTGTGGAACCGTCTTGAGCCATGACACACGAATGGTAAAAGCGTCGCAGCTGTAGAACCTGACGTCGCCCTTAGCGCGGTGCACTGTGGTCAACTGGGTTCCTCTTTTGTTTTGCGTGGTGCACTATGGTTTAAATAAAGGTTTAAACGGTTCCGCAAGTTGCGGTTGTCGTCCCATTCATAATGGTGGTGAACCAACAGTAATATTCGCTCTGTAACACAGCACAATGAAATTTCGCTCATCTTCGTCTACCTCTTGCAAAACCCTCCCAGCCTCCCATCATGCCATCCCAAGCAGCAACCAACCAACATCAAGGTTCTCCTTCACGCGTGCCTCGATGATGGAAGGCATGTCCCAAAAGTGCATTATCGTTCTAAAACCCACCCAGCCGTTCTACATATAAAATCAATCGTTCTAGGAACGCAAGCATTGATGTTGACCCCAACGAACATCTAGATCTCAATTCCCGAGGTTCAGCAATAAAAGCAAGAACTCTGCTGAAGCTCTATCAGCATTGTCCGCATTTCTTCCCAGTTGCTCTGGTCCTCTAAGTCTAGTTTTGTTGCAAATGGCCGGAGAGGGCGTAATTTCGCAGCTTAGCTAGATTGGGAGTGGCATTCAATGCGGGTTGTTTTGCTTTCTCAGATGCCATTTTCACGGCCCACTGGCAGTAGAAATGGTGATTGGGAGGGTTGCCCGAAACCCTAGCCTGCTAAGTACACATCGCTGACCATCGTACGACCGCAGCACCTGGGGGCTCCGTACAGCCGCATTACTGTTTCGTAAGATTTCTTAAAATATCTTTTATAAAACTCTGCATCATCGCAAATCTGCCTAAAATAGTTCGATGCCACTGAAATTTCTTTTGGAATCTTTGACCTTTCAGGGAATGACCAGATTGAACCGGAACACGTCAGAGCCACGTTGCGGGAATAACATTCGATTTCGTTCCGCGCCGCACCTTCTGCTCATATATTTCGCACGTCGCACGACGCACTCCGCACGGTCGTAAATAGTCGTACGGTTGATGGGACGACTAGCCAGGTGGCAGATCGGAGCTGACAGAGTCACCTCAGCAGCTCGGCAGCTTCAAGGCGTTCCAGAAAAGAGCCCCCAGGAGGTCGGTTTGCTGCTCCGTTCCGCAAGCTCAAGGCATTTCACGGATTGCAAACCGAAGAAGATGGCTCAGCTTCACAGCATTCTCAAGACGGCTCACGACTAGCGAACAAGAGGATGCGGCTCATCTGCTTGGCGCAACTCATTTGCTCGGTGCAGGCAAGCTGAAGGGGACAGCTCAGCTTCTCGGCATTCTCAAGGCGGTTCACGAATAGCGAGCACGAAGATGCGGCTCATCTGCTCGGCGCAACTCATCTGCTCGGCGCATCTCATCTGCTCGGCGCAACTCATCTGCTCGGCGCAACTCATCTGCTCGGCGCAACTCATCTTATCGGCGCGACTCAGCTGCTCGGCGCAACTCAGCTGATCGGCGCAGCTCATCTTCTTGGCGCAACTCGGCTGATCGGCGCAATTAAGCTGCTCGGCCCAACGTAGCTGTTCGGCGCAACTCATCTGCTCGGCGCAACTCGGCTGCTTGGCGCAACTCACCTGCTAACTCAGCTGCTTCAGGAGCGAGCCATGGCATTTCAGGTACGGATCGTGAGGTGTGCATTCTAGCTCGTGCGATCTTGTACTAAGCGACATGCGGCTTTTTTAGGCGCCTCAAAATGCGAGCGAGATGCGGATCAGTTCGTATACGACACAGCGATTGTGGCCGTATTTCTGAAACCATAACCAGCTCAATGTGTTCTGCGCCTAACCAAACAAAATTTTTACTCTTTGCAGGAGGAGACTTACGAGATGCCCAAGAGGCGTTCTTGCCTCCGTGCTTTCAGCTCACCCGATCTAGGTAATCATGCCTCGGCTGTATCCGTGTTATTTAATGAAGCGTTTCATTCTCTAATCTCCTTATGAGTCACTTTTGTGCGCACCGTACCTACACACCGAGCTTGGACATACGGGACGCATCATCAAGATGTGTTTATGGATGAATGCATGCATCTTTGGGGGCATGTACCTACTCCGAGGCACGGCGTACCTTGGCCGCAAGGCTTACGTTAGCCTGAGGCAATGCTCGTTATGAGGGGGAGGTGATGGTGCAGTAAAAGGTCTGACGTAGCCGTGCGCCTTGCTCGTGCCTCCCGGCCGTTCCCTCCCTGGAGGGAAGTCTTTCGCAGTGCTCTCTACCTGTAAGGATGGGATATCCTGTGATTGATTAGTTGGCTGATGGCGGCAGACGTACCGCTTGCGCTCTGATTTCAACACCCCCTTCTGATCCCTCTCTATCTCGCGTGTTTGATAGACCAAGTTTTTCCAGCATGTAGTTAGTCGATTTTTGAGTCGACTCAAAAATCAACACCCCCTTCTGATCCCTCTCTATCTCGCGTGCTTGGTAGACCAAGGTTTGCCAGCAAGACTGCTGTGTCTTTCTTTCGCAGAGCACTCTACCTGTAAGGGTGGGGTGTCTTGTGATTGATTGGCCGACGGCGGCGGACAAACCGTGTGTGCTCTGATTTCAACACCCTCTTGTCATCCCTCTCTCTCTCTCTCTCTCTCTCTCTCTCTCTCTCTCTCTCTCTCTCTCTCTCTCTCTCTCTCTCTCTCTCTCTCTCTCTCATTCTCTTTCTTACTTCTGGGCAGTTCTTTGTTCTATAATTTCTGACGTCTTTCCACTCCTTCCCTCAACGGAGCCTAGTGCATTTCCTGCTGCATTCGTCACACATAATGCTGAAATGTACTAATGATCGGGCGCGAGAGGGAGATGATGAAGCTTCTGTGATGTATGAAGCATGCATGTGTCTCCCCCGTCTCTGCCTGATTCTGAAGCATTATCAGCACGCAGCATTTGTCTAGATGGCTAAGCACCCCGAGACGAGATTTCGGGCTTAAGAGGGAGATGATGAATGTGATATCTGAGCATGCATGGGTCTTCCCCGCTGCCTCCTGTCCAATCATCAGAACGCAGCAGGCAGAGGGGTTCAGGGGAGGGGGGAGGGGCGCAGGGCGGGAGAACGGGAAGCATTTTCTCGTTCAATCTCTCTCTCACGGCTCTCCTTTCCCTTTTCTTGCGCCTCGCTGTCTCTGCCTCTGCTCTGATTGGCTGGTGGTGGCGAATAGAAGCCCATGCGCGCTGTGATTGGCTATCACTTTATCCACGCTCAATCTGATCCCTCTAGCCCATAATTCTTAAGTGCGCGCTTAAGATAAGCACATGGTCCTGCCCTTATATCAATGCTTTATCAGATCAGGGAGTTCACTTGTTGAAGTTGGTCCTTTCTTCGCACTGTAAACTCGCCCTTCCTCAGGGAAGAGCGGGATGAGCAAAGTGGAAGGAGTTTCTTGTCCAAACTCTTCTATGCTCTCGTTCCTCTCTTTCCTTCTCAGTTCTTATCACCAATCAGTCAAAGCAGTCGCATGTTGCCGCACAGGCTAGCTGGAGAACTGAGCTTCAGAATTGAGCTTCAGAGGGAAATGATGAGGAGCAGCTGTCTGAGTCATGCACGGGCGATGCTTTCCCCGCTGCCTCCTGTTCATTCAGGAGCACGCAGCAGGCAGATGGGTTCAGGGAGGGGAGAGCGATGGGGGAAGAAAAACGGGAAGAATTTCCTCGTTCAATCTCTCCCCCTTACATTCTCTTTCCTCCTTTCCTGAGTCTCGCTGTCTCTGCCTCTGCTCTGATTGGCTGGTGGTGGTGAATGGGAGCCGATGCGCGCTGTGATTGGCAATCAACCGCACCTGATCCCTCTAGCCCATAATCTTAAGCGCGCGCTTGCGATAATCACGTGCTCCTGCCCTTATATCAATGCTTTATCAGATCAGGGAGTTCACCTGTTGAACTTGGTCCCTATTCGCCCTGTAAACTCGCCCATCCTCAGGAAAGAGGCGGGAAAGCAAACTGGAAGGTGTTTTTCGTTCAAAATCTTTTGTGCTCTCGTTCCTCTTTTGCTTTCAGTTCCTAATACCAGTCAGTCAAAGCAGTTGCATGTTGCCGCATAAGCTAACTGGAGAGCTGAACTTCGGAGGGAAATGATGCAAATCGACCCCATCTGAGGCATGTATTGGCTTTTTCACCGCTGCCTCCTGTTCATTCAGCAGCACGCAGCAGGCAAAGCGGATCAGGGAGGGGAGAGTGATGGGGGAAGAAAAACGGGAAGAATTTCCTCGTTCAATCTCTCCCCCTTACATTCTCTTTCCTCATTTCCTGATTCGCTGCCTCTGCCTCTGCTCTGATTGGCTGGTGGTGGCGAGCCGATGCGTGCTGTGATTGGCTACCAAAAATGCACCCCTCCCTGATCCCTCTAGCCCTTAAGGGCGCTTTCAAAACATACACATGGTTATGAGCCTATATGATTGGTTCATTTGCGAGTTCACCTATTGAACTCGGCCCTTTGGCACCCTCTTTTTTCGCCCCCTTCTTTTTTCGCCCACCCACCTGCCATGACATACGAGTCGTCTCTGAACTTCACCTGTTGACTTCGCTCCGTTTGCTCTCTGAGCATGCACATGCATCGAATTCTTACTTGATGTCTTTTGATTGACTCATTGCGAGAGCTTGTTCTTTTGGTCCCCTTTGCATTCGCCCACTTTCCTGCTGTGACTTTGAGTTGTCCCTGTGGTGTGCATGCACTCATTGTTTATCCTCTTACCCAATGTCCTCCTTATTGCAACCCTTTCCATTCGCGCTTCTGTAAGTGTGCCTCAAAAGCGCATACGCGATTCTTTTATTAGTTGTTATGACTACCTGTGAATCGATGAATTCATCACTGAATGGCAGAGGGGAATGATGACAGCATAATTACTCTGACCATCGCTAGCCGTGCCTGCAGCCACATTTCCAAGCAGGCAGGAGCAGCAGGCAGTGGGTTTCAAGTGATAGAAGGGGCATGAGAGAGAACGGGAAGGATTTTCTCGTTCAATCTCTCTCATATTCCCCCTCCTCCTTTCTTGATTCTCTCTGTCTCTGCCTCTGCTCTGATTGGTTGCTGGCCGCAGGCAGAGCTGGCTGGATCTGATTGATCTACCGGCCCTTTCTGACCCCTTCTGCTCGATTCTTGAATGAGTACAGTACAACTGTAGATGGATGCGTAAAGTCGGAGAACATGTAGATAATGCTAAAAACGCTCATGTGTATGCGTACTTTTGGAAATACATCAGTGGAACAGCCTTGAAGCTCCTCTTGCTTACTTCACGCTCGCGTTTGATCCTTCCCTTACCCAGCCCTTTCTCCCTTCCACTCCTCTCCTTACTTCCATTCTGCTCCTCCCTGGCTCCCCCCTTGCCCGTCTGTCCGCATTTCGTCTGTCTACTCCCCTGTCCGTCCGCCCATCCGTCCGTCCCCACCCTCTTCCACCCGCCCATCCGTCCGTCCCCACCCTCTCCACCCGCCCATCCGTCCGTCCAGCCCTCTGTTTGCCCGTCTATCTCTTTGGAGAGGGCCCCAGTGGCATGTTCTTGGAAGTTTCCCATGCTCCACGCTCGCAACCTCTCCCATATCAGCACCTTTCTTAATCACTACCGTCACTTGTGCTGTCTTTCTCTCTGTGTGCCACGCGGCATGTACAGAGCGAGAGGAGCAATGGGCGGCAGTGGCAGGGATGGGGACGGGGTCCTGCTGAACCTAAGGCGCCCACCTGTGCTCAGTCATGCACATGCTGGGAGACTGTGGGACCCACATTCTAAAGACTTAGCCAAGCCCATTTCTTGCAGTTTCCCCTCCTATGCTGTGCTCAGTCATGCTCACGCAGGGAGATTGTGGGACTTTCATGCTAGAGAGAGACCTCCACAAGCCCGTTTCTTGTAGTTCCCCCTTCTGTTCTCAGTCAAGCCCACTCCTTGAAGCTTAGGGTATTGACATGCCTCAAAACCTAGAAAGCCTGCATTCTCCAGTATTCCCCTCCTATGTTGAGGTATTCGCAGGCAGGGAGGCTGGGATGGCATTAGCAGGCAGGAAGACACTAGAAGCTTCATATTTTCCATCAGCAACCTCTCAATCAGCAATCTCTAACCCTTCTTTCCTATCCTCCTTTCTTCCTTGCGACAAACCCCTTGAATTCCATTCCACCAGCAGCCCTTCACAAGTTGGAGCTGCAGTCGTTGTTGAGACCAAAGGAGGATCCGTATGACTGTCAAGAAATGTCAATATTTTTTTCCTGAATGCTTTTACGTAAACTCGAAATGTAGAATCTATGTTTTGAGTGCATGTACAAGATTGTGTTTTATGACTTGTAGCATTTCCATGTACTGCCTTTTGAAGAACGGTTATCCTGTTTAACGAAATCGCGTCTAATTGGGCCTCGTGGGTTTGGAACACGTCTAGTCAATTTGAGTGGCATTACGTCGCGGGGCTGATGTGGCATATCAGCCAATCACGAAAGGTTGAATATGCATTCTCGTCCACTTGGCCAGCGAGGAAGCTCGCTAGCTTGCTGACTGGTCCCCCCTGTTACAAGCGTTTTTCCGTCCACAAAAGTTACAACCTTTTCCGTTCAGAACCACGACAACGAATTCAGTTTCCCGTCCGTCAATTGCGCAGCAAACTCCTTCACCAGACCAGAGAGATTAGACGCTTTGAACAGATGCGACAAGCTAGTACTCGACGGAGATTAGCTTGATGTAACCGAAACCGCTAGCATTAGCACTTACCTCTTCGTCTAGGAGCAGTTAGCATATTGGCAGGCTTAATTGTGTCGGTTACTCTACCACATCATCTGTCCAGTGGCGGGAGATTGCCGCGTACAAACCCAGAGTCGCCAGACACCCGTACAATGGGACTTCTCATGGATAGGCTGCCCTAGTTGGAGATCAAAGTGTAGCTTCACACACCGCCAGTCGTGCAACTAGATTGAAAGAAGCTGCGCTGGATCTAAAGCTGTGCTTTAATTAGTGCACGCATCATGGATGTCAAGCGGATCCGATAAGTTAGTCTGTGCAACGATCGGAGACCTCTTTGCGGCAGGCATCGGTCAACATGGATCTCCGTGACGGATCTCTAGGTCATCGCGATGGGCCTCTCCTCGGAAATTCTCAACCGTCGGATCGAACTGGCGCTGGTGGGGCGTATCCGCACAATTCATTCCCCCGATGGGGATCCCAACCGCAGATCCACGATTCCGGCTACCGTAGGATTCAGGAATCCGGCGGGGAGCGCGGAGGAGCGGGGAATGGAGGGGGAGGAGCGGGTGCTGGTACGAGGCGAGGGGGATTTACCCGGCATAATTCGTGGGGAGGGATGTTTCGGTTGAAGCACTCTCAGTCGCATACGAACCTCATGGCGGCGCCGCTCCCCAAGTGCCTCACGTTCTGGCACCTCATCCCGCTAGGTACGCTTCAGGCCCCGTTTATTTACGCTTGACTCCATGATCCATCCCGCTAGGTACGCGGCAGCCCTTTTGAGTCCGCATGACTTAACGGATTTCCGAACGGCGATCGGCGGGGACAACGAGCCTGCCGGCGCTGCACTCCACTGCGCCGCTTTAGACTGTAGTGAACCACTCTAGGAGTAATCCACCGCTCCCAAACCACTTTCCTTCTCGGTCCGATCTAAGCTTGATCTGTTTCGAGCTCTAAGACCAGTTCTCGGGTGCCTAACGGCCTGGCGGGGTCACACCTTATCACACCACACCCCATCCTACCGCATCCAAACCCATCCTACCCCATCTGAACCGATCCCATCCTATCCAATTTTATCCATCCAATCATATCCGATCCCATCCCATCCCTCCCCATCCCATCCAGTCCCACCCCAGTCCATTCGATCCCATCCCATCCCATCCCATCCCATCCCATCCTATCCCATCCCATCCCACCCCACCCCACCCCATCCCATCAGCATGCCACTCCATCTTCATCTTCTGCCTGTACAACACCTCCCCCTCCCTCCCGTGCACACACCTCCCACCCACAACAGGAGTGGGATCAACCATAGGCGCGGGAGTGTACGTGCTGATAGACACAGTGGCACGGGAGAAAGCCGTACCAGCCCTGTTCCTCCTACGTCTTCAGCTTCTGCCCCTCCGACATGCCACTCCCGTGCACCTCCCGGTTTCCTTTCCTTCTTCGTGCCTCACAGGAGTGGGGTCAACCATAGGCGCGGGAGTGTACGTGCTGATAGGCACAGTTGCACGGGAAATGGCTGGATCAGCTCCCGCCCCTCTCCTTCCTCCCAGCAGCTGTCTTCAGCGTTTGCCCCTTCAACACATGCCATGCCACTCCCTTCCACCCCTCACCCACCACAGGAGTGGGGTCAACCATAGGCGCGGGAGTGTACGTTCTAATAGGCACAGTGGCGCGGGAAAAGGCTGGACCTGCACTGCCCCTGTCCTTCCTCATAGCAGCCGTGGCTGCGGGTTTGGCTGCTCTGTGCTACGCTGAGCTCGCCAGTCGGTGCCCTTCTGCTGGCAGTGCCTACCACTACGCTTACACGACAGTCGGAGAAGTGTGAGTGTGCTTGGAGGGTGTGGGAGAGCTGTAGAATTACTGTGGCTGCAGGCTTGGCTGCTCTGTGCTATGCTGAGCTTGCTAGTCGCTGCCCGTCTGCTGGGAGTGCCTATCACTATGCATATACGACTGTGGGAGAAGTGTGAGTGGGATTGGGGGAAGTGTGTTATACCTGGGGGAGGGTTGAGTGGGGGAGGTGTGTTCTGTGCTACGCTGGGCTCGCCAGTCAGTGTCCATCTGCTGGGAATGCCTACCACTAACGCGTACACCACTGTGGGGCAAGTGTGAGTTGGGGGAAGTGTGAGTTGGGGAAGTGAGTTGGGGAAGTGAGTTGGGGAAGTGTGAGTTGGGGAAGTGTGAGTGGTGTTGGCGGAAGTGTGAGTGGTGTGGGGGGAAGTAGTCGTGTGGGGGGAAGTGTGAGTGGGGTTGATTAATTCATGGATGGGGTGGCGGTGGCTCGAGGAGTGTTGCACAGTCAATGCATCTTTGACTTGTGGGCCAACTTGAACCGTCTCTCTGTTCACCCTCCTGCTGCCACCACCAGGGTGGCGTGGTTGATTGGCTGGGCTCTTATTCTCGAGTATACCGTGGGTGGGGCAGCTGTGGCTCGAGGCATTGCACCGAATCTGGTAATTCTGCACAATCAGGGGGTTTCGCAAGTTTTGGGGATGTTTTGTGCATTCAGCTGTGCATGCAATCTCTAAGCGTGCTTTCATGCCTCGTTTCTTAACACTTATAAAGGCGAACAGAGAGACAGACCAACAGACAGACAGCACGCCTTGCCTCAACTCATTCTGGCCCGCCTACCTGTCTCATTTTGTATAGATGCCTATGCTTTCCCAAATCCATTCTATTGTCTCTCGCTTCCCCACGCCCCCCAACCACCTGTTCAGGCAACGGCGTTAGGAGGGCCAGACAACCTGCCGTTCATCCTGGCTCGCCTGGCTGTCCCAGGCACAAGTGTGGTCCTCGATCCATGCGCTGCCATCACGGTGACTCTCATCACTCCCAGTCCGAATCCCTTCTCACTTCCGTCTCTCCCCCACGTGTTCAGGCAACGGCGTTAGGAGGGCCAGACAACCTGCCGTTCATCCTGGCCCGCCTGCCCGTTCCGGGCACAAGTGTGGTCCTGGATCCGTGTGCTGCCATCACGGTGGCTCTTGTCACAGCGCTGCTATCTGCCGGAATCAAGGAGGTGAGGCAGGCATGCATAACAGGTGCGGTTACTGACCCGTTTCTGAAGTGAGTGTGTGTGTAGGCACAGCAGCACATGGGTGTGTGGCTCGCCTGCCCATCCCGGGCACAAGTGTTGTCCTGGATCCCTGTGCTGCCATCACAGTGGCTCTCGTCACTGCGCTGCTATCTGCCTGCATTAAAGAGGTGAGGCAGCAGCCCGTGGGTGTGTGGCCTGCCTGCCTGCCCCAGCCTTCCAGGCACCACTGTGGTGTTGGATCCGTGCGCTGCATTGCATTCACGGTGGCTGTGGTCACTGCGCTGCTGTCAGCCGGCATTAAAGAGGTGAGACAGGCTGGTATGAGTCTGCACTGAGTCTGAACTGGAGGTATGAGTGCAGCAGCACGTGGGTGTGTGGCCCGCGGCCTGCCTGCCTGCCTGCCTGCCTGTCCCAGGCACCAGTGTAGTGTTGTGCAAGTCCAACAGCAGCGTGTGCGATCGCAGCATTTCACATGCCACTACAGTGTTGCGACTATATCACAGCTTTACCCCATTTTGATTTCTGATTTCTTTCAGTTCAGCATCCTTCCTTTTTGTTTCTGCTCTTGCTCTCAAATGCTTTTTGTTTATTGCAGCTGGCGTCTCATAGTCTGCACCGTTATCGCTCTTGTCTCATTCACCCTGTTTTCATTTTTTTCTCTTTTCTTAAATATCCCTCTTTTCTGTTCGACATCCCTCTCTTCCGTTGCTTTTTTTTGCAGAGCGCCAATTTCCAGATGGGGATGACAGTAGCGAATGTGATTATACTGCTGTTTGTCGCGGTGGCGGGGGCATGGATAGGATTTACCCACGGATGGCCAGGGTACAAGGAGTCTCCAAGGTGGGTGATTACAATGCAATATTCTAGTGGGGGTACGGTTGCTTCTGGTATGGGTGCTTGTGGTGTGGGTGCTTGCGGTGTGGGTGCTTGTGGTATGGGTGCTTGTGGTGTGGGTGTTAGTGTTGGTGGTAACCTGTTACAACTCCTTTGACTCGAATCCATACCCCATGTGCCCTCCTCACCTCCCCTCCATGTCTCTCCATGTTTTGAGTCGTCTCAAAACTCCTTCATGATTCCTTCCATTAAAACCCATACCTTAAGTGCACTTCACCTCCATGCCATTTCTTGCCATGTGCCTCCAAGCCCTCGGGTGGCAAAGTCCATGCTTTTCTTTGCTGTCCCTTTCCCTGATAGTTTGTATAACCACTTACCTTTCCTTCTTTGCTCTCAATCCCAGTTTGTGTACCGTTCGGTTTGCCTGGAATGCTAGCTGGGATTACCTTCTTTGCTTTCATTTGCCCTCCTTCCCCTGCTTCTCCCCCGTCTCGCCCTTTCTATGCCAGCTACCTACCATTCGGTGTGTCGGGATTGCTGGGAGGAGCTGCTATGGCCTTTTTCTCGTACATTGGATTCGACACCGTTGCCAGCACAGCAGAAGAGGTACGCTGAATGAACAGCCAAGTGACCACACCTTGTCACCTATGCATCTTGTTCTCGGTGCTGCTTCTTCTCGTACATTGGATTCGACACCGTTGCCAGCACAGAAGAAGAGGTATGGCTGGCTGGGTTAACTTGAGGGCTCTACCGCCCTCTTCGGTGTAAAACCGAGACCACTGCTACCTCTTACATGGCTTGTTTTCTTTCTTACAGTGACAGAGAAGCAGATGATATGTGGAACGTCAATTGACTTAGGCACTGTTACCATTTCGCGTATTTGTTTGCGTGTCAACCTGCATGCACTGACATCGATTAACCCGCCCGTGTTTTCTGTTCGTTCTATTTTCGTGCTTGATTGATACTGGTGAAGCAACGCCGGTTGAGCCGACTTAAAAAGTCACCTTGTTTCTGTTTTCTAAAAACCTCTCGTCTAACTGACACAGGTGAAGCACCCTCAGAGGGACCTGTCGCGGGGATTAGGCCTGTCGCTGGCATGCTGTGGTGCTCTTTGCATGGTGATAATGCCACTCTACCTGCCCATAATGACACTTGTCTATATTCCCTTTTCCTGATTTCCTATTTGCAGGTGAAGCACCCTCAGCGTGATTTGCCCCTGGGAATAGGGCTGTCATTAACCTGCTGTGGCGTTCTCTGCGTGGTGATAGCGCCACTTGCGTTCTGCTTCCTGTTCACGCCAACCCTCCTCTCCCTCCTCGTCTCTATGCTCAGGTGAAGCACCCTCAGCGCGACCTGCCTCTGGGGATAGGCCTGTCACTTACCTGCTGTGGTGCTCTCTAAAAGGTGATAGCAGCACTCTGCATGCTGAGTCTCACCCATCTCCATTCTCCATGCACTATCCCCGCTTCTCCATGCACAGGTGAAGCACCCTCAGCGTGACCTGCCTCTGGGCATTGGGCTTTCACTCACATGCTGTGGCGCTCTCTACATGGTGATAGCGTCACTATACCTGCTTGCTCCTCACTCCTCCTTGATTCCCCATGCTCTTCCCCTACCCCCGTACTCTTTCCCGCACCTTCTCTCTATAAACAGGTGAAGCACCCTCAAAGGGACCTGCCGCTGGGAATAGGCCTGTCGCTTACCTGCTATGGCGCGCTGTACATGGTGATAGCGCCACTCCACCAGCTGATGCTTACCCTTCTCACTTCCCCAAATTCTCCCTACCCCCTTCACTAATCACAGGTGAAGCACCCTCAGCGTGACCTGCCTCTGGGAATAGGCCTGTCGCTCACATGCTGTGGCGCTCTGTACATGGTGATAGCGGCGGTGCTGGTGGGGTTGACTCTGTTTGACCGCATTGACCCAGATACGCCCATGGCTCAGGCCTTTGACACCTACCATTTGGATTGGGCCAAGTGAGTGAGTGAGTGAGTGAGTGTGCACCTTGGATGCATGCATACAAGTCTCATGGGTGGTGCTGGTGGGGTTGACTCCGTTTGACCGCATTGACCCGGACACACCCATGGCTCAGGCGTTTGACACCTACCATTTGGACTGGGCCAAGTAAGTGGGAGAGGTGTGTGAGGGAGTGAGTGTGAGTGAGTGTGTGGGCTGCCTATACTATAGAACCATCACCCATGGCTCAGGCGTTAAACACCTACCATTTGGATTGGGCCAAGTAAGTGGGAGAGGGAGGGTGTGAAGGAGTGGCGATTCTGGTGGGGTTGACTCCGTTTGACCACATTTACCCAGACACACACATGGCACACCCTGGACTGGGCCAAGTGAGTGAGTTGGGGGCTGATTCTGAATGCGCGTGCATGCATGCATGCGCACGCATGCAAATGCGTGGCATGCACCCCCTATGTGCTTGCATCCCGTATGTGCTGGTCGTTCATATCACATAAATGCTCGTTGTATCCATCATGTGCTTGTATCGCACAAGTGCTTGTATCCCATGTCTGTGCATACAATGAATGTGCTTGTATTGTGCTGCATATGTGTTGATATCTCACATGTGCTTGTATCGCAGGTACCTTGTAACAGCGGGAGCGCTAGCGGCTCTCTCCACTACTCTGCTCGGATCCCTGCTGCCCCAGGTAGGTGCCATTCCCACAGGGTAGCATTTTGCACATGTGTATTTTTGAGTCGGCTCAAAAGACTTCTGAGTCGACTCAAAAAATGTCGTGTGCCATGGTAACGAGGTGACTTTTGAGTAAACTCAAAAGTCACCAGGTAGGTGCCATTCCCACAGGGTAGCATTTTGCACATGTGTCTTTTGTCGGGTTTTGTCATCTGATAAGCAGCTCTTTCCACTACTCTGCTCGGATCCCTGCTGCCCCAGGTAGGTGCCATTCCCACAGGGTAGCATTTAGCATTTTGGTGCCTGTCAATGCGGCCACGGGAGTGCCTCATGGTCATGACTCTCAGTGGGCTTGCTGCACCAACTAATTTTCAACGACCACTGCCCCTTCACCCCACCCCTCCCTCCTGTTCTGTTGTCCTCTCCTCTTGTGCTGAACTCACAGCCTCGCATCCTGATGGTCATGGCACGGGACGGTCTCCTCCCTGCCTGGTTCGGCCGCATTGACAAGGCCACTGTCAACGCGGCCACTGTCTCTTCACCCCCCATTCCTGTTCTCTTGCCTTGCCTTGCCTTCCCACACCCCCAGCCCCGCATCCTGATGGTCATGGCGCAGGACGGTCTCCTCCCAGCCTGGTTCAATAACACTCCATACACACTGCACTGGTCACACACTCCTGTCTCTCCCCTTCCCACACAGCCGCGCATCCTCATGGTCATGGCGCGCGACGGCCTCCTCCCGGCCTGGTTCGGCCGCATCGACAAGGCCACAGGAGTGCCCTATGCACTCACCTCACACGAATCATTCACTCCCCACACACTCCCCTCACTCTTCTCCCCGTGCAGCCGCGCATCCTCATGGTGATGGCGCGCGACGGCCTCCTCCCGGCCTGGTTCGGCCGCATTGACAAGGCCACGGGCGTGCCTCTCATCGCGACCACTATCCCTTCACCCCCATACACACTGCCCACACACACTTCCCCCACAACCCACCCCCCCCCCAACCAACAGCCGCGCATCCTGATGGTCATGGTGCGGGACGGTCTCCTCCCAGCCTGGTTTGGCCGCATCGAAAAAGCCACGGGAGTGCCTGTCAACGGGACCACTGCCCCTTCACCCCGCCCCTCCCTCCTGTTCTCTTGTCCTCACTCTCCTCTTGTGCTGCACTCACAGCCGCGCATACTCATGGTCATGGCACGGGACGGCCTCCTCCCAGCCTGGTTCGGCCGCATCGACAAGGCCACGGGAGTGCCTCAGAACGCGACAGCTGTCACCGGGCTATTGGCCGCTGCCATGGCGTTTGTGCTGGACATTGAACAGCTGTCAGGCATGGTGGGTGTGTGGATGGGAGGGGAGGGATGGGGGGATTGGAGGCATGAGAGCATGGGGAGTGTGCTGCCATGGCTCACATGGACTACTGGTCGCCGCCATGGCGTTTGTGCTGGATATCGAACAGCTGTCGGGCATGGTGGGTGGGCAGGGGGAAGGATGAGATGTGAGCGGGGCTTTAATGTAGTCTTCTAAGCCTGAGGATCACGGGGAACATGCAGGGAGCTGCCATGGCGTTTGTAGCCAGCTCTTGAACGCTCTATTGGCCGCTGCCATGGCGTTTGTAGCCAGCTCTTGACCGCTCTGTTGGCCGCTGCCATGGCGTTTGTGCTTGATATCGGGCAGCTGTCAGGCATGGTGGGTTGGAAGGGGGTGGAGGGACGGGGGGGGTAAGTGGGGACCTCTTCTTCCTTCCGACCCTCCTCGCCGTCACCACTGTCAGCCTCTCAGCCCTCATCCTTCAGTGATTGATAATCTGCCTATCTGCTCCCTTTCTCTCGCACTCCCCTCTCCCTATCTGCCTCCCCCATGCTAACACCAGGTCAGCGTCGGCACTCTTCTCGCATTCACCACCGTCAGCCTCTCAGTCCTCATCCGTATGTGATTGATACTCTTTCCCCCGTCCTCCTCTGCTCACTTTCGCCTCCACTCCTCCTCTCTCCCTGTCTGCTCTGCCTCCCCCATGCTAACACCAGGTCAGCGTGGGTACTCTTCTCGCATTTACACTGTCAGCCTCTCAGTCCTCATCCCTCGCATATTGATGCTCTAATCTCGGTCTCTTTCTGCCCCTGCCCCCCTCCCTCCCCTGTTCCTGCACCAGGCCAGTGTGGGAACTCTCCTCGCATTCACCACCGTCAGCCTCTCAGTCCTCATCCTTCGCTGCACATACCCATGAACCCCAAACATCTTTCATTCATTCTCCTGCCCTTCCCCCTCTCCCCTCCCCCATGCTAACACCAGGTCAGTGTCGGCACCCTTCTCGCATTCACCACTGCCAGCCTCTCAGTCCTCATCCTTCACTTATTGCAACTCTGCTCCGCCTCTCCTCCACTCCCCCTGTCTCCCCTATTTCCACACACATCAGGTCAGTGTGGGAACTCTTCTCGCGTTCACCACCGTCAGCCTCTCAGTCCTCATCCTTCGCTACACCCCTCCCACCTCTCCTCCCACCCCTCTCCCCTCCTCACACCCCCCTTCACTCCCCTCCTCCTCTTCCCCCTCCCACAACCACCTTAACTACCACCCCACATCCTCCTCCTCTCGCCCCCTACCAGCCCATACATTCTCTCCCCCAACTCGACCCCAATATATAACATCCTCTCTTCCAACTGCTGCCGCAGGGGCGGATTTTTTGTCTCTTCCCCTCTCCCGGTTGGCCAATCCAGTGTGTTCCAGCACATGGGATCGCCGGACAGCCTGGGCACATCTCCAGCCATTGAAATCCGATCTAACGGCCAGCTGCAGTCCGTGTTTTCCCTCACTCCCAACTCGTTTCAAGCACCGCTGCTGGCTCGATTGCTTGAAGAGAGGGCGGGAGAGGGGGAGGGGGATGCGGAGGGAGGGGGTGAGGAGGAGAGGGAGGAAGAAAGACGGAATGAGGAGGAGGAGGAGAGGGAGGAGGAGGGAGGGGATGAGGAAGGGGAGGATGACGCAGCGGAAGAGCGAGAAGAGGAGGAATCGGGATCTCAGGAACAAAAGCAGCAGCACCGTACAGCAAACCTTTCCACCGCATGCAACACCACAGTATCGAGAGGACTGGGTGAAGCTACCGTTGACATTGCCACTGAGAGCAACACTGCACAAGCCAGGAATCACGGCTCTGCTCATCCTGCTACTATCACACCTTGTACAGTCACTGCTGTAGCCACACCTGCTGCGACAGGTCCTGCTACAGCCACTGCTACAGATGCTACAGCCGCTATTGCACCCACTTCCCACAGACGACTTGCCTCACGAGTCATTGTCGCTGTCTCGCTGGGCGCCCCTCTGCTTGGCGCTGCTGCTGCTGTGGCTCCTGCTTCTGCCGACCTCTCCATTACAACAAAGTGAGTAATCAGTCCCCCCTCTCCACAGCCTCACATCCCACAGACGACTTGCCTCACGAGTCATTGTCGCTGTCTCGCTGGGCGCCCCTCTGCTTGGCGCTGCTGCTGCTGTGGCTCCTGCTTCTGCCGACCTCTCCATTACAACAAAGTGAGTAATCAGTCCCCCCTCTCCACAGCCTCGCATCCCACAGACGACTTGCCTCACGAGTCATTGTCGCTGTCTCGCTGGGCGCCCCTCTGCTTGGCGCTGCTGCTGCTGTGGCTCCTGCTTCTGCCGACCTCTCCATTACAACAAAGTGAGTAATTATCCCCCGCTCTCCATAGCCTCACATCCCACAGACGACTTGCCTCACGAGCCATCGTTGCTGTCTCGCTGGGCGCCCCTCTGCTTGGCGCTGCTGCTGCTGTGGCTCCTGCTTCTGCCGACCTCTCCATTACAACAAAGTGAGTAATCAGTCCCCCCTCTCCACAGCCTCGCATCCCACAGACGACTTGCCTCACGAGTCATTGTCGCTGTCTCGCTGGGCGCCCCTCTGCTTGGCGCTGCTGCTGCTGTGGCTCCTGCTTCTGCCGACCTCTCCATTACAACAAAGTGAGTAATTATCCCCCGCTCTCCATAGCCTCACATCCCACAGACGACTTGCCTCACGAGCCATCGTTGCTGTCTCGCTGGGCGCCCCTCTGCTTGGCGCTGCTGCTGCTGTGGCTCCTGCTTCTGCTGACCTCTCCAGTACAACAAAGTGAGTAACCTCTCTCGACCGCCTTACATTGCATAGACTACTGGCCTCTCGAGGCAAAGGGGGCATCTCACTGGGCGCCCATCTGCTTGGCGCTGCTGCTGTGGCTTCGTCTTCCGCTGACCTTTCAGAGTGAGTTGCAACGGTTCCCCTTTCTAAACAGCTGCTGAGAGTGAGTGACGATTCTCCTCCTTCCAGCGTCTGCTGCTGTGGTCACTTCTGCTGCCAATGCTGCTGCTGTGGCTTCGTCTTCTGCTAACCTCCCCAGTTCAGAGTGAGTTGCAACGGTTCCCCTTTCTAAACAGCTGCTGAGAGTGAGTGACGATTCTCCTCCTTCCAGCGTCTGCTGCTGTGGTCACTTCTGCTGCCAATGCTGCTGCTGTGGCTTCGTCTTCTGCTAACCTCCCCAGTTCAGAGTGAGTTGCAACGGTTCCCCTTTCTAAACAGCTGCTGAGAGTGAGTGACGATTCTCCTCCTTCCAGCGTCTGCTGCTGTGGTCACTTCTGCTGCCAATGCTGCTGCTGTGGCTTCGTCTTCTGCTGACCTCCCCAGTTTAGAGTGAGTGGTAACGCTTCCCCTCTTTACACAGCTTGTCAGGGTAAGAAATACAGTCTATGCTGCAGACACACATCCATATCCTTCTAATGAATGTAGCAAGGTGGTCTTTATGACGTTCTAGCAAATCCTTGAAGTCACCTCTATGCTGCAGACAACACGTCCGTATCCTTCTAGAGGCCAGCTTGCTTCCAACTTCTAATGAATGTAGCAACGCCTATGCACGGTGGCACGAGGGGCCAGCTTCCAACTTCTGCTGGCATCCAACTAAAGTGTATCATTTCCAGGCGCCTTAAAGAGAAATACGCCTTAAAATATCTTTTGTGCGCCTCAAAAGTCGTCTATGCACGGTGGCACAACAGGCCAGCTGCCACTACCGTTGAACTCTCTCCCTTGCCAACTGTCCCCTTTCTCCTCTCCCACACACACCCCCTCTCCCTGTCCCCTACCCTCCCCCCTGGCACCTACCCCCTCTCCTGTCCCCCACCCTCTCCTCTCTCTTCTTTCTTCTGTTCCTTCTCCCGCCCCCCCTCCCACCAGTTGGTTACCTCTCCTACTATTCTCTCTGGGCGGCCCACTGTTCCTCGGAGGGGCAGCAACGCTTGGATGTATCAACGAGGACGAAGGACGGCACCAGTTCGGATCAGCAGGAGGTGAGGATTACAAACTCGAATTCAAACTTATTATCTTACCAGGATTCTATGATGAGTCGCTTTCGAGAGTTCTCAAAAGTTTAACACACTACCAACCTTGTATGGTTCCATTGCCTCTTGTTGCCTGTGCCTTCCCCACACTTGCGTCCTTTACTTCCCCAGGCATCTATGTAGACCTTTCCCGCTCTTCCTCCCCCTCCTCCCTTTTTTCACCCCTGTTCCCTGTTTGAACAAAAACAACTCTCCAGGGTTTCACTGCCCCTGGGTGCCGTGGCTTCCCCTCGCCAGCATCATGGTCAACGTGTACCTCATGGCCAACTTAGGGTGAGTACGGGTCAACCAGAGTCAACAAGATTCAAGCATTTCAACCAGAGTCAACGCCCTTTTCCCGGGGTGCCATGGCTTACCCTCGCCAGCATTCTTTTCAACGTGTATCTCATGGCCAATTTAGGGTGAGTACGAGTCAACCAGAGTCAACTAGAGTCAACGCCCTTCCCCCAGGTTTCCACTGTCCTTGGGTGCCATGGCTTCCCCTCGCCAGCATTCTTGTCAACGTGTATCTCATGGCCAATTTAGGGTAAGTACGAGTCAACCAGAGTCAAACCGAGTCAACCAGAATCAACCAGAGTCAACGCCCTTTTCCATCGCTGTTGGGTGCTGCCTTCCCCTCGCCAGCATTCTTATCAACGTGTACCTCATAACCAATTTAGTGTGAGTACAAGCCTCACAGGTCAACAGAGTCAAGCAGTTCAACCAGGGTCAACGCCGGGTGCTGTGGCTTCCCCTTGTCAGCATCCTCATAAACGTTTACCTCATGGCGAACCTGGGGTGAGTACAAGTCAATCAGGTCAACCAGAGTCAATGCAGGTTCCACTGCCACTGGGTGCCGTGGCTTCCCCTTGCCAGCATCCTCGTAAACGTTTACCTCATGGCCAATTTGGGGTGAGTACAAGCCTCACAGGTCAACAGAGTCAAGCATTTCAACCAGGGTCAACGGCAGCCGGGTGCCATGGCTTCCCCTTGCCAGCATCATGGTCAACGTGTATCTCGTGGCCAATCTGGGGTGATCACCAGTCAAGTCAAGCAGAGTCAATGCCTTTCTCCCATTGTCAACGTGTATCAAATCGCCTTCATCTCTTTCCGTCCTCCCATTTCCCTCCCCCCCCTCTCTCCCCAATCACCACCAGTGCCACCACGTGGCTCTACTCCTCCTCCTGGCTCGCTATAGGAGCACTCGTTTACCTCGCATACAGCCTGCAACACAGCGCCTTGTTCCAGGCCCTGTGTTCCCTTCTCTTCCTTCTCACCCCCAGTGCCACCACGTGGCTCTATTCATCATCCTGGCTCGCTATAGGAGGACTCATTTACCTCGAATGCGGCCTGCACCACAGCGCCCTGACCCTCCATCTACCCTGCTTCCCTTCCCATTCCCACCAGCGCCACCACATGGCTCTATTCATCGTCCTGGCTCGCTATAGGATCACTCGTTTCCCTCGCCAACGGATTGCACCACAGCGCCCTGGGTCGAGCCCACGCGCTGGTTTTTTAGAATTCTCAAAAAACAGCGCTCTGGGTCAAGCCCACACGCCGGGCCCTCCTTGAATTCTTTCGTTCCTCCCGTTTCCCTCCCTTGCCCTACCCCTCCTCCCCCCAATCAGTGCCACCACGTGGCTCTATTCCTCTTCATGGCTCGCTATAGGAGCACTCGTTTACCTCGCATACGGCCTGCACCACAGCGCCCTGGGGCAAGCCTAGAGTAACCTTCTGTTCCCTCCTGTGCTTCCTGTGTTTCCCGTGTCTCCTGACTTTCCCATCCAACCCTCTTCCAGTGCCACCACGTGGCTCTACTCCTCCTCGTGGCTCGCTATAGGAGCACTCGTTTACCTCGCCTACGGCCTGCACCACAGTGCCCTGGGTCAAGCCCACGCGCCGGGCCCACGCATTCTGGATGCCTCGAAGCGCACTGCCAGCTGGTGGAACCTGGGCACGCCGTTTGAGGAGTGGGTGGTGCAGCAGACGCACAGATAGGCACGGGTGGGGCAAGGGCAAGCCAGATAGGCAGAGGGCAAGGCGTGTGGCTGTGAGCAGACATACTTCTGAGCAAGCCACATACTTCTGGGTTTTTGAGAGTTCTCAAAAACCGGCCCGCGTGTTCTGGTTTCTTTCAAGCGGACGGCTAGCTGGTGGAACCTGGGGACGCCTGGGTGGTGCAGCAGACGCACAGACAGGCAGGCAGAGAGGCAGGCAGAGAGGCAGGCAGGTGAAGAATATGCATGAGCGGTATGCGTGCCAGCAAGCCCATGTGCCGGGCCCACGCGTTCTTGATGTCTCCAAGCGCACTGCCAGCTGGTGGAACCTGGGCACGCCGTTTGAGGAGTGGGTGGTGCAGCAGACGCACAGACAGGCAAGCAGACAGAGGGGCACAGATGACAGATAGGCTCTGCCTGTGAGACTCAAGGTGCACGGCTAGCTGGTGGAACCTGGGCACGCCGTTTGAGGAGTGGGTGGTGCAGCAGACGCACAGGCAGGCACGGGTGGGGCAAGGCAGATAGACAGAGAGCAAGACTTGTGACTGTGGGCAGACATGCGGCCAACGTGCTCTGGATGCTTCCAAGCGCACTGCCAGCTGGTGGAATCTGGGCACGCCGTTTGAGGAGTGGGTGGTGAAGCAGACACATAGACAGGCACGGGTGGGACAAAGGCAAGGGTAGCTAGAGAGAGAGAAAGGCATGCAGGCAAGCCCACGCGCCGGGCCCGCGCGTTATGGATGCTTCTAAGCGGACGGCTAGTTAGTGGAACCTGGGAACGCCGTTTGAGGAGTGGGTGGTGCAGCAGACGCACAGACAGGCACGGGTGGGGCAAGGGCAAGCCAGATAGGCAGAGGGCAAGGCGTGGGGCTGTGAGCAGAGTTCTGGGCAAGCCACATACTTCTGGGCCCGCGTGCGCTGGTTTCTTCCAAGCGGGCGGCTAGCTGGTGGAACCTGGGCACGCCGTTTGAGGAGTGGGTGGTGAAGCAGATGCACAGACAAGGAGGGAGACAGAGGGACACTGGTGACAGTCGGGATGGGTGACAGAGAGGCATGGGTGGTAGGCGTGCCAGCAGGCCCATGCGGCTGGTTCCCGCGTTCTGGATGCCTCTAAGCGGACGGCTAGCTGGTGGAACCTGGGGACGCCGTTTGAGTGGGTGGTGCAGCAGACGCACAGACAGGCAGGCAGGGAGAGAGACGCGAGTGTTGAGGAAACAAGGCATGTGACTGTGAGGTTGCACAGGAGGATCGGTGTGAGGGGAGGGCTGTGGAGGAGGGGAACTGGTGCAAGGGGAGGGATGGGAAGCAGGGGGAGTGGTGAAAGTACCGTCGTCAACACAGCAACATACAAAGTGTTGCGTTACAAGCTGGTCATGGTATCATCATGTGTAAATAGTGTTGCGATGCGACATTCTTTTGCTGCTCTTAAAAGCAGCTGAGCATGGCTGTTGGTTGTTACAGTACAAAACGAATTCGATACATGAGATAAATGTCGGCATTTGCATGTGTGCTAATCATGGTAGTGAATGTGATGCGATACAGTGAATATACACATGTACATGTACAGTGCAGATTGCAATGCACTGTACGCACAAAGAAATGCATGTTTCTTTTAACAAGGAACTGTAATAAAACAAAATAATTACACTCATCTGGCCACCCCGTTACAAGTAGGACACAAGACCAGTCCATTCTCGTTACACACATCACACTCAATAAATCTACCCCCACCACTACCAGCACCACCCCCCCCAGATGCTACCTTCCTGCTCCCATGGCAATGGCTGCAGGGAACAAACCGCGCATCCCCACAACCCCTACACACACTCCCACCAGCACCAGCAGAAGCAGCACTAACAGACAAACTGCGCCGACCGCTGGCCGCTACAGCCGCTCCACCGCCTGCAGCCTTGAGCCAGACGACTAGGGCGTCTAAGGCCCCTTCCTCGTACATCTGTAGCACCGCCTCTGTGCCACCCACGTGCCGCCCGCGCACGAATAGCTGCGGGACACGTGGCATGTCCCCCGCGAATAGGAGGAGAAGCTCGTCCTGATAGGCTGGATGTAGCGCCACGTCACGCTCCTGGAATCGCAGATGGAGGCTCTGATTGGTGGAAGGGTGGGGGGTGCAGGGGTGGAACGGGTAGGAAGTGCACATGAATAATGACCAGAGGCGTGTCGTTTGATAGGCTGGGTGTAATGCCACGTCACGCTCCTAAAATTGCAGATGAAGGCTCTGATTGGTGAGAGGCAGGGGAGGAAGGGTGGGGGGGGGATTGAAGATAGGGGGGAAGGAAAGGGGAGGGGGAGAAGACATGGGATTTGAATAGTAGCAGCAGGTCTCCCACGAATCGCAGCAGGTCTCCCTGATAGGCTGACTGTACTCCCACGAATCGCAGACGGAGGATCTGATTGGTGGGAGGCACATCGGGGAAGGTTGGGGGAAGGTTGGGGAAAATGGGAAGGGGGGGAGAGGTAAGAGCGAGGTTGCACGGAAATAGAAAAAGAGCACCAGCTTAGCAAGATAGGCTGGGTGCAGCACATACAGCACAGCACCACCAGCGCCACTGCCTCCAGCGACGTGACTTTTGAGTCAACTCAAAAGTCACTTGCTACATACAGCACAGCACCACCAGCGTCATTGCCTCCAGCAATGTCCCATACACCGCCACCAGCTCCTTCCACCCGAGCAGGCAGTTCACTTTCCAATGGGCAGCTGTGGAAACAAGCCTCCAAACAGTTCACCTTGAGGAGTGCTCTCATCTTCACACAGTCAGCATGTGTCTTCCTCACAGCCTCCAAAGACGTCGCATACACCACCGCCAGCTCTCCCCCCCTCCACACCGCAGTTCGCTTCAGCTCACCATTAGTTCAACAAACCCATTCGTGTAAGCCTCTCACCTTCAGCAGTGCCCTCAACCTCACGCAGTCAGCATGTGTCAGCACAAACAGCACCACCGGCTCCTCCCCTCAAGGTGGGCACATCACCTCAAACCGACTCAGCTCACCACCATCACTCTGTCACACCCACTCATGCATGAACCTTACCTTCAGGTAAGCCACTCACCTTGAGAAGTGCCCTCAACTTCACACAGTCAGCGTGGGTTTTCCTGACTGCTTCAAGAGACGTCACATACAGCAGCACCAGCTACTCCCCGCCAAGCGGCCAGATCACCTAAAATTCCCGCTCCAGGAACTCCGCTGCTATCCCCTCCCCTTTCACTCAGAGCAAGCCAACCACTCACCTTGAGGAGTGCTCGCATCTTCACACAGTCAGCATGAGTTTTCCTGACTGCTTCAAGCGACGTCACATACAGCACCACCAGCTGCTCCCCTCCAGGCGGGCAGTTCACCTCAAACCGACTCAATTCCCGCTCCAAACACTCCGCTGCTATCCCCGCAACTGCTGCCAGCGACCGTTCTGCTGCTAACGAGGCTGCTTGTATGGGATCGCTCTCAGGATCGAAGGAAGGATCGCTGACAGGAGCAGAGGAGGGGTTGCTAGCACGAGATGCATCTGTACTTCGGTATGCCTTATCCTGTCTCTGCTGTGCTGATTCCCGTGGCTCGTTTTGGCGATCGGCTGGAAAGCCCGTTTGAGGCGCATCAGAAGAGAGTCCATCCCTGTGACCATGACTATTACCATCACCACGACCACCACTATTATCATCACCACAACCATGACTATTTCCATCACCACCATGACTATCACCATCACCACCATCACCACCCCCATCATCAGCACATAGCTGCAGCAGCTCCTCTAACGCCTCCATATCCACATCATCCTCGTTATAGTGCCGCCTCTCCGATTCGTTAAGCTGCTGAAAGCTACGCTCCCAGTGACCGTTAGCACCCTTCAAGGCGTGACCATTCTCCCCTTGGTCACTCTCCCCTTTGTCACCCTCATGACTGTCATACCCCAAAGAGCCTGTAAAAGCACCACTGGAACCTCTATCCGAAGTACCCTTCTCGTCTGACTGCATCTGCCCCCTTTCTAAAGGCAAATCGCTCTGCTGCTCCGCTGAGTATGTCCCTCCCTCGACCTCAAAAGCATTGCCTCTTGCTCCTTGTTCTAGATGCTCCCTTCCTCCTACTCCTCCTGCTCCACCTCCCTCCACCACTTTGCATCCCTCACCACCGACTCTCTCTCGTCTCTCACCACTCTCCACCACGAGCTCTGGGTCCAACTCTGGTGCCTCTACCCCTTCCCTATCCCTCGTCCATTCCCTTTCCCCCTCTTCTCCCAACGCCTTGCCCCACTCCCCCCTCTCCTCCGAATCCAACTCAGTTCCCCTCCCTTGCCCCTCTTCCTCTCCCCTTTCCTCACCCTCCTCCGTCTCCTCTCCTTCTCCCTCCTCCCCTTCAATCCCCTCCTTTTCTCCCCCCTCCTCCCCCTCGTCCCCCTCCCCCAACCCCGCTAGTAAATCACCCATATCAATCCCCCCTTCATCCCCTCTTCCTCCTCCTCCTCCCCTCCATCTAACACCCCTTCCAAATCAATCACATTCCCATCCTCGTTATAACCACCTCCAAAAAAATCACCTCCCGCTCCCCCCCCCCCCCACTCCCCTTTCCCCCCCTCCCCTCCATCCCCGTCCCTCCCTCCCACTCCTCTCCTCGAACCCTAAAAGAGGGTAAACCCAGTAATCCCCCCATTCCAGGTGCCACATCCCCTAGCTCTGGCCGCTGCAGCAGCAGCGCGGCAGGGTCTGGAGTGGCGTCGTCTGCCTTCATACGCGCTATAGCCTCCTCCACTGGATCGTCTATAACCACCATGGGGAGAGGGAAGGGGAGAGGGTGAGGGTTTGAAGAGGAAACAGCGATGGGGGTGTTTGTGATGCTAGACGCTGCTGCCGCTGGTGCTGCCGCTGGTGCTGCTGCTGGTATTGCTCCTGCTGCTGTTGCTGCTGCTGCTGCGTGGTACTGCTACAGTTGCAGGTGCAGGCGTTACTGATGGTTCCGACGGTCGTGCTGCTGTTACTACGCCTACTAGTTTCTGGGAAGGAGTTACTAAGGGCTGCTGCTGCCTGCTGCCCTGCTGTTGAAACGGGACCGATGCTCCGTTATTAGCTGCTCCTTTAATCGTCGCAGCTTCGGGATGCTGTCCTGCACCGTTTGTACGCGATATGCAGCACCCCATGGCTGCGTTATTGGGGTGACAACGCACTCCGCTGGTTCAAGCCGTCCCTTTATCGTTTCAACGCGGCTCGATCATAGACTCGCTACTATATCTCTCTCGTTAAACATTTATTTTCTCTGGCAAGTTACACGACAACTGAAGGCCCCTGGAGTCTCAGCTCTGGAAAATACAGTTTCTGACAGCGAAGGTTGGGCAGCATATGGAATCATGAAATCAATATATACACCTGGTAGTAGCACAATGCTAACGAGTTTTCAGAACCCCAGAACTGAATATATACACCTGAAAACCAAGGGTGCGCAGCATCAAAAGACTCCAGAGTGCGCTCGGTGTGAAAACAAGCGACGGGATCTAAACAGGTGCTCGGAATATTACGTTTCTCACGTAAGACTATCCGTTGTCTCTTGAGCTATTAGGAGGATTAGAACCAAGTGCGAGTATGAGCTAAGAGTATACCACTATATCGTTTCAACGGCTCGTCTCAAACAGGCTCGCAGCTGATACGCCGCGGCGGCTCAATCGACGTAGAAACGCGGGAAGATCGGAACGGCCTGAAAGCTTGGTTCACTTCATTCACCATACTTAGTACTAAGCAGACCGGGTTGGAAGTGTGTGCTTATTACGCAGCACCTTACTCAGGGACGGAAACTAGGACATAAATAGCTAAGTCCCTTGGTGTTTTGAATGGTGAGAAACGAAAGATCTGTCGATCTTTCAAATGGTGCTTGACAGAAGCGACGCGGCTATTTGAGTCGTCCCTCCTGACACGCCAAGGGGGGGGTGGACACCTTGCAGTCGGAAAAAACGCGATATGAGGTCTCCGATATCAGCACTTGAAACTGACAAATGTGGTTAGGAATGTAATTATCATAAACCAGCCACACGTAACAATGTTTCATACCTGGAAATGAAATTATGCTTTTGAAATGAACTCATCATCCATTGCTTATGCAACAATGAGAACACATTTCTCGCGATACAATCCAACTAACATAGTACAGAATCGCACGGCAAATATGAGACACTGAACAAAATTACCACCACTTTTATCCAGCTACTGTTGTCGTTCTGTGGCCATTTCCGCTGGTTGACAATCACCACCAATTGCTTGCACTTGAAGGTCTTGTTTCCCTACCCGCACCTCAGGCCTCCCGCGACTTGCTCTCTCCCTCCGCCTCTTCCTCTTCTCACCATTCCCCACCTCATTTCCCCCCTCTCCTCTCCCTTTCTCTGTCCTCTCCTCCCTCACTCTCTCACTCACCACCTTCCCACTCCCTGTCTCCACAGTCTTGGGTGGTTTCAGCTTCCCTATCTTCACCCCCGCCAGCCCTCTCCTTGCCGTCTCCCACGCTGCTGCCGACACAGGCCCCTTCCTCTTCCCCTGCCCCTGCTGTACCTCAAACCCTAGCCCCTGCTCCGATCCTTGCTGCTCCTGCCCTGTGCTGCTGCTGCTACTGCTGCTGCCGTCACTCATGCTGCCCGCACTGTCGTCCCCGGGCGGCACGCCAATGATGACGCCCGACCCGAGGCACGTGTCGCCATCATAGAAGGCGGCAAACTGCCCAGCAGCCAAGCCCTGGTCGTCCTGGGAGAGTGTCACCAACGCTGCTGCTTCTGTCTCTCCTGCTGACAATGCCTTTCCTGCTCTTGCTCCTGTTGCTGCTCCTGCTGGTGCTTCCCCTGCTGCAGATTCCTCCACTGGTCCTGTTTCTGCTGGCGGATGGTTCATTGCATCTGGACACATGGCCGCTGGCAGTTCAGCGAACTGAACGGAGCAGGGGTAGAACTGGGGGCCGTGGCGGACCTACAGAGGGGGGAAACAGGGGACGGAATTGGTGGGGGGGGGGGGCAACAAAGGGGGGCAGGAGCAGGCACACATTGAAGCACTAACAGCATCGGGCAGGGGTAGAACTGGGGGTCATGCCGAAACTGCAGAGAGGGGGGATTGAGGGGTACTGGGGAAGTGAGGGGATGGGGAAAGGATGGGGAGTGGGTGGCGTGAGAGAGAGTGTGGGTGTTTGGTTGGTGGGGTGGGGTTTCTGAGGGTCTTGCGAGCGATAGGTGCTTGCTGCACCCTTCTCTGCTCTGCTCTGCTCTGCTCTGCTCTGCTCTGCTCTGCTCTGCTCTGCTCTGCTCTGCTCTGCTCTGCTCTGCTCTGCTCTGCTCTGCTCTGCTCTGCTCTGCTCTGCTCTGCTCTGCTCTGCTCTGCTCTGCTCTGCTCTGCTCTGCTCTGCTCTGCTCTGCTCTGCTCTGCTCTGCTCTGCTCTGCTCTGCTCTGCTCTGCTCTGCTCTGCTCTGCTCTGCTCTGCTCTGCTCTGCTCTGCTCTGCTCTGCTCTGCTCTGCTCTGCTCTGCTCTGCTCTGCTCTGCTCTGCTCTGCTCTGCTCTGCTCTGCTCTGCTCTGCTCTGCTCTGCTCTGCTCTGCTCTGCTCTGCTCTGCTCTGCTCTGCTCTGCTCTGCTCTGCTCTGCTCTGCTCTGCTCTGCTCTGCTCTGCTCTGCTCTGCTCTGCTCTGCTCTGCTCTGCTCTGCTCTGCTCTGCTCTGCTCTGCTCTGCTCTGCTCTGCTCTGCTCTGCTCTGCTCTGCTCTGCTCTGCTCTGCTCTGCTCTGCTCTGCTCTGCTCTGCTCTGCTCTGCTCTGCTCTGCTCTGCTCTGCTCTGCTCTGCTCTGCTCTGCTCTGCTCTGCTCTGCTCTGCTCTGCTCTGCTCTGCTCTGCTCTGCTCTGCTCTGCTCTGCTCTGCTCTGCTCTGCTCTGCTCTGCTCTGCTCTGCTCTGCTCTGCTCTGCTCTGCTCTGCTCTGCTCTGCTCTGCTCTGCTCTGCTCTGCTCTGCTCTGCTCTGCTCTGCTCTGCTCTGCTCTGCTCTGCTCTGCTCTGCTCTGCTCTGCTCTGCTCTGCTCTGCTCTGCTCTGCTCTGCTCTGCTCTGCTCTGCTCTGCTCTGCTCTGCTCTGCTCTGCTCTGCTCTGCTCTGCTCTGCTCTGCTCTGCTCTGCTCTGCTCTGCTCTGCTCTGCTCTGCTCTGCTCTGCTCTGCTCTGCTCTGCTCTGCTCTGCTCTGCTCTGCTCTGCTCTGCTCTGCTCTGCTCTGCTCTGCTCTGCTCTGCTCTGCTCTGCTCTGCTCTGCTCTGCTCTGCTCTGCTCTGCTCTGCTCTGCTCTGCTCTGCTCTGCTCTGCTCTGCTCTGCTCTGCTCTGCTCTGCTCTGCTCTGCTCTGCTCTGCTCTGCTCTGCTCTGCTCTGCTCTGCTCTGCTCTGCTCTGCTCTGCTCTGCTCTGCTCTGCTCTGCTCTGCTCTGCTCTGCTCTGCTCTGCTCTGCTCTGCTCTGCTCTGCTCTGCTCTGCTCTGCTCTGCTCTGCTCTGCTCTGCTCTGCTCTGCTCTGCTCTGCTCTGCTCTGCTCTGCTCTGCTCTGCTCTGCTCTGCTCTGCTCTGCTCTGCTCTGCTCTGCTCTGCTCTGCTCTGCTCTGCTCTGCTCTGCTCTGCTCTGCTCTGCTCTGCTCTGCTCTGCTCTGCTCTGCTCTGCTCTGCTCTGCTCTGCTCTGCTCTGCTCTGCTCTGCTCTGCTCTGCTCTGCTCTGCTCTGCTCTCACACTACAGAGGGCGCTTGATTGGTGGGGTGGGGTTACCGAGAGTCGCACCTTGCATGTCAGATTGGGCTGTTCGGTCAAAGGAGGGGTGCACGCCCCTCCCTGCGTCCAGCTGAAGCCGCCCACCCAGAACTGCCGGCGAGACTTGGCTGGAGAGTGGTAATCCCGCGAGACAAAGACCGTGTTGGTGGCCGTGTCTTTAGCTACTACATACCTGGTGAGTAAGGAAAGGGGGGGCGGGGGGGGGGGGAGTTGTGTGGAGGAAGAGGGGAACGAGGGGGAGCGTGGTGGGGTGATGGTAATTGAAGTCTGAGAGTGGTAATCGCGAGAGTCCAAGACGGTGCTGGTGACTGTGTCCATAGCCATTACATACCGGAAGAGGTAGCGTGAAAAGGGTGACATGGGAAACACAACAGAGCGTGAGGAGGTATCGAGTCGATAGTGATTTTGAGAATTCTGAAAATCAACCAAACAACAAAGTGCGGCAGTTGTGGGAGACAGTGTTAGTGGCGGTGTCTTGAGTAACCACGTTCCTGCTCAAGTGTGGGGAAAGCGGAACAGCGGGAAAACTCTACAACAAGGAAAAGATTGGCGGCTAGGAAGTGCAAGCTTGAAGAAACTAAGTGGCGGTTGCAGCCGTTTGGCTGGATAGGGTCTCTCATGGTAGGGTCTCTCACCAGCTACCTCATCACCTGCCTCATTCACAGATCCCTCCTCACTCACTCACCGCGGCCCGCCGACAGCTTGATGCCCTGTCTTTGCCCAATGGTGAAGAACCAGAAGCCCCTGTGCGTCCACAGGGCAGGGACTCCTTGCTCTGTGTTTGTGCGTGTGCGTGTGTGTATGAGGGGAATGTATGAACGACACTCAGGGATGAGTGAGCGACACACAAACAACTGGCTTCACTCACCACGGCCCGCCAGACAGCTTGATGCCCTGCCGCTGTCCGATGGTGAAGAACCAGAAGCCCCTGTGCACGCCCAGTGCCTCCCCGCTCTCTGCCTCCACCAGCAACCCCTCCTGCTCGCCCACATGCCGCGCCACGAATTCTGGGAACTTCACCTGGTGGTGATATAACAGAACAGGTACGACCAAAAGGGTGTGGGTGCAACTGGGTAAAGTAATGAGAGCAACTCGAGGCCAATGAATCGCCTTCCCACTCCCTGCCTCCACCAGCAGCCCCTCCTGCTCGCCCACGTGCCGGCCACAAACTCCGGGAACTTCACCTGTGCACAAGAGGTGTTTGAGGTGGTTAAGAAGGGTTGGGGTGTTTCAGATGGATTGAGGTTGCTACGCGGGTTGCAGCCCCTCCTGCTCGCCCACATGCCGCGCCACAAACTCTGGGAACTCCAGCTGGTGACATGGAATTATAATGGCGGAAAAAAGACACAAGACAGACAAGAGTGAAGTGGCGTGTGTGTGCAACCGGGTAAAAAATATGAAATTGTACCGTCCCTGCATCGTACCTTGCTTTCCCCAGGAAACAAATCCCCTGAGAGTCCTCTCGGCTCTGGTTAAGCAGGTTGAATGCTGCTGCTAGCTGTCGCACCTAGATCTACCTTCCCCACATTGTACCTTCCCCACATTGCACGTTCCCCACATCGCACCTTCCCCTAATCGCACCTTCCCGAGGGCATACCTTCCCCAGGAAGCAGATCCCCTGGGAGTCCTTTCTGCTCTGGTTGGGCAAGTTGAATGCAGCTGCCAGCTGTCGCACCTGGGACTGCATAGGGAAGAAAGGACGGAAGTGATAAGAGGAAGAGGGAGTGAGGAAGAGGGCGGAGAGCCCAAACAGGGGACAGGACAAGAGAGCGAAGATGGAAGGGGGCAAGATGTCAAAGAGAAAACACTTCAAAGACGGCGAGGTGAGTCCTGAGACGCTTCAAAGAATTCTAAAAGGCAAGAGGGCGAAGACGGAAGGGGGCAAGATGGCAAAGAGGGAAGAAGGCCAGAGGTTAACGGGCAAAGGGGCTAAGAGAGAGGCATACACTGGTGAGGGCACGCGGGCAAGAGACTGAGACAGCAGCGCACCTTGGTGAGGGCCCCAAGAGGGAACATGATTCGGGACAGGTGCTGCTGCGAGCCTATTTCTTAGGCGCCTCAAGGCATGAAGAGTGCACGAGGGGATCACATGAGGGGAACGCACCAGCGCACCTTGGTGAGGCCTCCAAGGGGGAACATGATTCGGGACAGGTGCTGCTGCGAGCCTATTTCTGAGGCGCCTCAAGGCATGAGAGGAGCGCACCAACGCACCTTGGTGAGCAACGCACCTTGGTGAGCAACGCACCTTGGTGAGCAACGCACCTTGGTGAGCAACGCACCTTGGTGAGCAACGCACCTTGGTGAGCAACGCACCTTGGTGAGCAACGCACCTTGGTGAGCAACGCACCTTGGTGAGCAACGCACCTTGGTGAGCAACGCACCTTGGTGAGCAACGCACCTTGGTGAGCAACGCACCTTGGTGAGCAACGCACCTTGGTGAGCAACGCACCTTGGTGAGCAACGCACCTTGGTGAGCAACGCACCTTGGTGAGCAACGCACCTTGGTGAGCAACGCACCTTGGTGAGCAACGCACCTTGGTGAGCAACGCGCACCTTGGTGAGCAACGCACCTTGGTGAGCAACGCACCTTGGTGAGCAACGCGCACCTTGGTGAGCAACGCACCTTGGTGAGCAACGCACCTTGGTGAGCAACGCACCTTGGTGAGCAACGCACCTTGGTGAGCAACGCACCTTGGTGAGCAACGCACCTTGGTGAGCAACGCACCTTGGTGAGCAACGCACCTTGGTGAGCAACGCACCTAGGTGAGCAACGCACCTAGGTGAGCAACGCACCTTGGTGAGCAACGCACCTTGGTGAGCAACGCACCTTGGTGAGCAACGCACCTTGGTGAGCAACGCACCTTGGTGAGCAACGCACCTTGGTGAGCAACGCACCTTGGTGAGCAACGCACCTTGGTGAGCAACGCACCTTGGTGAGCAACGCACCTTGGTGAGCAACGCACCTTGGTGAGCAACGCACCTTGGTGAGCAACGCACCTTGGTGAGCAACGCACCTTGGTGAGCAACGCACCTTGGTGAGCAACGCACCTTGGTGAGCAACGCACCTTGGTGAGCAACGCACCTTGGTGAGCAACGCACCTTGGTGAGCAACGCACCTTGGTGAGCAACGCACCTTGGTGAGCAACGCACCTTGGTGAGCAACGCACCTTGGTGAGCAACGCACCTTGGTGAGCAACGCACCTTGGTGAGCAACGCACCTTGGTGAGCAACGCACCTTGGTGAGCAACGCACCTTGGTGAGCAACGCACCTTGGTGAGCAACGCACCTTGGTGAGCAACGCACCTTGGTGAGCAACGCACCTTGGTGAGCAACGCACCTTGGTGAGCAACGCACCTTGGTGAGCAACGCACCTTGGTGAGCAACGCACCTTGGTGAGCAACGCACCTTGGTGAGCAACGCACCTTGGTGAGCAACGCACCTTGGTGAGCAACGCACCTTGGTGAGCAACGCACCTTGGTGAGCAACGCACCTTGGTGAGCAACGCACCTTGGTGAGCAACGCACCTTGGTGAGCAACGCACCTTGGTGAGCAACGCACCTTGGTGAGCAACGCACCTTGGTGAGCAACGCACCTTGGTGAGCAACGCACCTTGGTGAGCAACGCACCTTGGTGAGCAACGCACCTTGGTGAGCAACGCACCTTGGTGAGCAACGCACCTTGGTGAGCAACGCACCTTGGTGAGCAACGCACCTTGGTGAGCAACGCACCTTGGTGAGCAACGCACCTTGGTGAGCAACGCACCTTGGTGAGCAACGCACCTTGGTGAGCAACGCACCTTGGTGAGCAACGCACCTTGGTGAGCAACGCACCTTGGTGAGCAACGCACCTTGGTGAGCAACGCGCACCTTGGTGAGCAACGCGCCTTGGTGAGCAACGCGCCTTGGTGAGCAACGCGCACCTTGGTGAGCAACGCGCACCTTGGTGAGCAACGCACCTTGGTGAGCAACGCACCTTGGTGAGCAACGCACCTTGGTGAGCAACGCACCTTGGTGAGCAACGCACCTTGGTGAGCAACGCACCTTGGTGAGCAACGCACCTTGGTGAGCAACGCACCTTGGTGAGCAACGCACCTTGGTGAGCAACGCACCTTGGTGAGCAACGCACCTTGGTGAGCAACGCACCTTGGTGAGCAACGCACCTTGGTGAGCAACGCACCTTGGTGAGCAACGCACCTTGGTGAGCAACGCACCTTGGTGAGCAACGCACCTTGGTGAGCAACGCACCTTGGTGAGCAACGCACCTTGGTGAGCAACGCACCTTGGTGAGCAACGCACCTTGGTGAGCAACGCACCTTGGTGAGCAACGCACCTTGGTGAGCAACGCACCTTGGTGAGCAACGCACCTTGGTGAGCAACGCACCTTGGTGAGCAACGCACCTTGGTGAGCAACGCACCTTGGTGAGCAACGCACCTTGGTGAGCAACGCACCTTGGTGAGCAACGCACCTTGGTGAGCAACGCACCTTGGTGAGCAACGCACCTTGGTGAGCAACGCACCTTGATGAGCAACGCACCTTGGTGAGCAACGCACCTTGGTGAGCAACGCACCTTGGTGAGCAACGCACCTTGGTGAGCAACGCACCTTGGTGAGCAACGCACCTTGGTGAGCAACACACCTTGGTGAGCAACGTACCTTGGTGAGCAACGCACCTTGGTGAGCAACGTACCTTGGTGAGCAACGTACCTTGGTGAGCAACGTACCTTGGTGAGCAACGTACCTTGGTGAGGGCCCCAAGAGGGAACATGACTCGAGAAAGCTGCTGCTGTGATAGGTGCGAGAGGAAGTATGTTTGGTCCTTCACCTGGCGTAGAGAGTAGGAAGAAGGGAGACAATGGGATTGGGACTACAATGGGATGAGACAATGTGAGAGGGAAGGAACTTGGAAGGATAAAAAGTTGATAAGTTTTGAGACACCTGCAACGTGTGGGGTAATCTGGGGCAACCACCAAAACGTGTGGGCGGTTAGGCACGTGCAGTGCCAGATTGGGAGCGAGTCGAGTTTACCCAACCGCCCACCAGTGCTGCGACCTAGGCATCTGAAATCGTTCGCACCTCATCTGCTGCTTGCACCAGGCGCACAGCAGCAGCCAGGCCAGCTGGCGAGCGGACAACTCACCAGGCCAGCTGCCTCTATGCCAGGCCAGCTGCCTCTATGCCGGACCAGCTGCCTCTATGCCAGGCCAGCTGCCTCTATGCCAGGCCAGCTGCCTCTATGCCGGGCCAGCTGCCTCTATGCCAGGCCAGCTGGCATAGAGGCCCGATGCCAGCCACGCAGTCGAAATGAGCGAAGTGTTTCGAGGCGTCTCAGATCATATCTCACCTCATCTGCGGACAACACCAGGCGCACAGCAGCTTGTGGGCCCGCTGGTAAGCGGACAACGTGGGCATAGTGCCCTGCCCCGATGCTACACGACCAAAATGAGTGAAGTGCTCTGTGAAGCGTCTCAGGACTCACCTCATCCGCAGACAACACCAGGTGCACGGGACTCACGCTAGGTTGAGACGGGTCAGCTGGTGAGCGCACAAGTGAGTGAAGTGTTTTGTGAAGCGTCTCAGGACTCACCTCATCCGCAGACAACACCAGGCGCACGGGACTCACGCTAGGTTGAGACGGGTCAGCTGGTGAGCGCACAAGTGAGTGAAGTGTTTTGTGAAGCGTCTCAGGACTCACCTCATCCGCAGACAACACCAGGTGCACGGGACTCACGCTAGGTTGAGACGGGTCAGCTGGTGAGCGCACAAGTGAGTGAAGTGTTTTGTGAAGCGTCTCAGGACTCACCTCATCCGCAGACAACACCAGGCGCACGGGACTCACGCTAGGTTGAGACGGGTCAGCTGGTGAGCGCACAAGTGAGTGAAGTGTTTTGTGAAGCGTCTCAGGACTCACCTCATCCGCAGACAACACCAGGTGCACGGGACTCACGCTAGGTTGAGACGGTTCAGCTGGTGAGCGCACAAGTGAGTGAAGTGTTTTGTGAAGCGTCTCAGGACTCACCTCATCCGCAGACAACACCAGTCGCGAGACTCTCGCCGGGTTGAGACGGGTCAGCTGGCAGCAAGCGAGGCGAGTTGACCCAACAGCCCAGCCCAGCCCACCTGGTATGCAACCCCCTGATGGTCCTGTTTGCCCACGCACCTCATCCGCAGATAGGACCAGGCGCACAGCAGCACTCTTGAGACGGGTCGGCCGGTGGTGAGCGCACAACCCTGGCATAGTGCCCCGATGCCACGCGGTTAAAGTGAGTGAAGCGTAGTGTCAGTTCAGCCTTTCAGAACTCACCTCGTCTGCCGATAGGACCAGGCGCACAGCAGCAGACTGGCTGGGGAGAGTCGGGTCAGCTGGTGAGCGCACAACACGGGCATAGTGCCCCGATGCCACGCGGTCGAAATGAGTGAAGTCGAGGTGATCGTAGAAGGCGCCTGGAGGGGAGCAGAGGGCAAGGAGAGAACGTATAGGGGAATGACAACAATTAGCAAGAGGTGTAGTGCCCCGATGCCACACGGTGAAAGTGAGTGAAGTCGAGGTGATTGTAGAAGGCAGGGTATGAGGGGTGCAGAGGGGTGGCGAGGGTATGAGAAGGGTGGTAACGGCCAAAAGAAAGGGGCCGAGAACAGAATGGCCCGCAGCCAGACGCTGAATGCCCCGATGCAACGCGGTCGAAACGAGTGAAGTCGAGGTGATCGTAGAAGGCGCCTGGAGGGTTGCACAGGTTGTTTGGGTGGGTACACATGAGGTGAAATGGGCAAAAAGAGAAGGCCTTGCACAAAAGGCCTTGAACGAAAGGCCTTGCATGAAAGGCCTTGCATGAAAGGCCTTGCATGAAAGGCCTTGTATGAAACTGCACACAGAGATGAGCATCCTCACTTTTGCGTGAAACCGGGAACCACTCCACAACTTAGTACCTTGTCCACTCCACTACACTAAGATGTTCCACAACTTAGTATTAAGATGTGGAAATGCGGAAACAGGACATGTTACAAAACCAATGGTGTAGATATAGTCTCGGGATAGTTTTAGATTAATTTTGGATGCTTTTAGTACGGCTTGTAGATGGCTTTCGAAGGTTTCTGGATGGTTTTGGAATGGTTTCTGGATGATCATAACATTATCACAACTATGGCTTTAGGACGAACCAAACTTGATTCTTGAGTTGCAGAGCATGTCAGGGTTGGGAGTGCGGCCGCTGCGGATCTCCCCCACACATTGAGTTACCACGCGCTGCCAGTAGGCGTCCGTGAGATGCACTATGTGCAGCGGGACGTCGATCTGCATAAAGGGGTGCAGTGCGGTGCAGAAGGAGATGGGTGGGGTGCGGCCGCTCTAAATCTCCCCCCCACAGTGCGCCACCACTCGCTGCCAGTAGGCGCCGGTCAGATGCACTATGTGCAGCGGGATGTTGATCTGTAGGGAGGGGTGCAGAGCGGTGCAGATGGAGGGAGATGAATCTCCCCCACACAGTGCGCCACCACGCGTTGCCAGTAAGCATCGGTGAGATGCACTAGGTGCAGCGGGAGGCGATCTGCCGTGAGGGAAGGGATTTGACAGACACAAGGAGCATGACATGACAGGGAGATGGGTCGGGGTGCCGCTGCTGCGGATCTCCCGCACACAGTGCGCCACCACACGTTGCCAGTAGGCATCGGTGAGATGCACTAGGTGCAGCAGGAGGCGATCTGCCGTGAGGGAAGGGATTTGACAGACACAAGGAGCATGACATGACAGGGAGATGGGTGGGGGTGTGGCGGCTGCAGATCTTATCTCCCCCACACAGTGCGCCACCACGCGTTGCCAGTAAGCGTCTGTGAGATGCACTATGTGCAGAGGAACGTTGATCTGCATAAAGGGGTGCAGTGCGGTGCAGATGGAGGGAGATGAATCTCCCCCACACAGTGCACCACCACTCGCTGCCAGTAGGCGTCGGTCAGATGCACTATGTGCAGCGGGACCGAGTTCTGGCAAGAGGGGTGCAGTGCGGTGCAGATAGAGGGAGGTGGATGGAGATGGATGAAGCTTCTACTTGGTGTGTGGTGGTGTGTGTGGTGTGTGGGTATGTGTGGGGAAACAGAGACTCACCTCGTCACACACAGCCTGCGGCACAGCCAAATCGTTCTCCCAGGGGCATTGCGACCAAACGTTCTCATAGTCCTCCTGGAACGACATGTGTGTGGGTGTAGTGTGGTGTGGGTGGTGTACTCACCTCATCACACGCATCCTCGTTATAAGCAGGCAGGTACTCACCTCGTCGCACACAGCCTGTGCCACGGCCAGGTCATCCTCCCAGGGGCACTGCGACCAGAAGTTTTCAAAATCCTCTTGGAATCAGATCTTCAACTGGTGGCTGTGCGGCTGTGTGGCTGTGTGGCTGTGTGGCTGTGTGGCTGTGTGTGGCTGTGTGGCTGTGTGGATGGGAGTGGGGGGAATGTTAGACAGGTACTCACCTCATCACACACAGCCTGCGCCACGGCCAAATCGTCCTCCAAGGGCCACTGCGTCCAGACGTTCTCAAAGTCTTCCTGGAACAACATGTGCTTCCGTGTGGCTGGCTGGGTGTGTAGCCAGGCCATCCTCGTTATAAGCAGAGTGGTACTCACCTCATCACAAACAGCCTGCGCCACAGCCAAGTCATCCTCCCAGGGGCACTGCGACCAGAAGTTCTCAAAGTCCTCTTGGAACCAGATCTTTAAGTAAAACGCCTCGCACTTATGCCCTGCTGCGTGCAGCAGCCTAAGCGCCACGCTGCTATCCACACCGCCGCTTAGCAGCACCGCCACCCGCAGCGGCCGCTGCTGCTCCAGCGATTTCCTACTGGCACTTAGCGGTTCGCAGCACTCCAGGACACTTGGGTCGTCTAGATCCAATGGTTGAGATTCCTCTGCGGATTGGACATTGCTTGATAGCCGTTCAGATACTACACGCGTTGGAGCGGAGAGGATTTGGACGGAGGAAGGGGAGAGGGTATTGGCATTGTCTGGACATGAGAGTTCCGTAGAGGAAGCTTCCTTGGAGGGTTCTGACGACGAAGAATGTGCGCTGCGAAGGGCGGCAGTCTGACTGTCGCGGAGCGGATTAGGACGAAAGGAAGGACGCCACGTGGCGCTTGCAACGCAGCTGCTGGTAACATCACCTCGCGAGAAGAAACTGCTTCGCGTGCTGCCAGTAATACTACTTGGCGACAGGTCAATGAGAGCCTTGCCTCTAAACCTTGCTGCTGCGGCTCCTAACGAGGTGACGGTCTTGAGAATATTGGAATTATCCTTTATCGAAGGTGATAGTAGAGGGGGTTCTGGCCCACGTGGAAGAAGTGATTGTAACGGTCGGAATGTTAGTGGACGAGTAGACATGCTAGGAAACGAGTGGTACGTTGATGGAAGTCGTAGGATAGTCGTTATATTCGTTATTGGAACGATGGAAGTGGCATGCAATGACGTGAAGAGCGACGACGGTTCGACTGCTCCGCGGATCGACACGAGGACGCGACGCGGGACGAGCCTAACTTCGAAGCGCATCTGTCGTACGCGTCAACTTCACGCTACCCTTCAGTCAGCTAAAGGTTCACGTGAAAACGCGACGCCGTTTGCAATACCATGTGCTACCATGCTCGAGTAGAAGAACCTGACTACGAGACTGGTCGTGGGATATACTTATCTAAACAAGCTTCAGCACGACTGCTTGTCCCGCTTTAGAACCTCTTGAAATCGGGGAGACACGACTGCGTTGCCTCAATTGCATTTCACTCGAATACGACTTCCAACCGGTTTAAAACAGCACGCACCTCACATAACCCAGTAAAAAGGTCTGGTTTTGCGAACAACAATAAACCTCGCGATTTCTTCAAGTTCGCCTTGTTAGGCGGTTACAAGTTCCATCCCACTCAACTGGATTCCCGCCAGAAACTACTTCTATAACTGACCCTTGAAAATGCCGAGCCGCAAAATATGCGAAGAAGTGAAGCTTCGCTTTCCACTGCGCGATGTCGTTCTTGTTCGTAAGCCTGACACCCTCATCGCAAGCTCTGCTTGCCCTGCCCTCCCTGGTCCCCTCACCACAGAACCAAGTCAAAATAATTCCCCACTCAAAACCGCTACGCGAAAAGTGGGATAGATGCCTAAGTGGGAGCTTGATCTCAGGGTAACAAGCCTGAACCTTCTCTCCGTCTTTCCCGCCGTCTTCGCGCTGTATGATGCAAGACTAGTAGATCTGCATGATTTTTTGTCTTAGCCAGTAATATGGCGGATCCTAGAATTCGTAGGCAAACCTACACAGCCGCATCGCAGCCTTCCCGCGGGGCGTATCCGCGCGGATCTGTTCCCCCGCAGGCGCAACGCGGGGTCGGATCCAGGGGGAGCGGATCCGGCCGCGCAAATGCTGGGGGAAATCTGGGATCGGGGGAAAGGCAACCCGCGGAGACCGCGGAGCAGGCGGCGGAGCGGGAACTGCGCGAGCGGAGAGAGCAGGAGCGGGCGCAGGAGGAGCGGGAGAGGGATGCGCGCGAGCGGAAGGCGCAAGCGGCGGAGCGGCTGCAGCGGGAGCAGCAGGCGGTGGTGTCTCTGGAGCGATCGGTGCACTCTAAAGCGCGCGATGTGGAGTCGCTGTCGGCGCAGAGCACGCAGATGGACGAGCAGGCTTCGGCTATAAGGTGAGGTGGCTGGGAACGATTTAAACCCTAACAAAAGGAGCAGCAGGCGGTGGTGTCTCTGGAGCGATCGGTGCATGCTAAAGCGCGCGATGTAGAGTCCCTTTCAGCGCAGAGCATGCGGATGGACGAGCAGGCTTCTGCTATAAGGTGAGGTTTCTGGGAGGGGATGAAGCACTGCGACAAAGACTGCAGCAGGTTCTGGGAGTGCCTCTGGAGCCATCGGTGCATACTAAAGCGAGTGATGTGGAGTTCCTATCCGCGCAGAGCACGCAGATGGACGAGGAGGCTTCGGCGCGATAAGATGAGGTTGCTGGTAGAGAACGAAACGCGTACGCTTACGTTCTTTACTGAAATTGGACTTACCAAGTCCCGATTCTACTTTCGCCGGGCTCTAACTACCCCACCCACGCTTTTAGTTAAAATTCCAGAGGAGACCACCCCACTTGCTGCGGTTCGAATCCACGTTTCCTTTAGCCTCTGCAGTAAAGGTGAGGTTGCTGGTAGAGAATGAAACTTCGCGACAAAGAGAGCAGCAGGCGATGGTGTCCCTGGAGCGATCGGTGCATTCTAAAGCTCGCGAAGCCGAGTCTTTGTCGGCGTAGAGCACACGGATCCGCGGCCTGTGTATGACCTTGTGCGAGGAGCACACCGATCGGCGTAGAGCACACAGATCCGCGGCCTGTGTATGACCTTGTGCGAGGAGCACACCGATCGGCGTAGAGCACACAGATCCGCGGCCTGTGTATGACCTTGTGCGAGGAGCACACCGATCGGCGTAGAGCACACAGATCCGCGGCCTTCGTGTGACTTTGTACAAGGCTCACATGTTTCTGTGTGCTGTACTGTGTAACTTGGTAACTCCCTGACTCCCCTCCACTGGGAGGGCGAGGGCGGCAGTGCTTCACGCTCATTCGCTGCAAGGCAATGGCTTCTGAGCGTACCTGGAGGCTGGGAATCACGTCTTTACTGCCTGCAACTCTCACATGTTTCTGTTCATTTTGTAACACTGTAACTCCGAAGCACATCTGGCAGGGCAAGGGTGGCGGTGCTTCACGCTCATTCGCTGCAAGTCAACAGCTTCCGAGCTTACCTGGATGCTGGGAACCGCAGTCCGTGTGACTGCAAGGCCCACATCTTTCTCCGAATAGTAACTGTGTAACTTCGTAACACACATGGCAGGGCGAGGGCGGCAGTGCTTCACGCTCACTCACTGCAAGTCAACGGCTTCGGAGCGTACCTTGGGGCTGGGAACCGCTGCCTGCGTGACTGCAGGGCACGCATTTCTCCTGCTCTTGCCGCTTTTGCTGCATCAACACGAGGATCCGGAACAGCAGCAGGAACAGCAGCAGGAACAGCAGCAGCAGCAGCAGCAGGAGGAGGAGGAGGAGCAGCAGCAGCCGGACCGGCCGCAACAACAGTAGCAACAGCGGCAGCAGGGGCAGCAGAAGCGGCAGCAGGAGAGCCTGCAGCTTCTCCCCCCACTGCTGCTGAAACGGATGAGGCTCTTTCTCTCCTGCAGAGGTTTCTGCAGGCCCGTTTGTCTGATGCCATTCACTCCCCTGCTGCTGCTGGTACTGTTACGGCTGCTGCTGCTGGTCCTGCTTCTGCTGCTGGTGGCATTGGTTCCCAACCAGGCAACCCCACTAGCGCTGCAGCAGCAGCAGCAGCAGCAGCAGGCAGCAACAGCAGAGCAGCCACTGCTGCTGCTTCTGTTGCTGCTTCTGCCACCGCCGGTCCTTCTTCTTCTGCTGCCACTCTCCATCCTCCTGTTGCCCCCTCGAATCCTTCTGTTCTCCTCTCCTTCCCCGGAGGCTTGGCTGGTCTAGCTCCCATTGCATGGAGCGAGCTGCCTGTGGGAAGCTTTTTGGAACGCGCGAGGCTTCATCCGGAGGGGTTGGTAGCGGTGCTGCAGGGTTCTGTGGAGCGGAAGACGGAGGAGATTCGGAGGGAGTGTGCGGGGACTGATGTGGAGGAGGAGGGAACGAGACTAGGGTAAGTTGACTGTTGAAGTGGGAATGTGCATGCTTTTGGGTAGGGAGATTGCTTGGGCTTCACCCAAAGGGGCTGGTGGCGGTGCTGCAGGGTGCTGTGGAGCGGAAGGCGGAGGAGATAAGGAGGGAGTGTGCGGGGACAGATGTGGGGGAGGAGGGCTCAAGACTAGGGTGAGTGGGGGACTGTGAGTTTGCATATAGAAGGCTTGGTTTGGGGTTCAGGGAAGGTTGGCGGTGCTGCAGGGTGCTGTGGGGAGGAAGGCGGAGGAGATAAGGAGGGAGTGTGCGGGGACAGGCGTGGAGGGAGGAGGAGCGAGACTAGGGTGAGTGGGAAGGGTAGCATAGCACAAGGTGGGGTGGTTCTGGGGATATGATGCAGGGTGTAAGGTTTGGGGTTCAAGGGAGGTTGGGGGTGCTGCAGGGTGCTGTGGAGCGGAAGGCGGAGGAGATAAGGAGGGAGTGTGCGGGGACAGATGTGGGGGAGGAGGGCTCAAGACTAGGGTGAGTGGGAAGGGTAGCAAAAAGTGGAGTGGTTCCGGAGATAGGATGCAGGGTGTAAGGTTTGAAGTTTGGTGGTTCTGGGGTGGCGATGCTGCAGGTTGCTGTGGGGAGGAAGGCGGAGGAGATGAAATCATCAGATTCCCAACCTCTCTCCGTTCCTCCCTTTCCCCTGCCCATCACAGACTGGCCACCCTAACCAAGGCGCCTCTCAATCCGAGTGGGGGAGGAAAGAAAGGGACGACTGGTGGTTGTGATGGTGGCTGGGAAGGGACGACTGGTGGTTGGAAGCACTCGTGTTCCCATCTTCTCTTTCTTCCTCCCTTTCCCTTGCGTATCACAGACTGGCCACCCCAACCAAGGCACCTCTCAATGCGAGTGGGGGAGGAACTGGAATGCTGGCTGGTGATTGTGACAACCACAGCGGCAGCGGGTGCGGCACGTCGAAGAATCTTTTGCGCAAGGCAGCAAAGCATGCTTCATTCTCGTCTGCTGACGGTGGTGGTGCTGCTGCTGCTCCTGGTGGGGCTGGTGGGAGCACAGGGCGAGGAGCAAGGGCTGGGGCAAATCAGCAGCGACAGGCGCCACAGTCAACGCAGGAGCTGGTGCTGGCGAGACAGGTGAGAGTAGGACAAGTTGCTGACCTTAGGTGTGTTTTACATTGAGTCGAAACCAACCACACAGGGAGAGGAGAGGAGCAAGGGCTGGGGCGAATCAGCAGCAGCGCCAGGGCCCACAGTCAACGCAGGAGCTGGTGCTGGGCTGGCGAGACAGGTGAGAGGAAGGCACGGCAAGACAAGACAGGTGCATGGCATTGTGCTGGTCAGGGACCCCTCTAAGTGAGATGCATTTTGAGGCGCCTCAAAATGCATCTCACTACTCGAGGAAGGCACGGCAAGACAAGACAGGTGCATGGCATTGTGCTGGTCAGGGACCCCTCTTCTGCTGCAGTGAATCAGCAGCGCCAGGCGCCGCAGTCAACGCAGGAGCTGGTGCTGGCAAGTGTATCTGTAGATGACTGGAAATATCATCTATCAGTGACTCTTTCTGGTTCTCATACATGTGCCTCCAAACGCAAGTGCCCAGGGGTAACCCAGAGGCAGTGAGAGGAGCACTTCTCGCTATGGCTGCCCTTGCTCTTCGTCATACAAGCATCCTTTCAGTTTGTGTCGTCCCCCTGTTTACTCTTCTGGCAGAAGGAGCACCACTGTGTCTACAGACACAAATTTTCAGAGGCAACAAAGAGGCGGCGAAGGGACTGTAGCTCTCTGTGCATGCTTGTCATACACGCATTCGTTTCATCATCCATTATTCCTCTCTACTGCCCTTTCCCCTCAACTGCGACCCGCCTCAGAGGGAACGTAGAGGCAGCGAAGGACAGTTGCTTCCTGTGCATGCCCTGGCGTGTCCTCATACAGGCATCCTTCCGTTCTTCTCTGTATCTATTCTGTGATCCCTTTGGTTTCTGCCAGAAGAGTACTGTGACCTGTGGCTGCAGACCCAAGTGCTGAGTGAGAAGGAGAGCCGAGGCACTGTCTTGATCCAAAGGAGAAGGAGAAGGAGAAGGGCCCTTGCTTTTCGTGGCACAAACGCTGTTTCGCTATCCAGCACCGTGCTTCCCCCCTTTTTTCCTTTGGCAGAAGGATTACCGTGCATAACTTGTGGCTGGCTGCAGACGCATGTGCTAAGAAAGAGAGCCGAGGCATCCGCGTATGCCTTCTTCTCATGACACCTTTGTCATGCCGAGGCAAACGCCTTTGTGTTATTCGATTTCTACCCTGCGGCCTCGCTTTTCCCTCTGGCAGAAGGAGTACCGTGCCCTGTGCCTGCAAACTCAAGTGCTCCAAAAGAAAGTCGAGGCTGTAAGGTTGGAGGTGGAAAGGAGGACCGTATCAGGCAAGGAGGCCCACTCCCTCCCTCCCTCCTCCCTCCCTCCCTCCCTCCCTCCCTCCCTCCCTCCCTCCCTCCCTCCCTCCCTCCCTCCCTCCCTCCCTCCCTCCCTCCCTCCCTCCCTCCCTCCCTCCCTCCCTCCCTCCCTCCCTCCCTCCCTCCCTCCCTCCCTCCCTCCCTCCCTCCCTCCCTTCCCCCCTCCCTTCCCCTCTCCGTCACTCCATGTCCCCGCTGGCAGAAGGAATACCGCGACCTGTGCCTGCAGACACAAGCGTTCCAAAAGAAAGTCGAGGCAGTGAGGCTGGAGGTGGAAAGGAGAATTGCTGGTGAAGCAGGCACGCTCACTCCCTCCCTCTCTTTACTCCCTCCGATTCCTTCTGACAGAAAGAGTATCGCGACCTGTGCCTGCAGACACAAGTGCTCCAAAAGAAAGTCGAGGCAGTGAGGCTGGAGGTGGAAAGTAGGACCGCTGCTGCAGCAGGCAGGCTAGGGGATGGGGATGGGCGAAGAGACGGGGCAGAGGAGAGGGGGAAGGAGGGACAGGAGGAGGGAGGGGCGGAGGGAGAGGAGGGAGAGGGTAGTGAGGAGGATGTGGAGTTGGGGATAGCTGTGGCGGAGGCAGAATTGAGGGTACTTCAGGCAGCGGAGAAACGGCTGTCAAGGTGAGAGACTTTAATACCGCATGCAATGCACATACACACGCATGGGCGAGCTTGCTTGTGTTGGAGATACTGTGGCGGAGGCAGAACTGAGAGTGCTGCAAGCAGCGGAGAAACGGCTCTCGAGGTGAGATTGCACTCACGGAGAAGAGACTGCACTCACGGAGAAGGGACTGGTGGAGGTGAGAGGCTGGAAAGAGGAAGGAGGATGTGGAGTTGGGTATAGCTGTGGCGGAAGCAGAACTGGGGGTGCTTAAAGCAGCGGAGAAGGGACTGTCGAGGTGAGAGGATGCATACTGAGAGTGTGGGTGAGGTGAGAGTGCGGAGGGGTGAGAGGCTGGGAGATGTGGAGTTGGGTTGGGGATAGCTGTGGCGGAGGCAGCACTGAGGGTGCTTAAAGCGGCAGAGAAACGGCTCTCGAGGTAGGATAACTGAGGGTGCTGCAAGCAGCGGAGAAACGCCTTTCTAGGTGAGAGACTTTAATCCTGCATGCGGTGCACATACACACGCATGGGTGAGCTTGCTTGGGTTGGGGATAGCTGTGGCGGAGGCAGCACTGAGGGTGCTGCAAGCAGCGGAGAAGCGACTATCGAGGTGAGTGAGAGTGCGCAGATGATGGTTGTAAGGAAGATGTGGAGTTGGGGAGGGGATAGCTGTGGCGGAGGCAGCACCGAGGGTGCTGCAAGCGGTGGAGAAACGGCTGGCAAGGTGAGATTGTGTGGACAAGTCACTTGGGCCTTTGACGAGCAGCCGTTGGAGATAGCTGTGGCAGAGGCAGAGGTGCGAGCGCTTCAGGGAGCGGAGAAGCGACTGTCGAGGTCAGAGGGTGCATACTGTGTGCGATCGGTCAGGTGTGAAGATGGGTGAGTGAGAGTGCGGAGAGGAGAGGCTCGAAGGTGTGGGGTTGCCTCTGCCACATCCCGGCTGCTTTTGAGAATTATTAAAAGGTGTTGCCTCTGCCACACGCAAGCTGCTGCAGTAACCCTTTCTGTTGATGATACAATTGCCCCTTTCCTTCTACTCCCTCTGCCCGTGCTGACTCGCAGTGAGGTGGCAGCAGCAGGTGCCACGAATCGCAGGGTGCTGCAGCAGTGGGAGCGGATCAAAGGGTTCAACGACGAGCGCAGTAATAAGTGGGCGGAGTACGAGCTTATAAGGAGGATAAACCAGGTATCTCACGTTAATGTCCCTTGCTCCTATCTGGAAAATTCACGTCACTTGGTCTAGGAAAAGTGGTATACTAGAGAAAACATGGCATAATGCTAGATATAGCCTTCGAGGATTTTCAAAAGCATAGCAATCTGCTAGATTTCCACATGAAATGAGAGTATTTTTGAGACGTCTCAAAAACACTCTCATTTCCCGTGATAAGATGCAGACCTTGCTTAGTTGTTGGGCGTCATTGGCCGAAACGAGTGACTAAATCAAACATACACTCACTCACTCATCCCTCTTCCTTTGCAACCGCCATCACGTGGGCCCACGCCCCACATCATGTGCAAAGCAAACATGTCATTGGATGTATCTATTCCAAACGCCCATCCATACCTCGCGCTTTCTATTCACACAGGCCTATCAGGCCTATGCGCACATGTGCTATCAGGCCTATGCGCACATGTGCTGGAACCTCACCAATGGGCAGACTCAGAAGGCCCTGGCAGGAGGCACACTATTCACCCCTCCTACTCTGTGACAACCCATGCGGCCCCCTTCCCCTGAAACCCCGCACTTCTTCAGGCCTATGCGCACATGTGGTGGAACCTCACCAATGGGTGACAGCATCAGGAGTTCACGATGCATCTAAACCCCTCCAAACGCATCTGTAGCTCGTGATTTCTACACTCCCCCTCCGTAACAGGCCTATTCGCACATGTGGTGGAACCTCACCAATGAGGAGACAGCATTGGAAGCTAGAGGCTTATCCAATCCCCCTCATCCACCCATCTTATTCTCGCTGCACCCACCCCCTCCCTCCCCATCAGGCCTATGCCCACATGTGGTGGAACCTCACCAATGGGCAGACCCAGAAGGCCCTGGCAGGCCACGTGGCAAAGGCAGGAAGCGCTCTGATTGGCTCGGTCCGGGCGGCACGGGACCTCGCCACTCACGAGGTGACAGATGGCGCGGCGCTGCCGCCCTCCTGGCTGTGCCGCCCGGTCTCCTGTAGCTTTCCGTTGCGTAGTGAGACACTTCAGTCGTCTCAGCCACCTCAGGCATCTCAGAACGCGTCTGATGTGTCTCAGATGATCCAGACGTCTCAGCCGTCTCAGAACCCGTTGTTGTCCTCTGAGAGGGAGGCACAGGCAGAGGCACAGGCAGCAGCACGAAGCAGCTTTAGCTTTCCATCGCCTGCTGTGGAACAGGGGAGAGGGGAGGGGGCTGCGGGGGAGAGGGAGAGAGATGGGGATGGGCAGGGACAGAGGCAGAGACAGGGGCAGGGACAGGAACTTACATCTGCTGCTTCTTCCTCTGCTGCTGCTGCTGCTGCTGCTGCTGCCGCCGACTCTGTACCCTGGCCCCTCTTCTCCTCTCTCGTTCACTCTCTCGCTCTCTCCCCCTCCCCTCTCCCTCTCCCACGACTTCCCTCCTCTTCCCTTCCCTCCTCCTCCAATGCACCCACACGTTCTTCTGATAGCGACCCGATCCTCCCATTGGCTGCTGAGGCTGCCCGGGTTCTTCGGGCAGCTTGGGAAGCCAATGACGCGGCGACAGGTGGCAGGATAGATGGGGGGATTGGGAGTGAGCTGGCTGCCTATGCCTGGGGTTGCAGTGGAGGGGGGAGTGTGGGGAGGGGGAGGGATGGAGGAGAGAGTGAGAGGGAGAGGGAAGAGGGTAGAAGTGGGCTTGAGAGTGGAGGGGGAGGTGGAAGAGGGGGAGGAGGAGGAGGGAGGGGTGTGACGTCAGCAGTGTCTCTGAGCGCGGATTTGCTGGCAGTGGCTCAGTTTGTGGATGCCATGTCAGCAGCTGCTGACGTGGCGGCTGGCAGTGCTGCTGAGCTGGAACCCGCTGTTGCCAGCATGGCACGGTAAGCTGGTTTAGTCATGGGGCGGGCGGGATGATATCGTGGTGCGTAGTGGTGGGAAGGTGTGATTGGTGTGTGCAGATGGATACACATGGGGTGCATGGGTGTGCATGGTTGTGCATGGGTGTGTATGGGAGTGTATGGGTGTGCATGGATGTGCATGGATCATGTGAGGGGCTTTCAACATGCCTGTTTAACTCGTTTCCCTTAACAACCTCTCTGCATCCCCCCATCCCCCATCCAGGCAACTTTCCGGCTTGCAGCAGCAGGCAGAGCAGCAGCACATGGAGGTGCTATCGGAGTGGCTGCCTCAGCTGGCACAGCTGCAGGGGCAGGCAAGGCAGCTCGTCTCACGCACTCATGACGCCTCTGACCTGGTGGGTCCATTTAACTGCTTGCTGTGCTGTGGGCCTGCTGTGGGCCTCTTAGTGCTGAACACATGGAACCAGTACCCGAGCCGCAGCTGGCACAGCTGCAGGGGCAGGCAAGGCAGCTCTCCGCACGCACTCAACACGCCTCTGACCTGGTAAGTCCAATCGTCTGCTTGGTGTGCGTCATTTCACCTGGTTGGTGTGCCTTGATGTGCTTTGAACCTGTTAATTCCGCACATGAGGACTTGTAGCTGTTGGAGTGGCTGCCACAGCTGGCACAGCTACAGGGCAATCATGGCCGTCCGTCGGTGGAAGCAGGCGGCCCTTGGGAATATCCCGCGCACTCAAGGAACACACAAGTGGGTCCGTGTGCCCAACTTTCCCCCTTACGTTCCTATTTTGCAGTACTCGCATTGGTGGAAGCTGGCAGCCCTTAAGGATCATCCCGTGTTCTCAAGAAACATAAATTTCTTGTGACCCCTTCCTCCTCTTTCTGATTGTGCAGGTCTCCCATTGGTGGAAGCAGCTGGCCCTTGGGACATCCCCTGTGCTCAAGAAACATACATTTCTCTTGTGCCTCCTTCCTCTTCTTTCTGATCGTGCAGGTCTCCCATTGGTGGAAGCAGCCGGCCCTTGGGATCATCCCGTGGGTGACAGTGGAGGGGAGGAGCATGGAGGAGTGGGCAGTGGCTCTAGAGGCAGTTCAGATGCACAGGGAGGGGTAAATGTGCAATCCCAGGAAGGCAGGGAAAGGCAGCTTCACATAGAAAGGTGGACGCAGAGGGAATGTTATGTGAGAAATTGGAACAGGAGGGGAGGAGTATGGAGAAGCTGGCAGGGGAGCTGGATGCAGCTCAAATGCACAGAGAAGGTTGATGGACGATGAGAGGCGAGATGCTTGAGCAACCTAATGGCTAATCACAGAGGTTGTGTGATTCTTTCCTAGACTGGAGTGAAAGTTCTGGTCAAGATGTCCACGCTGTTCTAAGTCCGCAACACGATATAAGTTGATGTCGTTGATGCGAGGTAATAGCTGTCATTTGTATGGTTATCTGCTAAAATGCTTTCGGAAACGAGAACTGATTGTCAGGTGCCTGCAAACATATGAGACAATGGGAGGCGTGGAGTGGTTAGTCCTGTGATTTGAACGAATCAGTACATGCTGCACTACCGTTTACTAGGCATAGACTGCTCCTAAAGAAGGAAGAAGCCAAAGATAATCCACTCAATATTAATATAAGCATGAGCACCCCAAGGTTGCAGTAAGATGCTAAGAAACATCTTGACAAAAAAGGTTTTAAAATTACAAGTGCATGGTGCCTCAGAAGGAGATGACCACCCCCCCCCCCCAGTATCACTGGTCAATGCTGGTGAGACGACGGCTGTGGAACCGACATCTCCATTTGAGAAATTTCAACCACTGAACGGGAACGATGCGTTTGGCGGTGAATTCTGATTGGAAGCCGTAATCCTCCATGATGCCTGGAGCACTTTCGCAACCAGTGTTCCGAACAGAAAAAATAACCTGGGCGATATTCGCCAACCAGCGGGTGCGGCGCGCTCTGCGAACCAGAAGATCACTTCCCTGTACTTTGGCGCGCTTCCGAAACCACTGAAAACTCTTCCAAGATCGTTCCGAACCGTCTTGTAAAACCACTAACCTCTAATAACGAGAACGCCCGTCCAGCGAACCACTTTCTCCCCTTGACGTTCATCCCTCCACTCCTCCCCCCCCCAACCTACACAACCATCACCTCCCCTCCCCTCCCCTTCCGCTATGCGCCCAACCACACGTTTCCCCCACCCTTCGCCAACTGAAGTTTCAGCGGCCCAGCCCCTCTCACAACAGCTCTCTCGAAGTACAAAAAGCAGCCCCTTTTTCCAAACGAAGCAAGTCGACTTCTTTGAGCTGCATTTCTCCTAGTTTCTTGCTTCCCAAAGAATCTGACACCGCTCAGAAACCATGGCCGCCCTCGCCAACGCTGCCGTGCTCCCCTCCACCTTCGTCGGCCAGAGCGCTGAGCTCGCCGCCAAGGTGAACAATGTCGAGGCCCGCGTGACGATGAGGAAGACCGCCAAGGCTTCCTCCAGCAGCGCCTTCTACGGCCCCGACCGCAACCTGTTCCTGGGTCCCTTCACCTCTCCCCCGTCTTACCTCACCGGCGAGTACCCTGGTGATTATGGCTGGGACACCGCCGGTCTGTCCTCCGACCCCGAGACCTTCGCCAAGAACCGTGAGCTTGAGGTAAGCATGACATTTCATAAATGTCACAATTGAATACATTCTTGCGGGGAGAGGTACACATCGTGCAAAATAGCAACTTTATTATTGGCTCGCACGATCATATTGCAACATCTCACTTTCTGTTTACTATTGTCTCTTGTTACCTTCAGGTCATCCACGCTCGCTGGGCCATGCTCGGCGCGCTCGGCTGCCTCACCCCCGAGCTCCTCGCTGGCAACGGCGTGAACTTCGGCGAGGCCGTGTGGTTCAAGGCCGGCGCTCAGATCTTCTCCGAGGGTGGCCTTGACTACCTCGGCAACCCGAGCCTCATCCACGCGCAGTCCATCCTGGCCATCTGGGCCACCCAGGTCATCCTCATGGGTGCCGTGGAGAGCTACCGCGTGGGTGGCCTCGAGGGCTTCCAAGAGGTTGAGGACCCCCTGTACCCCGGCGGTGCCTTCGACCCCCTGGGTCTGGCCGACGATCCCGATGCTCTTGCCGAGCTGAAGGTGAAGGAGCTGAAGAACGGCCGCCTCGCCATGGTGTCGATGTTTGGGTTCTTTGTTCAAGCTATCATCACCGGCAAGGGTCCCCTTGAGAATCTTTCTGAGCACCTGGCTGACCCCACCGTCAACAACGCCTGGGTGTACGCTGAGATCTTCACCCCATGAACTGGACATTAGCCGTCCCATGAATAAATTCCTGTAATTATTACTATTCTGACGATCAGCATATTCCGGTGTATGCAAAAAATCTGTGTCATGCAATTCATTATGTCATCACCAGTTTACCCTTACCAAAGCGATCTGAGCCCCATAATGCAACCACAGGAAGCATGCAGTGGACTGGCCTCAATACGAGGAAAAAACTTTAGGGAGAGCGTACACTGAACTAAAACAATCAATAAATTTCAACATCCTGTTTCAATTCTGGTGTAAAATCGATGCTCACCTGTAGTGCCGAACTCCAGCGCACAGCAGATGCTATGACGCCCTTTTTCTCGCACGCATTGCAACTTTTTACGAGTGAAGCGTGCTCGTGAAACTTTCCATCCACTCCTCTCACGGCTAGCACGGACTACTACACGGTGAAGCAAAAGCAAACAGAGACTACACACACGCCGCTGCTTTAGGAGCAGCGGGAATGTAGATTCAGCATTGTACAGGTGATAGAAATTACATCAGCATGGCAACAGCAACTATCCGCACCAGTAATCAAGTTCATACATTTCATTGCCGAGCACAATGAAGGAATTACACAATGATAGGGACCCGACTAGGATTCGGTTCATGCCTGACTCTTTTCATAAACAGTCACTGGTCTGTCCAAGTGGGACGCGACAGCAGGTTTGATCGACGAAAGAAATGGTCACGAGAGAATTGTAATATCATCTTTTTAAGTAATGTACAGATTTTTTATTTCATGGAAAATTGGAGACTTAAGCTCCGGGGGTGAAGTTGGTGGCATAGGCCCACGCATTGTTAACGGTGGGGTCAGCCAGGTGGTCAGACAGGTTCTCCAGGGGGCCCTTGCCGGTCACGATGGCCTGGACGAAGAAGCCGAACATCGACACCATGGCGAGGCGGCCGTTCTTCAGCTCCTTCACCTTCAGCTCGGCAAGAGCCTCGGGATCGTCGGCCAGACCCAGGGGGTCGAAGGCACCGCCGGGGTACAGGGGGTCCTCAACCTCTTGGAAGCCCTCGAGGCCACCCACGCGGTAGCTCTCCACGGCACCCATGAGGATGACCTGGGTGGCCCAGATGGCCAGGATGGACTGCGCGTGGATCAGGCTGGGGTTGCCCAGGTAGTCAAGGCCGCCCTCCGAGAAGATCTGAGCGCCGGCCTTGAACCACACGGCCTCGCCGAAGTTCACGCCGTTGCCGGCGAGAAGCTCGGGGGTCAGGCAGCCGAGCGCGCCGAGCAGAGCCCAGCGAGCGTGGATCACCTCCAGCTCGCGGTTCTTGGCGAAGGTCTCGGGGTCAGCAGACAGACCCGCGGTGTCCCAGCCGTAGTCGCCGGGGTACTCGCCGGTCAGGTAGGACGGAGGGGAGGTGTATGGGCCCAGGAACAGGTTTCGGTCGGGGCCGTAGAACGCGCTGCTGGAGGAAGCCTTGGCGGTTTTCCTCATGGTGACGCGGGCCTCGACATTGTTCACCTTGGCGGCGAGCTCAGCGCTCTGGCCGACGAAGGTGGAGGGGAGCACGGCAGTATTGGCGAGGGCGGCCATTTTGACTGGCTGTTGATGAGTCGAAAGTTGTGTGTGTTGATCGGGGCTGCTGAGCTTGGGAGAGATTGGAATGCGGAAAGTATTTATCCTTCAATGCTGGAGTCGCGGGTGGGGGAGCTCAGGCAGCGCAACTGATGTTCACCCTTACAGGGCGTTCAGAACCGAATTGAAACCAGCAGAACCTCGTGGTTCACTGAGGTCCTTCCCTCACGAAACGTCAATTTGGCGAACGGCGTGGTCCACTAGGAGGGTGACACACACTGAGGGTCAGGGCGGGTCAGGAAGCTTTGGATTGGTTGTAACGGATGCTGATCCTTTTTGTGACCAATGGAGCATGCCGAAAATGATTGGAGAATGCCGTTCCGCTGTTATGGATTGTTGAGAATCCTGCGTGTAATTTCAGAGTGGAGGGGAACCTCGATTCTGAATTTCTCACAATTACGACTGTGCATTGGCTTCATGCTTATTTCATCTCTTCAAATGCACATAATTAATGATAGAGTAATTAAATGATATTTTATATATAATCCTGTTTTTTTTTTTAATTTTTGCTGTATCAGTCAAGTTTGTTTTGTTGATGCTGAGCCTCTGGTTCTTGTAGTCCATTGGAAAATGCCAGCCCTAAAGTTCGTCATATTCATTCATACAATAACGAGGAATCTAGTAACCGCTGCAATTGCAGGAGCGGGACAGATCGGCTCACTGCAATTCTTCCACGATTGCTCCGCTGAACCTCCATTCTTTTCACGTTATTCGTTTCATAATAAATTCCTAGTTGGTCGGCTCCGCCAGTACTGTATCTTACCGAGTTTACCAACCAGGCATCCAGCTTTTGAGCTATGCATTTGAGGTGATATATATCCGTTCCGCCATGCCTGAACCGGAGAGTATTGCGGAACCGGAGGGTTCAGACAGGGGCCGTTCAGCAGGAGGAAATTCAGCGGGAGTTGCGGGGAGTGCTGAAATGGGGGGTCCGCCGTCGGGTGTGGGAGGATCGACGGAACATGCGCACGCGCTCCCTGCCGCGGCGGAAGTCGCGGATCCACGTGGTGCAGTGTTGCCAGATGCGGGCGAGGGTGACGGCGCCACGTGTACGAAACTGGACACGGAGGAGGAGATGAAATCTCTTTCCCGCGTGATCGCTGCTTATATGAAGTAAGTGTTTCTGTGCTTGTAGCGGTGCAGTAATAACGGATACAGGAGAGGATGGAAAGCTGGACACGGAGGAGGAGATGAAGTAAGTGATTTTGTGACTGTTGCAATAACGGATACAGGAGAAGATGGGATAGTGGACGCGAAGGAAGAGATGAAATCGCTCACACATGAGATCACACACGACTCCATTTTTAACGACTTTATAACTTGGCTTTATTATGTACATTTATCAATCAATATAAAGTCAAGTAATCGCTTGGATTCGGATTCAGTCATGCGAATAAGTGGGGGTCCAGAGGGTACAGAGTTGAATGCTGCTGGATGGATGGTTCAACGGTGGGAGCGAGCCTATGCTGGATTGTCTGTCAAACCTGCTTCATTATCTTTCCTCCCTCGCAGCTACCCCTTTGCTGCCGAGTGGACAGTGCAGCGGTGGGAGCGAGCTTATGCCAGGCTGCCGCCACGTCAGCAGGTGGGGGATTCCATTGATGCCTCTCTTTCCCATTCCGTCTTATGCTGTGTTTCTTCTTATGCTGTGTTTCTTCTCATTCGCTCTTCCTCCCCATCCTCTCCCCTCTTCTCACTCCCCCATCACACCGCCCCTCACACTCTTTGCCCATTTTTCATGCATTACTCACCCCGCCTTACTCTCTTGAAAAAAGGAGAGTTTTGAGACGTCTCAAAACTCTTTGCCCATAGTTTCATGCATTACTCACCCCGCCTTACTCTCTTCTTGAAGGTAATTCACCCTGTGCCACTATTCGCATGCGTGTTGTTCTGCAGGCTCTGCTGTCTCACCTGCCGACCAAATATGCCTCCATTCGCATGTGAGTCGATTGAACTTCTGTTCTGCCCTATGGGTAGGGGGGATAGGGGGGATGAGGCTGCTATGGATAGGGGGGATGAGGGACAGGCACATTGGGGCTCTGCTGCCACACCTGCCAGCCAAGTATGCCTCCATTCGCATGTGAGTGGATTGAACTGTTGTTCTGCCCAGCCCAGTAAAGGCGGTGCAGTAAAGGGAATGCTATGGGTAGGAGAAAGGGGGAGAGGCACGTTGGGGCTCTGCTGCCACACCTGCCAGCCAAGTATGCCTCCATTCGCATGTGAGTGAATCGAACTCCAGTGTGGTTTGAGTACCGCGTAATTCCCATGTCTCCCCAGTACCACATGTTTCAACTCTTTTTCCCCCATCCCATCCCCATGGATGTGTGTTACATGCCATTCTTAGCCCCTGCATCCCTCCTTACCTCGCCTCCCCACTCCCTCCCTCCCTCCTCCCCTCACCGCCAGGCACATAGCACACAATGCCCGCTTCCTCACGGAAATGCTGCAAGCATTTGAGCCACGCTTTGTCAACTGTGCTCCCTTTTCATCTCTCCTTAGCCCCCTCCCTCCACCCCTCCCCCTCCACCCCTCCCCCTCCACCCCTCCCCCTCCATCCCTCCCCCTCTATCCCTCCCCCTCCAGGCGCATTGCACACAATGCCCGCTTCCTCACGGAAATGCTGCAAGCACCTGAGTCAAACCTTCAACATAACCATTCACACGCACATGCAAGTTCTCATTTCTACGTTTCTCCCCCCCCCTCCCTCCAGGCGCATTGCCCACAATGCCCGCTTCCTCACGGAAATGCTGCAAGCATTCAAACCTCTGTTTCGTTGACTGTGCTCCCTTTTCATCCCTCCTCACTCCTGTTCGCCCCTCCTTACCACCTCCCTCCAGGCGCATTGCCCACAATGCCCGCTTCCTCACGGAAATGCTGCAAGCGTTTGAGCCGCCCTTCCCTCCCACTCAGTCTTCCATGGGTCATGATGGCAATGCATGTCAACATAACCATGCCCATTCCCATGACCACGCCCATGCCCATGCCCATGACTATGCCCATGACCATGCCCATGACCATTCCCATGCCCATGCCCATGCTCAATCTCATTATGACCATCACCATAGTAACCAACAGCAACAGCAGCAGCAGAACCAGCAGCAGCAGCAGCAGCAGCAGCAGCAGCAGCAGCAGCAGCAGCAGCAGCAGCAGCAGCAGCAGCAGCAGCAGCAGCAGCAGCAGCAGCAGCAGCAGCAGCAGCAGCAGCAGCAGCAGCAGCAGCAGCAAGCAGAACCAGCAGGACCAGCAGCAGCCACATAAGGAAGAGTTATCACCCAAAATTCTCAAAACTGCTCCTGAAACTTCTTCAACTGCCTGGAACCTTCCTGTGATGGATGAACCTATGGGACAAGGTGAACGACAGGAATTTCTCAAGAGCGAAGAGGAGAGAGGAGGAAAGGGGAACCCAGCAGCAGCAACCCATCATGTTCCAAGCGAACTTTCCCCAACTCCAGATGTAACGCCAGATGTAACGCCAGATGTAACGCCAGATGTAACGCCAGATGTAACCCCTGTGGCAGTTTCAGCTCAACAACACCTCCTGTCATCATTTGCCAATGTGCCTCGAGTGTACCCCCCTCCCTGGTTCCCCTTGCCTCGGGATCTCCCAGACGTGCCTCCTGCTGACGTGGACAAGGTTCGGTGCGTGCTTCGGAACGTGGTTCGGGACTGGGCGGCGGAGGGGGCAGTGGAGCGTGAACAGTGCTATGCTCCCATCTTGAGGGAGCTTCGTAGGAAGTTTCCTGGGCTGAGGAAACCAGAAAGAGACAGCAGCCAAGGGCAGCAAGCATTTTCAGAGCAGAATCAGCAGCAGGAGGAGCAGCAGCATCAACAGCAGGAGGAACAGGAGCAGCAGCAGCAGCAGCAGCAGTGGGAAGCACAAGCAGGACGCTTTGCCTGCTTCTCATTCCCACCCCCCCACCTGCCTGGTTCCAGGAGCAGGCTTAGGGAGGCTTGCTCTAGAAATCTCTCGCCTGGGATTTGAAACCCAAGGGAACGATTTTTCTTACTACATTCTCATCTGCTCGGGCTTTCTCCTCAATTACCCGGAATTTCCTGGGCAGTTCTGCATCTTCCCCTGGATCCTCAGCAGCTCGAATAACCTGACGGACGAGGATCAGCTTCGGCCCGTGCTTGTCCCAGACCTGGTGCCGAGCCTAGCGGGGATCACCGATGGATTCTCCATGTGCGCGGGCGATTTTGTGGAGGTTTACAGCCATCCGGAGCAGAGAGGTAGGCTTGGGGACATCCGAAGCAGAGAGGTAGGCTTGGGGGCATCCGAAGCTGAAAGGTAGGCTTGAAACCAGGCAAGGGTGTAGGTTTGGCACCATGCGAAGGGGGGAGCCATCCAGGGCAGAGAGTTAAGCTAGGAACCATGCGAAGCAAAGAGGTAGGCTTGGAGCCATCCAGTTGAGAGGTGTAACTTGGATCGCCAACAGCAACGGCCTTGGCCAGGTGACATGGTAAGTACCAGTGAGTGAATTTACACGTTTGCTTTCCCCCTGTGTTGCCTTGCCCCCCAGTTTTGTCCCCCGATCGTACATCCCATCTTCATTCCACCTTAGCTTGCTCCTGAATCCTGCCACAGATCTTTCCTCCCGTTCTTGCCTTCCCATACACTACCAATGCCCCATACACTACCAATGCCCCATACACTACCAATGCCCCATACACTACCAATGCCCCATACACTACCAATCCCCCATACACTACCAATGCCCCATACATTACCAATGACCCATACACTACCAATGCCCCATACACTACCAATGACCCATACACTACCAATGCCCCATTCACTACCAATGCCCCATTCACTACCAATGCCCCATACTCCCCTTTCTCTTCCTCTTACCATCTCTGCTCTCCGTGGAACCACCACAGGTGCATGGGACAGTGTAGCAACGTGCTTCTTTATTGATACAGCGCACAACATTGTAACCTACATCGAGATTCTTTATAAGCTGCTTCGGCCGGGCGGAGTTTGGGTGAATCTTGGCCCGCTACTGTACCACTTTGCTGATACAGTAGCCCCTGATGGGTCGGACGAATTATCTATAGAGTTAAGCGCAGCAGATGTGAAGAGAATAGCGTTACAGTGCGGGTTTAGACTAGAACATGAGGAAACGGTTACAGCAAACTACACTTCAAACCCTAGATCTATGATGAAAACAGAGTACACTTGTGTATTGTGTACTATGGTGAAGTAGCTGTAATGAGATTATTAGATCACTATGTGCACTTCATGGTACTGATGTCGGGTGCGCTACGGCATCCCTCAATTGATTCAAGCCTACCTAAGCTTCAATGCCATTCATCAGTTAGTATTTCCTGGTCACTGGTCTGTATGAAAATGTTGTAATCCAACGTGCTCTAGGGTTTATCCACTTCTCAAGACCACAGCATGTACCATTCCAACCCCAGCCCACCTATTGTTTACAGGTTCTGTTTGAGCTGGCCTGATCTTTGTCTTACCAGTAGTTCTCTCCATAGAAAAAAGTTGAAACAAATTCAAAGAATGTTCAGTCTTTACATTATGTACAGGAGACTGGCCTACAGATTTCACCAAAAAATCCTACTGTCTACAGTAAACTATGCATGCCACGCACCGACTACAGGAATTGCTACAGTCAACAGTCATTAGCATCACATCAACAAGAGTCACGTCAGGAGATCAGTACCAGCACAGCAACAGAAGCACCACCACCACCAATCACTACCCATCGGAGTGGAAGCAGTCAGAGCAGAATGGGCAGTAGCAACTGAGTAGCAGCAGCAGCAGGATGAGGGGGAGAAGCAAGCGATCAACCTCACCCCAGCACCTCGTTGCTGCAAAAATGCTCAAGCCAGCAGCTGAGCCTCAATCTCTCGAACAAAACTACTATCGTCAAAACTGAACCCCTCAGGTTCACACCCGGAACCATCCTCACCACCATGACCATCACCAGCAGCATCAGCATCAACATCTGAATCACAATCTGCCCCATCATCCGCATCAGAGCTCCCCACAGCTGCTGACTCTCCAACCCCCTCCTCTTCCTCATCCTCATGCCCCTCATCCTCCTCCTCCTCCTCCCTCCATGCATGTGAAACGGAGTCCTTCCCAGAAGCTTCTCCAGTTGCCACGTCAGCCTCCTCCTCCCCTTCCTCACCTCCTCCTTCCGACTCCTCGACTGCAGCATACTCAAGCCCCAGATCAATCGAATCACAGCCGTTCATCCATGCAGATGGCACATCCTGCAGCTGTCCCCCTTTCTTCCCTTTCCACCCCTCTTCCTCCTCCTGCTGCTGCTGCTTCTTAACCTGTGTCTCCCCCTCCTCTGCAGCTCTGACACCGCTCTCCACCACTCTGGACCACGGACTGTACACAGAAGGGCCAGCAGTGGAGCTCTCATGTGAATCCGCTCGCACCAGCACCTGCAGTCCCTCATCCTCGCTAAAAGCCTCCTCCATATAGTCCTTAAGATCGTCTTTCTTTTCCACCCCCTCCTCTTCTCCTGCCCCTTCCAACTCCTCCAGCACCCAACTGGGTAAAACACCCCAGTGTGTTGAAACACCACCCTGGGGTAAAACACCCTCGCTGGGTAAATCACCCTCGTGGATGCGCGGAGGAGACGCCTTCAGCAGCCAATCCAAGGGACCCGTTCCATCCTCCCCTTCCCCCGCGTTCCCACCATCTTCCTCCTCCCCTTCCCCTTTCCCCGCTTCCCCCGTTCCCCCTACCGTTTCAAGCCACTCCTTCATCGCACGTTTTGTGCTGCTAGAAACCTGCCACGTGTCCTCCAGCGAGCACAGCTCAGCGATCCCCGTCCCTGGAGCCGCCACGTCAGCAGGTGATCCCGTGCCAGGAGCACACGCGTCCGCCAATCCCTGCGCCGCCTGGAGACCCGCCACGTCAGCGCCTATCTGGCGCTCCGGCGTGTGATACGGCGTCATGTGCGGCGTGTGATACGGCGTCGCAGAGCCATCAAGCGCTACAGCCGGCACCTCAGCTACAGCGTCTGCTGCAGCCGGCAACTCCGCTACAGCCGTCGCGTGGGCCCAGCCCGCGAGCAATCCCGCTGCAAGGCTTCCCGACACGAGGCTCGTCTCTGCATCCGCAGCACCTGTCGTTGCACCAGCAGGATCATTCTCCTTCTCTTCCGCTACGATCCTCTCCGCGTCACGCTTCGTCTCCTTCACTTGTGGAGTCTCGACCTCTGCCCGCGATGCATCGACTGCCCGTGAATCTGCCCGTTGTGCTTCCTTGCCCGTCCGCAGCCGCTTGCCTGCCCGCAGCACTTCCCACGTGTCGCTTTCCTGGAGTCCTGATTCCCGTGGCTCCTCAACCTCCTCCGCGACTCGCGGAAGCCGATTAAAGCGGTCGTACGGTGCCGCGACAGTCCAATCACGAAAGCCAGAGTCCAAACGCGGCCCCGACGGCGAGAATTTGTCGGAGCGCGCAGCACACTTTTCCAACCAGACGGCAGCGCCGCCAGCGCCGGCGGAATTAGACGGGCCGTCGAATCGCGGCTGACGGAAGGAGAACGGGAATCCGCGAGATGCGGACACGTCGTCAGACGGAAAAACGAGAGTCGCCGCTGCCGTCGCTTCCGCCGCGTCAGCCGCTGCGACAACGTCTGCTCGCGAGTACTGCGCTATCAGATCGTTGATATGCGCCGATGAGTCGATTCGCGGCACGTCCACCGCATCCGCGTTATAGTCTTCCCCAGCATCATCTCCCGCGCCTGCTGCAGCCGCCGTCGCGAAAAGTCCGCCGTCCGCGTTATAATCTGCCGGATAAACCGAGTACGTCAGTCCGTGATTCCATAACGGATCAGCGAACCGCTCCTCGTACAAAACCGGCGAGTCGGCCAAAGCGCCCGTTAAGGACCCTCCTAGTAAAGAGCCTGCTAGAAGTCCCGAGTTCGACTCCCACACAGGACTCACCACACCGGAGGGACCCGACGGGAAGGCCACGTCAGCTTCCGCGGCTGCCGCAGGCAGGAGCTCCGGAAAAGCCGATTTCTGAGTCGAGTCAAGAAAAACCGCACCGTGAAGCCGAGCCTGCTGTGCAGCACCCGCAGAGGCGACGTAACCGCCGTTACTCTTGCCGTTCATCTTGCAACTGGATCGCTGTTCCTTATGCTGCGCAAGCTCTGAAAGCCCGTCCTGCCTCTCGTCTCTCCGGCGTTTCAACGAACCGGAAGCTAGGTCTGCAAAAGGCATCACTGGCGACTGCGTATTAGGCTGATATGGTGCGAATCTGAGCTCTGAGCTCGCGTCTATCCAGTGTCGCGCTAAGCCTGCTGCACCACGCGCTTCTTCCGAGGATAACCAAGACATCGTCGCAGCAGGAGAGGATTCTGGAATTGAAGTTAACTGAGACTGACACACTCGTCCCGCGGCCGACGCGGGAGTTGCTGCAAACTGATCGCAAACGCGGCGCGCACTTGCAGCGTCAACGTCTACTGCTGACGAGTTCTTTGCAGGCCGATGGCTGGTCCTTGCTGGCACTGACGTGGCAAACCCGTTTCTACAGGCGGGGGCTTCGGAGACGCGAGGAAGAGGATGAGAAGCGTCGCCCGTCCTGTCGGGGCAAACGCGAACCGTACGTGTGATTGTCCGAGGCTTCTGATGAGAGGTGTCAAGAGTGACTGTCCGAGGGTGTGACTGAGACGCGTTGGATCCGACGAACGTCATGCTCGAAGTTAAAACGAAGTTACAGCCGTTAGATGCTCAAAGCGAAGAAAGAGATCGTGAGAACCAGAATAGGTAGCCTAGGCGAGACTAGACAGGTCACGAGATACTACTACTAGGTGAAGTCTACTAAGGTTCTGTTGATCAACGCGCGCGAGGTTTACAGGTGTCAGAAGAATTTCGACGAGGCCAAGAAATAAGCTGTCGATAAATCTCGAACGGTGACTTCTCGATAGGGCGTACGCTAAACAAGGCGTCGAAATTGTCAAACTGCGAAGCGTGTGAAAACAAACAGCTAATTAGAAAAGTCCAAAGAGCCAGAGCAGGGTCAAATACTACTCTCGCGATCGCGATGAGACGACGATGATTGTTGTGATGTTTTCGGATCGGGCCTGGGAGAAGACGAGACAAGCTTTTGACTTGACGGAAGAACAGTCGGAGTGAGTGGAATGAAGAACAGTGGAACCGCTTTGGCTGGTCGAACGGCCTGTCTGGAGAAGTGTGATGTGGAATGGAAACTCTGAAGTTGGGTTTGACATAGGGACTAGCAGGAATAAATCACGGTCAGGTATGGTGCGTTACGGTGATAGACGGTAGCGGCCAAGAACCGTGCTGAAGAGTGTGGAACCCAACGTAACCGTGTCGACGCGCGGCGCAGGATAACCCCTGAGTGAGGTGAGGTGACGTGTGAGAAGAAGCCCTGCACTGATGGGAGGGGCACACGTGACGTGTTTGGTTGGTGCGGCGGTCAGGTTGGTTCGCGGAACAGATCGACAAACCACTGGAACCCTCGAGGGATTTCCAAGTGGCTGCTGCCGTGCTGTCGCAGGCGTGAAAGGCGGTGAGGCGGCTCGTCGGCGATTGGCCCAGTCTGATCACCCAACCAAGCAACGTACGTCAGAAGCCAGAGCTGACTGGCTGAGGTGAATTTCGTGTGGTTGCCTTGAAGTGAAATTCGTGGCTGTGTCACGCCGCTACTCACGGTTTGCGGGTAGGGTGAGAAATCTTGAGCTGAGCTCCCTAGACCGACAGACACATCACATTTCCCGAGGCGCGATGTTGATTTGAAAGCGTTTTGATGATTTCCACAAGGTCAAGTGGGTGCAGTCGCAAGATGGCCATCATGCGACGGGGAAACGGTTGAAGTGAGTCCTGCCGTTTCTTGTTGATGGAACACGTCACTGCAACGTTTTGATTAGCCGTGTGCAGGAATTTGGGCCTCGTCACTTGCCCTCCGGGCACAATTTTAAGTTACATCAAAACTTTTAAAAAGTTCTAGGTATGAGCCCTAGAATGTTCCGTGACCCAGATTGTTTGGCGCCAAACAACCACGCTTCCGCATGACCTGGACCTCGCTGTCGTGTGTCGCACGTTTCTCTCAATTGCACCCCGAAAAGGTTCATTCGACTCGTCCCTGTCAGACTCTGGCTTTTTGACAAGGTGCCAGCGCGGCAACAGCGCCAAAAGTGAGCATAACTCGATAATAGCAACTTCTCGCGGTAACACATTTCAAGGCGCAAGAGGTAATACACTTCTATGGGATCAATGAAAGGATGAGAGAGATACATCAAGGTGCGGCTGAATGCTCAATGGGGCAGACACCTTGAGACAGTCAGGGTTGGGTTCAGAGAGAAATTGTTATAAGAAATGACGCATATTCTAGAACATAGAGAAACTACCGTACTTTCGACAATATCACAATAGAAACAGTCACCACCCCATATCCACACAATGCTCCGCTCTTCCCTGCATTGTAAGAAATGAGATTATGGGGTGCCTTGGAATGTTCTAAAAGGTAACCTCATAATGCTCATTCCAAGATAATGCTTCCCTAAACACAATTACAGCTGCCACTGAGGTGCCTTCTCTCTCTCCACCCCTCCCTGCACTCCCCTGCTGCTCCTTCGCGCCATCCCTCCTCTTCCCCCAGCCCTTCCCACCACCCCCTTCCTCCCCTCCCCTCCCCGCAGCTCCCCCCTCCTCTCCGCCTCCACTGCCTCTCGCACCACCGTCAGCAAGTCCTCTATGCCCTCCCCCTCACTGATGAAATTAAGAGACGAGGGGGGTGGAGGGTTATGAGAAGAGAACACACACAGGGAGAGCAAATCATCCCACTGCCTTTCGCACCATCGTCAGCAGCTCCGCTTTGCCCTCCCCCTCACTGGTCAAATTGAGAGACATGGGATTGGAGGGGAGATGGGGGTGGGTGAGAAGAGCGCGCAGAAGGGGTATTGGGGAGGTTGACAAGGGGCGCCATAGTCACACCGCCATCACTGCCTGTCCCCATCAACCCCATCAGTGATGGCGGCTCTTGCATGCAAAAGCCGACTCACCGTGTGCTGATGTACACAATGGCAATGGGTGGACCCAGTCCTTCCAATGCTGATGCATAATCATCATCATGGGCATCAGCACTATCAGCTCCACCATCCATAGCCACATCGCCATCGCCCCCATCACTGCATGCAAGAGCCGACTCACCGTGCGCTGATGTGCACAATAGCACTGGGCGGATCCAACCGCTCAGTTGCTGATGCTTCAGCATCAGCACCACCACCATCCATACTCACATCACCATCACTGTCCATGACTCACCGTGCGCTGATGTGCACAATGGCAATGGGAGGTTCCAATCGTTCACTTGGCGATGCTTCGACATCAGCACCACCATTCATTGTAACATTCACGTCTGATTCAGCATCGGCAACAGCACTGCCTCTTGAATCCTCCCAGTCATCGTCCAGTCGGCTCAATGAACCCTCCTCAGTGTAGGCGCGAGGAGGGGAAGAAGAGGGAGAGGAGGGGTAGGAGGTATTTTTGCTGGTGATGCTGGCGTCAGCTTGTTGGCTTGCTGATGTCAGCTGAGCGATCTGACTTGTTAGGTCCGGAATGCGCGCACGAACCTGAAAGGAGGTTTGGAAGGAAGAGAGGACGAACGGAACGATTGGAAGCATGAAAGCAACGGCATGCAACCTGCCATGACATGATGCTATGGTATTCTTAGGTATGGTATTTGGTACTTGGATTTTAAAAGTCTGAAGACGTGATGCTATGGTATTCTTTGGTATGGTATTTGGAATTTGGATTTAGAAAGTCTGAAGACATGATGCTTTGGTATTCTTTCGTATTAGACACACGAGCATTCGTCATTTTGGGTGCTCGTTTGTTAGACATACATCCCGCGTTCGGGTGGGTCAATCTTGTTGAGCACGAGAACGTGAGGGCGTTGGGATGGCCAATGGGAGAACCCACTGTTTGACGAGTGACAGGGAAGGTCTCAGGGGAAAACCCACCTCGGGTAGGTCAATCTTGTTGAGCACGAGAACGTGAGGGCGTTGGGATGGCCAATGGGAGAACCCACTGTTTGACGAGTGACAGGGAAGGTCTCAGGGGAAAACCCACCTCGGGTAGGTCAATCTTGTTGAGCACGAGAATGTGTGGGCGGGACGTGTACTCTGGGTTATACATTCTTAGCTCCTGAGAAACAGAGCCAGGAGGAAACCGGCATCAGTTGGGAAAGACAAAGGCTGGGAATCTGAGAAAGTGGGAGTGGGAAGTGTACTGTGGGTTGTACATCCTTAGCTCCTGTGGGAAGAGCGACAGGAAGAAGTTAGTATTGGAGAGAAATGGGAGGAGAAATCAAGCATGAGGATATGGGAGCGGGACATGCACTCAGAGTACTCTGTCCCATACCCAGAGTACTCTGGGCTATACGTTCTTAGCTTTTGACAAGCAGAGACGGGAGGAAATTGGTATTGGAAAACACGGGTTTGGGAAACAACGAAGTTGCGAACAGGGTCAGGCACACACGCATCAAGCACGTGCAGCAACGCAGTTGGAACTGGCTGCTCATTGCCACGATGACCATTCAAACCATTCCTCACCTCTCTCAACACAATAAAGTTGTGAGCAGTATCAGGTGCAGACGCATAGAGCACGTGCAGCAGCACTCGAGTGTGGCTAGTAACCAGCAGCAGCCTGGAGAGTGACTGGCCTACTCACAACCGTTCCCATGCGCCCATCACCCTACCTCAGTTCACCTCATCTCGTCTCACCTCTCTCAACACCATGTAGTCGTGTATGGGACGAGGAGCAGATGCACCGAGCACATGCAGCAGCAGCACTCAAGGCACCACTTGTAGCAGCCCTTTCTACTAAATCAGTCACCTCAACGCACCTCACTGCACCACTTGTAGCAGCCCTTTCTACTAAATCAGAACCACTCGAGAGAGTGCCTAATCATTACCATTCAAACCTTTCCTCACCTCTCTCAACACCACGTAGTCATGAATAGGATCAGGAGCAGATGCATCGAGCACATGCAGCAACACCCGGGTGCGGCGCAGGTGACGCAGGAACATGCGACCCAGGCCCTGGAAATAATGAGGGGGGAGCGGGGGTGGAGCAGGGGAGGGACAAGGAAGGGTAAAGCAGAAAAGGGAGGTTGGGAAGATGCATCGAGCACGTGCAGCAGCACGCGGGTGTGGCGCAGGAACATGCGACCCAGGCCCTGATAAAAAGGGGGAAGCGAACGGCAGGGAGAAGGGGGGTTGAAGTGAAGCAGAGAAAGGTAGTTGGGGAAAGGAATCGAGCACGTGCAGCAGCACGCGGGTGTGGCGCAGGTGACGCGGGAACATGCGACCCAGGCCCTGATCTGGGAGGAGGCAGGGACTAGGGAGATTGGGGGAGGGAGGTTGCATGTGCAGCAGCACGCGGGTGCGGCGCAAGTGGCGAAGAAACATGCGACCCAGACCCTGGTGAGATTCGGGGGAGAGGGGGGGGGGGGGACGTGGGGGATGAAGGAGAGGATGTGAGGGAGAAGGGAGGTCAGGGTTGCAGCAGCACTCGAGTGCAGCGCAGGTCCGCCACATGCGCCCCTTCGATTCGATCAGCCCTGGCAGGTCCGCCAGGGTAGGTCCGTCGCCAAACCTTCCAACATACATGCTCTATCCATATCCCAATCACCTCCCCCTCAGTACCCACCTTCCCCACATGCGCCCCTTCGATCAGCCCTGGCAGATCCGCCAGGGTAGGCCCGTCGCCGAACCCGCCATCCGGACCAGCAGGATCGGCAGGCATGCGGCCCAGGTTAGGCATGAGGGTCGTGAACGGGTAGTCTGCTATTTCCGGCCGCGCTGCTGTTACTGCTGCTAGCAGGGACGATTTTCCTGCATTGGGGAATCCCTGATGCAGGTATGAGTGGGCAAACAGGGGGGTGGGGGGGAGACAGCAGCAGCAGCATGAGGGTCGTGAACGGGTAGTCTGCTATTTCCGGCCGCGCTGCTGTTACTGCCGCCAATAGGGACGACTTCCCTGCATTGGGGAAGCCCTGTTGTGGGTATAAGTGGGCAGATAGGGGGTTGCAGAAGATAGCAGCAGCAGCATGAGGGTTGTGAATGGGTAGTCGGCTATTTCTGGCCGAGCTGCGGTTACCGCTGCAAGAAATGACGACTTCCCCACATTGGGTAAGCCCTGAAAGGAAGGGAGAGGGATCGAGAGTGGTAAGTATGGCATGCGGCCCAGGTTCGGCATGAGGGTCGTGAATGGGCAATCAGCTATCTCCGGCCGTGCTGCTGTTACGGCTGCTAGCAGGGACGATTTTCCCGCATTGGGGAAGCCCTGACAGGAGGAAGGAGGAGCGGGGAGTGTGCGGAGGGGTTGGCAAAGGGTTGGTTGGGGGGGCGGAAATAGCAGCAGCAACATGAGGATTGTGAATGGGTAGTCGGTTATTTCAGGCCGCGCTGTGGTTACCGCTGCTAGCAGGGACGATTTTCCTGCATTTGGAAAGCCCTGACAGGAGAGGGACGGAGGAAGGAGGAGTGGTGTGAAGGGGTGGAGTGGAGTTGGCAAAGAGAGAAAGATAGCAGCAGCAGCATGAGGGTCGAGAACAGGTAGCCTGCTATGTCCAACAGCACTGCGATTACCGCTGCCAGTAACGACAATTTCCCTGCATTGGGAAACCCCTGATAATGGAAGGGATTGAGCAGACAAGTGCACAGGGGGAGTGGGGGGTTTGACAACAGCATGAGGGCGTAAATTGGCAGGTAGAGGCGAGGGTGGAGGAGACAGCATCAGCAGCATGGAGGTCGTGAATGGGTAGTCTGCTGTTGCTGTTTCCGGCCGTGCTGCTGTTACTGCTGCTAGCAACGACCACTCGCAGCGTCAGCTCCAACGCTACCTCCTCTACTTGCTCTTCTTATCCTCTTTCTAACCAACCACACCCTTTCCGCTTCTCACCCCGCCCCCTTCTCACCACGAGCCGCACTCCCCTCTCGTAGTCCCCGCCTCCAATCCCCTGCACTCACACAAAGCCACACATCAGCCCCCACTCGCAGCGTCAGCTCCAACACTGCCTCCTCGCCCCCCCCCTCCCACCTCGTTCCTTATGCCCCTCCTTCACATCCTCCCGACTAGTCTACTTCTCCCTTCAAGCACTCACCACGAGCCCCACATCGGCCACCACTCGCAGCGTCAGCTCCAATGCTGCCTCCTCAGTGACCTCCCCCCCCCTCTTCGCGTTTTCTCTCCTCTCCCCTGCCCTCCCTCCCCCCCCCCCTTCTCACCACGAGCCCCACATCGGCCACCACTCGCAGCGTCAGCTCCAATGCTACCTCCTCGAACTTTCTTTCCCCACTTGATTACTCCTCCCCGATCGCCCCATTAGTCAACCCCCCCTCTCATACCATATTCACTCACCACAAGTCCCACATCGGCCACCACTCGCAGCGTCAGCTCCAGAGCTACCTCCTCAGTGCCCCCCCCCCCAACCACCCGTTTTCGCCTCTCCCCTGCCCTCCCTTCCCCCCCTGCCCTCACCACGAGCCCCACATCAGCCACCACTCGTAGCGTCAGCTCTAATGCTGCCTCCTCGCCTGCTCCTCGTCCCCCGTCCTTTCACATTCACCCCACCAATCCCCCCTCTTGTTGTTGTCCCCTGCACTCACCACGAGTCCCACGTCAGCCACCACTCGCAGCGTCAGCTCCAGTGCCACCTCCTCGCCTTGCAACCCGTATGTCAGTTGCTGTGAGTGTGTGGGGTGGGGAGGGAGACGTGTGCGAGGGTGTGTGTGAGTCACGTGACGTCTTGGCAGGTTGCGTGTTTTGCCTCCTTGCAAGCTACAACCACCACTCGCAGCGTCAGCTCCAGTGCTGCCTCCTCGCCTTGCAAGCCATACGTCAGTTGCTGTGGGTGTGTGGGGGATGGAAGAAAACGGGGGGAAGATGGGGGGATTTGATGCTTGTGTAAGGCTTGTTTAGAAAACAGGAAGCACGATACCGTATCCTCTGAATGGGGATGCGGGAAAGGGTGGACGGCTGTGGTGCCTGCCGGTGCACTCATCACTGTAACCCGTGCCGATACATTCACAGGGCAGGGCGGCAGCATGCAAGCCTGGATACAGGCTGGGTGGTAAGGTAAGCATGCAACCAGCATCAACTTCATCCTTACCTTACCACCCAGCCCCCCTCTCCCCACCTCACACTCACCTTATCCTCTGGTGCACTCATCACCGTGCTGCGCTGCCTGCTGGTGCCTTCACATGGCCTTGTTTGAATTGAACCACAAAAATTATGACGGCCCTTCAATCCCCTACAAAAACCTCATGTCATCTTAATCACTCGCCTTCTCCTCTGGTGCACTCATCACCGTGGTCCCTGCTGGTGCCTTCACAGGGCCGTGCTCACCCACCCACCTCACCGTATCCTCCCCTTTCCACTCACCTTGTCTTCTGGTGCCCTCATCACTTTGCCCCCTGCTGGTGCCTTCACAGGTTGCTGTGCTGTGAGTGCAGGCACCTATTTCCGCCACCATTTTTCCCCCATCCACCCACCTTGTCTTCTGGTGCGGTCATCACTGTGGTTCCCAATGGTGCCTTGACAGGGCGCAGTGCGGGTCATGTCCAACACCCCCCTCCTATCCTCGCCAACCCCCTCACCTTGTCCTCTGGTGCAGTCATCACTGTGGTTCCCAATGGTGCCTTGACGGGGCGCAGGTGGGCCTTGTTTGACGCAGGAACCTCGTACACGCTGATCTGAGGGGATGCAGGGGAGTTGAGAAGGGTGAAGAAGGATTCTGAAGCTTCACAGCTGCTGCTCCCTCTCTCACAGGGAGCAGGTGGGCTTTGTTGGACGCAGGCAGCTCATACACGCTGATCTGAGGGGATGCAGGGGAGTGGAGAAGGGTGAAGAAGGATTGTGAAGCTTCACAGGCGCTGCTCCCTGTCTCACAGGGCACAGGTGGGCTTTGCTGGAAGCAGGCAGCTCACACACGCACATGCAGGAGGCACGGGTGGGAGGGAACAAGGAAGCTGAAGCTGCACCAGCAGGGCGCCTAAATTATAAGTTTCCTGCTGGTGCCGGCACCACCACCCTTCACAGGGCACAGGTGGGCTTTGCTGGAAGTAGGCAGCTCGCACACGCACATGCAGGAGGCACGGGTGGGAGGGAACAAGGAAGCTGAAGCTGCACCAGCAGGGCGCCTAAATTATAAGTTTCCTGCTGGTGCCGGCACCACCACCCTTCACAGGGCACAGGTGGGCTTTGCTGGAAGCAGGCAGCTCGCACACGCTGATCTGTGGTGTACGGTATGGGTGGTTAGCAGGGGAAGGGAAGTGGCGAAAATCCGGCGTGAAAAAGGTCGTTTTTGAGGCGCCTCAAAAACGACCTCAAAATCCGGCGTGAAAGACAGAAAGGAGAACTAGCACCCACACCAGAACCCTCACAAGAAAAGCAAAACCCTGAACCCAAAAACCCCTGCTCACAAAACATTGCTGCCTCTGCTCAAGCCTTCTATTTCTCCGATCTATTACAAAGTTTGCAAGGTAACTTCCATGCTGTAACAAACTGAGGGTACCAAGTCCCTAATGTTGCAGGTTGTTTTTGCTAATTCTCAAAAACAACCCAAACATTACTGCCTCAGCTCAAGCCTCCATATTCTCCTCCCACCACCACCTGCCCATCTCCGAGGCTTGCCAGATCTGGTAGGAAAGGAGGAGGAAACTGCAGCACCCTTACCAGCCCTTGCTTCCCCAACACACACCTCATCCTTCTCATTTTGCGATCCCAGACCCAACTCACCCCTCCTCTGCCTCCTCTCGCCACCACCACTTCATCGCCCGGGTTTGTCAGATCCGCCAGGAGAGAAGAAAGGAGCTTGCATGCCAGCACCCTCACCTCACCAACCCTTGCTCCCCAACCCACCCCCTCTCTCCCCCTCGTTTCATTCTCACGATCCTAGTCCCAACGCACCCCTCCTCTTCCTCCCGTCGCCACCACCACTTCATCGCCCGGGTTTGCCAGATCCGCCAGGAACTTGCCTCCCCTCTTGCGCTTCACCACCGTGCCTGGTGGAGAGGTTGAAAGGGGTGGAAAGTGGTGGAGGAGGTTGGGAGAACGCTAATAGATCAGCCAGGAACATGCCTCCCCGCTTGCGCTTCACCACCATGCCTGGTGGGTGGGTGCGGCAAGGGGTGAGGTGGGAAGGGGTGGAAAGGGGTGAAAAAGGGTAGAAAATGAGTGGGGAAAACAACCATTAGCCAGGAACTTCCCTCCCTTCTCGCCACGTGCCCTCCGCTCCTCGCCACGTGCCGCTTCTTGCGGTGCAGAGGCAGCAGCGTGGAGAGAGTGGGAGAGGGTGAGAGAGAGAGGGCGAGAGCGGGAGAGAGAGAACAAGAGCGAGAAGAAAGGGGTGTGCATGGAGCACAGGCCTCTTACCCACAGGAACGGCTATCCTTAGCACAGGCCCCTGCAAGCCATCAGGCACTCTCCTCACAAGCCCTCCCTTAGCATCCACGTGCCCTCCACTCCTCGCCACATGCCGCTTCTTGCGGTGCAGCGGCAGCAGCGTGGAGAGCGAGGGAGTGGGAGAGAGGAGCGAGAAGAAAGGGGTGTGCATGGAGCATTTTTGAGGCGCCTCAAAGTAGGAGCAAAGGCCTCTTACCAACGGGAACAGCTATCCTTACCACAGGCCCCTGCAACCCATCAGGGACTCTCCTTGCCAGACCCCCTTTCGCATCCACGTGCCATCCGCTCCTCGCCACGTGCCGCTTCTTGCGGTGCAGAGGCAGCAACAGCAGTAGCAGCAGCAGCAACCAGTGACTTACCGACAGGGACAGCTATCCGCAGCACTGGCCCCTGCAATCCGTCCGGGACTCTCCTAGCCAGTCCCCCCTTAGCATCCACGTGTCCTCCGCTCCTCGCCACGTGCCGCTTCTTGCGGTGCAGAGGCAGCAGCGTGGAGAGCGAGGGATCCGCGTGAATGACCACGTCTCCCCCATGCCCTCCCATAGGAACGATCGCAAGCCCATCTGCGTCCCTCTTGAAAGTGCCCACCTTCTTCATTGCCTTGGCCTTCTCTGCTTCCTTCCTGTGTGCATGTGGAGAGGGGGGCACGGTGCAGAGGCAGCAGCGTGGAGAGGGAGGGGTCAGCGTGAATCACCACGTCCCCCCCATGCCCCCCATTGGCACGATTGCCAGGCCGTCAGCATCCCTCTTGAACGTGCCCACCCGCTTCATTGCCTTGGCTTTCTCTGCTTCTTTCCTGTGGTTGGGGGGGTTCAGAGGCAGAGGCAGCAGCGTGGAGAGAGAGGGAGGGATCGGCATGAATCACCACGTCCCCTCTGTGCCCTCCCAAAGGGACGATTGCGAGCCCGTCAGCGTCCCTTTTGAACGTGCCCACCCGCTTCATTGCCTTGGCCTTCTCTGCTTCCTTCCTGTGGGCATGTGGAGAGGGGGGCACGGTGCAGAGGGAGCAGCGTGGAGAGGGAGGGATCGGCATGAATCACGACCTTCCCTCCATGCCCTCCCATGGGCACGATCGCAAGCCCATCCGCGTCCCTCTTGAATGTGCCCACCCTCTTCATTGCCTTGGCTTTCTCTGCTTCCTTAATGCGGTCGGGACGTGGGAGAGAGAGAAAGCAGAGGGTAAGGAGGGAGAGGGTTGGGGCGTGTGGTGCAGCGGCAGCAGCGTGGAAAGGGAGGGATCACACGCTGGGAGAGGGATCGGCGTGAAAGAACCTCCCTATGCAGCACGTCTCTCCCATGCCTCCCTATGGGCACCTCGCTTGAACGTGCCTACTCGCCAGCCATCCGCGTCCCTCTTGAAGGTTCCCACTCGTTTCATTGCTGTCACCGTCTCTGCTTCTTTCCTTTGGAGGGAGGACAAGAGCATGGGGCGTGTAGGGGGGAAGGTGTTTTAGCAGCAGCAGCAGCAGCAGCAGCAGCAGCAGCAGCAGCAGCAGCAGCAGCAGCAGCAGCAGCAGCAGCAGCAGCAGCAGCAGCAGCAGCAGCAGCTGCAGTCTCATCACCTTTCTCCTCCCATGCCCTTTCCCCGCATGTGCCCCTCTTACCCCTCCTCTCCATTCCTCTCCCATTCTCCCTCACCCTTCCTCACCTGCGAAGCTTCCTCCTCAGTTCCTCCGCCTCTCTCGCGTTGAGCTTCCCTCCCTTCAGCCCAGGCGTCTCCCCGGCCTTCCACGGCCGTGGGGGGTGCAGCACCGCGCCGTTTCCCCCATCGCCCGCTTTCACAAAGATCACCACCTGAATGCCAGGGGAAGAGACAATCACAGCAGACATGGATACAGGGGAACAGGATCAATCCAGGCGTCTCCCCGGCATTCCACGGCCGTGGGGGGTGCAGCACTGCGCCGTTACCTCCGTCCCCTGCTTTCACAAATATCACCACCTGAATTCCAAAAGAAGAAACAACCACAGGCGGAAGTAGAGGGGGACAGGATTAGCATCAGCTTAGGTTCTCCCCGGCCTTCCACAGCTGGGGGGGATGGAGAACAGCGCCGTTGACCCCATCCCCCCGCCTTCACGAATATCACCACCTGGAGAAAAAACACTATACGCGTTAAAAAACCTTCCACGGTTCCGCTCCGAGGATTACGGTTCGGGGTTTAAACCAGGGTTTGACCCGTAGGATGATCTGACAGTCAAAAGCCACCGTGAACACATCTCACGAAACACCCTTCTACCGCAAATTACACCTCACGACGAAACTATCCCTTGCCAGTCAACAACCTGTCAACGGAAGCCAGCGCCAGACTCACCTGGTCAAACAGTTTGTGCGCCTGCCTCAACTCGTCCTCCCCTCCTTCGTCCTTCGCAGCAGCCTTTTGAAATGTCTGAATAGTCAACAGAATTCAACGGAGGTCAACGGCGGTCTCACCTGGTCAAACAGTTTGTGCGCCTGCCTCAACTCGTCCTCCCCTCCTTCGTCCTTCGCAGCAGCCTTTTGAAATGTCTGAATAGTCAACAGAATTCAACGGAGGTCAACGGCGGTCTCACCTGGTCAAAGAGCTTGTGAGCCTGCTTCAGCTCCTCCTCCCCTCCCTCGTCCTTCGCAGCAGCCTTCGTCGATCCAGCGCCAGCAGCCGCGGCGATGACACTATAACGCGAGTGGCGCAGAATCTCGCTGTGCTGACCCTCGGATGTGACTGTACGCGGTATAAGGAAACCTGGGTGTAGAGAATGGCACGCGGTTGAGTTTCTTGAACGAGCTGTCCGTGACTGCGGTTGCGCTGTTTGCAGATTAGCAGAAACTGATTGGCTGGAAGTTTCAGTGGGGAGTCGCGCAGGAGTAAAAGAAAACGCGGTCCCGCCTGGTAAACAAGAAATGCGGGAGTTATTTCTTAATCCTCGCAGAACTGGGGTTTCTCTTAGTGACGCTCCGAAACTTAATCGGTCTGAGTCCAAGCGCGACGATGGAACGAGCAATATTCGCGACGCGGCTTGTTGCATTGCCGCCATGACAGCAGCTGCACTAGCAACGGAAAGTCCCACTTGGTTAGCGAGAATCAGCTGTATTCTGAGATCCGCGAGAATGAGCTAGTCCTGGTAGCGCAGAGCTTAACGCTTTAGTAACTAATTAGCAGGCAACCTGGTGAGAAGTTAGCTGGCGTTGATCGTATCAAAGTAAGACTTGGAGCCACATAGGTGAAAGCTTGAAAGCTTTCGGAAGCGCGCCTTCATTGACCTCGAACCTAGAGACTTGCGAGCGAGGGGGGAGGCAATGCGGTGAATGTGAGGAGGGTCGAACAGATCTATAGTACACTACACTTAGATATATTTTATCTGTATGCAGAAAGCAGTCGTTGTATAACAGGGACAACCCAACTTTGGTAGGCTTCAATGAGTGTCTCGGTAAGATAAAATCGCGGTCAAATTACACTTCGATTCGGTTCCCGTGTTTACAACCGCCGAAGCAAGCAGACAAGCAAACCATTATAGGGTTAGCTTGAAAGCGTCAGTCGTGATAATTCAGGGAGCAGCGAAAAGCAGTAGCAGGCAGCAGGCCCGCGCGATCCCCCCACACCTGCCGCCATCCCCGCCGCCAATCGCGCTGCGCTGTCCCCTCTCGCAATCCGCCATTCGCTCTTTGCATCCCATCCCCATTTCGCCCTCTATTTCTCCGAATTGAAAGCTAAATTCCAATCTCCAAATCTCCGCCGATCCCTTCCGCCATGGCTCCCCCCGCGGGCACCTCCCTCCTCGCGCGCGCGCGCCAGGCGCTCGCGAAGTTCGTGCGCCCGCCGTGGAGCTACACGGGGCCGACCGCGTCCGCGGAGTTCCGCGAATCCATCCCCGTGCTGGGGGAATACCGGCCATTTGCGCCGACCAACCCGCCCGCCAAGGCGTCGATTCCGCAGAGCGATCTCGACCGCGTCTTTAACATTAAGTACCACGACCGCGAGCGGCGCCGCGCGGTGTTCGAGACTAAGAAAGAGGAGCTTACCGTTGCGCAGATCATGGAGGAGATCCGCGGAGGCGGCGCGAGCGCGGAGGCTTCGGGGGAGGCTGCGGGGGCGGGGGGGAGCTCAGGGGGGGGTTCCGCTGAGTACTCTCCGCCGACCCCCGGAAAGTGGTATTTCCACGGGCAAGAGCGACATTTGAACGATTGCCCTGGCGACGGTTACCAGAAGTGATGTGCGAATTCGTTGCCTCGTCATATTCTTAGGTGTGTTCTTAGGTAATTCGTGGTTCTCGATACAGTTCGTACAATTTGAGAGGGAATATGAGTACTTCTTGGAGTGTATTTCAAGACACATCATAACGGGGTAAATCTTTGTTGTTACTGTACTGTTAATCTCAAATTTACTGTCCCTTTTCCGCTGGGTTCTTTGTGACGCATGAGCGCAACTCTTCGTTGCAGGAAACCCCTTTTCCTACCTCCATCCCCCCTCCTCCACTTCTTCTCCCCCGTTTCCCCTCCCTCCCCCCCCTCTTTCCCCCCTTTCCTCCCCCCTCTCTCCCCACTTTCTTTTGAACAACAAACCCCCTCAATCTGTTTGCCCGTTCTCTATCCAATTAATTCTGCCTTCCCTTCTGTTCTTTCCCCCCCTTTTTTTTCGTCGCTGTCCAATTGTTCATTCTCTTTCATATCGATCCAATCCTCGCCTACTGCTCCTGGACTTCACTTCAACCATCACCACCCCCTCGCCCTCCCCGCCCTCCTCTCCCTCCCCTCCCTCCTCTCCCTCCTCTCCCTCCTCTCCCTCAACTCCGTATTTTCCTTCCAGGCATTGCTTGAGTCTCGCCCTCATTTTCCCCCTCTCTCATCGACTTCTGAGACCTCTCAGATCTCGTTCTTCCCTCCTCCGCTCCCTTCCCATCGAGATCTTGCAGTGTGTTTCTATGAAGTCGTACCTATAAGGCTCCTGTCCATTCCAGGCACTCACATTCGTTCCGCACCATGCTGAACCGCATTGAACCAACTCGAGTCAGATATGCACTGGGCAGGATAGCACGTATTTGATGAGGTGCGAGTTTGAAATTCTTTCCACTTCCCCATCCTCTCCCAGGCCCACTTCCCCCAGTCACGCCTCCCCCACTCAGCCCAACTCCCCACATTCCCATCGCATATCTCAGCCCAGCCCATTCCCCCCATTTCCTTCTCCATCAGCCCAACTCCTCTCCTACATTGTGCGTAGCAGGATTAGCCCACATACCGGTAGCAAGCTGACACCCACACAATTTTCAATCCGTACAGAAGTTTATTGGTTAAAATGAACGCTACCGTACAAGGCTGCAACAAGAGACACATACCACAACAAACACACAAAACATATACATACATGGTCTGCTAGAATTGCCGAATGATCCTATCCCTGTACAGATTTATTTCTCGTATCAGCATTTTCCTTCTCTCCAACTCCACACTCTCAGCGGCACACTTACAGCACAGATGCTCTGGTACGTGCTCTTGCTGTGGTTGCTGCTCCTGCTCCTGCTCCTGCTGCTCCTGCTCCTGCTCCTGCTGCTGCTGCTGCTCCTGCTCCTGCTGCTTCCACCTGCAACTACTTCTCATAGTCCACTCACCCAAGTCAGCGCTCCTAAAATCAGCTACATGTACCCCAGAGGTACCAGGAGGGGGACAGATGCCTGAAGGACCTCCCCCACGCGAATTTCCATCGATTTGGCAGATTGGCAAGCCAGGATCCTCGCATGCAGGTAGGTTCAAGTCAGGGATGACCACTCGAGAACAAGGTGGCTTATCAATGCACGCCCGTCCTTCCATTAGCTGCATTAGCTCTCCTGCACGCTGCTGCATTAGCTCTCCTGCACGCTGCTGCATTAGCTCTCCTGCACGTCCCTCCACCAGTTCGGCTTTGATGTATTCACAGCGAGCTGCAACACAGAAATTTGCTCCGGAATCGAGTAGAAGCAGCGGGTTGCTTTGAGGCGCGTCAGAACTCGACTCCTGCACTTCGGCTTTGTTGTGGTCATAGCGAGCTCTAAGATCTTGAGACATGTTCCAGCGAGCTGTGATGCAACGATTTGCTCCAGGACGGGGTTGAAGCAGAGGCTCGGCAGACAGCACAGTGATTCCGAGCCTCTCCCTGCTCCGGACATAATCCGCCCAACTTGGCCCCGGCGCGTTGCAATTCAACATGACTGCAGCACATGTCCCGTCCCTCACAGAGCCATCAGCTTCTTGCATAGGCGAGATCCCAACGGAAAGTAGCTCCTCTTCTGGACCCTCGTGTGGCTGATCGGTGGTTGTCGTGTCGGCCATTTCAGCAGCAGCCGTTCTCGCCGTGTCACGGGATGCTGCTGGTGAAGCTGCGCCATTGGTTGCCTCTGCCATGGCTGCATGGCTGGTTGCTGCGGGAGTTGACGCACAGGCTCTGAAAATGATTGGAGTCGACTCAAAGCATGCTGCTGGGGTGGCTGCTGCTGCTGCTGGCGTGGCTGCTGCTGCTGCTGACGTGGCTGCAGGGCTGGTTGCTGCGGGAGTTGACGCACATGCTCTGATTATGTTTTCAGTCGACTCAAAGCATGCTGCAGCCGTGGCCGCGGAGGCGCTGGTCGCTGCAGGAGTTGAAGCACAGGCTCTGAAAACCATGTGCTGACGCCGAGCATCGCTGGCAGTAAAACAGTCGCTGTGGCGGCCAGCGTGGGTATCGTCGCGGCCTCTCTTCTTCATCCGTAACTCTCTCGCCGCATGATCTCTCACCAATGCCTTGGCCCAGTAACTCCGATGCCTCATACTCGGGTTACCTTGATCAAGAAGGATCCGGTCCGAGTGGGTTGAGTTGAGTCAAGGCGAGAGTTCCTGTGGAACGGGTCGCATGGTCAGTGCCTGGGGAACTGGCGGGTTCACAGCCACGAAGCACACGCGAGCCTTCAGAGCACCGCTGAAGACTCCAAGCCTTGGAAAAAACTCCCCTGAGGGGTTGAGCCAGACTCACAACCTCCTAGTAGGAGGGGATTGGAGAGTACCCTACTAAGTCGCCGACTTGAGAAAGAGAAGTAGCCTCATGAGAAAGAGATGGTAACCCATGTAAGGCTTCAGAAGGATTGGAAACGGCTGCTGCCGGACGGAAATTTCCAACATTCTCAGCTGACGCCAACGGATTCAATCCGCCGAATGTACTGGAGCCATGCCTCCAATGGCTCCGCTGAAAATCGACGATTCACGTGCATCCTAGATTCCGTCGGTGATGCGTCGTCCGCTTGCTCTCGGGCTGAGAGTAGGAGAGGCTTCGGAGTCTCGGACTGGAGCCATGTGAACCGGAATGGCGCTAGATCCACGCCTCCGTTGGCTCCGACGAACACGTGACGTTATCGGCGACGATTCGCCTCGACGAACAATTCGCCTCGGCGACGATTCGCCTCGCGACGACGATTCGCCTCGACGACGATTCGGCATTGCATCCTAGATTTCGTCGGTGACGCGGCGTCGTTCAGTGCTGCCCGGGAGAGGCTGGGAGTCTCGCTGGATTTCGTCGAATATTGTGAGGATAATCTGGTGAGTGTGCTGATGTCGATCGAGTGAGACGATGACTCGACCACATGCCACGTGCTACACTTTCTCGCGCAGCTTCCTACTAGAAAACGAGCGGAGCATGGTGAGAGATTGTGCAAGCACGTGAGAATGAACCGGCGACCAGAAATGAAAAGCGCATCGTGGTAGATCGATGATCCTATACCCCGCTATCACCCTACTCGGCTGATTGTACACACCAGACAGAAGCGCCTCTGCCGATCTGTTGGCTAGTGCCGTAGAAAAGGCGGTGGGTACCTTACCACTAGCGTCATTTAGTAGCAGTCGCCTACTAACACAGGTTATTTAGGTCAGCCCAAAAGGAACTGTGTCAGAACTAGGAGCGAATGTAGAATCGCTTGAAACTGCTTGATACTGTCCACACAGTTTTTGATAAGGCCTTCGGCTTGCTGTATTCTGGTGGAAAAATGTTATAAACGAACAGAACGGGAAACGCCGCCAAAATGACCAGGCGTGGGGGGTTAGATTCGAAGAAATGCTGCTGTGCACGTGGTGGAATTGACCTAAACTTGGGTGGAGATGAACATCATTCGCAAGTGAACAAAATTTCCGGAACCTCTAATACGTAAGTGGTATCTGTAGTTAAGCAAGACTTTTACAAAGGAGCATAGTTTGGTACGGGAAAAGCTTGTCATGAACATCAAGACAATAACATGAAACTCAAACCGAGGTACTTCTTTCGTACACTTCAAATTGTTTGTAACGTTTAGTTTCAAACCCCCAAATTGGCGAATCCAAACCCGATTCTGATCTCCTCCTGAACTCCTCGGATCCTAGTTCTACGCTCCGCTCCTCAGACATACTTATGAGAGAACAAGTATTGCAGGTGGTAGATGAAGAAATTACCTTCCAGTTGGAGAACATTGAGAGTAAAATTAAGAGAGCTAGGGGTGAGTGCTCAGTACACGGTTTGCAAACCGTGTTGGGATGCTCCGTGGGCGGATGCACCATACTTGGTAGACATGCGGGTTTAGGGAGTGGGTTTAGGGGGGGAGGTTTGGTTCGATGGGAGTGCAGTTGGGGTGCTTTGATGGGAGGGCTTGATGGTGTTTTAAATGTGTGTGCTATTGGTGTTTTCAATCTCAATGTGTGTGCTCTTTTTCTTCCTTCTTCCCTGTTTTTCTTCCTCCTATCATTTTTCCCCTATTCCCCGTGTGCCGTTTCTTCCTCTCTCCTTTTTTCTACTCACGTTATTCCTCCTTTTCTCCTCTCTTCCCGTTTCCACTCCTTTTCCTTGCGTAATTATGCTACATTGTAATATTATGTGAATACTATACGTATTGAGATTGACGAATAGATAGGAAACAGACACGGTTTGCAAACCCTCGTCGTAGTACTCAGTACAAGACACGAAAAGAAAGGAACATGCTTTCTTTGGGGTTCCCCTCAAATCACTACATTTATCCCCGCACATCGTGATGCAAATGGCTTTCCCGAGAATCCGTACAAGATGCGTATCACCTCGCTTTGTTCTTAGGGCGTGTCATATGAAATCTGTCTTCACACTAGAACCCTACTTCAACGTAGAAAACGGAAAATGAAACGCCCTTAAACGTACAGCGACGCATCCCATTGTAAAGAAGTGAACTCTTGTGACACGCCCCACCCTCCGTAATCTTTTCAACTCGCTCAGGACCGCCATACCCAGTGGAGCAGCATTCCAGGTGGGAGGACTTCCTACGCAAAGCCTTGCAACAAAGGCGGAGCAGTTTCGTCTCGCTGCCCACTCGGGCCTAAATGGCAGTTACAATCACGATGAGAGCATAAATAGTAGCGGGTAATGCTTTCCGCCACCACACATTCACCTCAGGACTCTCATTCCTCAGAACTTCAATCACCAAAGCAAACAATGGCTTCTGGAACGTCTGATGCACTTGCGAGTCACAGTACTCGCTCTGCTACGGCTAAATTTCGCGCACTGGCGGTAACTACGGCTCAGCAATTCGCATTACTGTCACAGCCTTCGTCGCCCGCAGATCCCGCTGCCAGCGCCAGTTTTACCAGACGTGCGAATTGCTCCTCGCCCGCCCCGAACACTCGCTTTCAACTGGAGACGCCGCAATCGGGAAAGTCCACGTCTGCTCCGCACGACGCCACCCACGCGCACCGAAGCGCACAATCAGAGACCCCGTCAACTGAGCCCGCTGCAGGTCACGGGCTGTCACTGCAGCAGCTGCAGCATCTGGTCGCTCTCACCGCCGCTAACGATGGCCCGCGCGACACGAGCAGCGCGTCTGTCTTCCCGTACATGTCGCCGTCCGCCGGGCCTCGGGGTCGCAGAAATCGCTTGTCGCTGGACTCGGCTCAACGGCGACTCGACTCCTGGAACCGCGCGAGCAAGCTCGAGTTTGAAAACAACTCCTTGGGTAGCCGCCGAAGGCCAGCGCAGCTGCCGGAATCCGCCGTTTCGGAAGCGCGACCGCAATCGTTCCGTCACTCGCCGCTCCGCCGCTCCCGGAGCGCGCACACGCTATGCGAGAAGGACAGAGACATGCTCTGTAACGACGCTACTATGACCGCGCCTGTCTGGCGGCCGGAAGGAGCGCTCACTTACGGACGGCCAGAAGGACCAACGTCAGCACTGTCAGCAGCAGACTCGGCGAACAGCTGTTACCGTCACGCGCGCGACAGCCGGCAACAGCTTTTTACACCGAATGCGAACTCGACCGTCCCCGTTCGTGCAGGCGCGCCGGTTCTCTCCGCGGTGACCGCTGCGGTGAAAAGCCGAATGCCCAGTCCGCTGTACCGAACCCCACTGCCTGCGTCGGTCGCGTCGCAAACATCGTCGACTCGACTCGTCGAGTTCCAGCGGCCATGGAGTTCGCCCTCGGTGAATGCTCGCGTGACGACGCAAGGAGTCACGAGCCACTATAATCAGTTTCGTTTACACACGGCCCACTCGGCTGGGTACCGTGCGGGTTCCGCGTCTGTTGCGTCGTTGAGTAGCAAACAGGGGCATTCGAAACAGCAGCTGCAGCGGGCGCTCAGGGACCCAGTGAGATCGGTGTTCACCTGGGCTGCTGAGCAACGAATAGCGTCCCGACGGGCACTGAGTGCTCAGCAATGATTTGCTGCAAACCAGCTATAAGACCTCGTCCCTCATCACCTGTCAAAAGGCACGTCAACGAAATGGTTATCTCATTTCACGAATCTAGGAGTGGCTTCCGGAGGGACTTGAAACTGATTGCTAATCTTGGGCCAATTCACATCACAGTTCCGTGCGGGAATTTCAGCTCCGCGCCGCCGACTCATTTTTGTGCATTCCACTTACGTGGTGTGCATTGCGGTGTGGCTGATGGAAATTGGCGAACCGCGAAGGCTCCCTGACCACGCTCAATGCGAAAGATCTACAGTATTTTCAGTTGTTTTTTACAAGGTGATTTACACGATTGGTTGAGCATGCTAATAATAAGAATATCACTTACACTGACAATTGATCAAGACATTGCAGCTCCATTGTTGTCATCATTGTCCTATGCAATGCACTACAAGCCTTGTGCGATCAGCTTTTTAGAAATCACATCCACCACCTCTACCATCTCCTCCATATCCACTCTAATATCCGTATCCTTCCCCCCACCTCCTTTCACAAGATAATAATGCAAATCGCTAACATAGGCCAAATAATCGTACAGATTGTTATCAAAATCTTCCGGCCGTGCTTCCAGCACGAACGCTCCAGGCGGCATGAAGACCATATTGGCCATGAGGGCCCCGTGAGGGGTTATGAACAGTCGAGCGCGGTTGAATAGCTGTTTTGCTTCAGGCAGAGGGAGATCTCCTCGGAACACCTGGGAGAGAAATGGTCCGAATGTTTGGGGAGCAGGGGGAAGACACGAGATGGGCAAGAGAAGGACACACAAGGGGACATATTGACCATGAGGGCCCCGTGAGGGATGATGAATTCGAGCGCGGTTGAACATTACTTTGGCTTCGGTCAATGGGAGGTCTCCTCTGAACACCTTCTGAGTGAGGCACACAGCTCTAAGCACACCTCACTCTTTCACCCCACTCCAGTGGCCTCTTCTCCACTCACCACAATCCTCTCATTGGAAAAGAACGCCAGAAGTTCCTAAAAGATGCGTGTTCGCCCCACAATCCACCTTGCTGTGTCACGCTGACCCACCACAACGTACCAATCAGAACTGGAAACCCACACCCATCCACTCACCACGAACCTCTGTTTTGGAAAGGATGCCTGCAGTTCCTCTAATATGTGTGCTCGCCCCACACACCACCCCTCCTTGTTGTGACACACTGACCCACCACCACCACACACCAATCAGTGGGACACACATCAGAACTGGAAACCCACACCCATCCACTCATCACGAACCTCTCTTTCAGAAAGAACGCCTGCAAATCTTCCAATATATGTGTCTGCCCCACAATCCTCTCCTTCTCGTCGTGTCGCTCTTGAGTCAATCACGCAGCATACCTAACCTAACCACATTCGTTCACCGCACTCAACCACTCACAATGATTCTTTCTTTTGGAAAGAACGCCTGCAGCTCCTCCAATATGTGTGTCCGTCCCACAATCCGCCTGGTGGTGTCTCGCTGACCCACCACCACGCACCAATCAGGTGTCGCCAGCACACCACTCCCTGCACCCAGCTCAGCAGCACCCCCAGCTGCAGCAGCTGTAGCAGCAGCAGTGCCAGTAGCATCTGTAGCAGCACCTGTGCCGGCAGTAGCGTCTGCAGCATTGCTGGAAAATCGCGCCAGCTCGAGCCGAGATTTGATTCTCGGGGCGGACGGCGGGAGCAGGTAATGATTGCGCAGGTGGCGGACGAGGGCGGCGGACGGGCGGCCGCACTGCGCAATGGACGGCAGGAGCAGGCGGCGAGCGAAGAAGAGGTGGTCCTTCTTGACTCTCTTGAAGTTGAGGGTTGATGCGTTGATGTTGATGAGAGAGAAGAGGCGTGCGTGCTTGTCCTGGGAGGGAAGAGAGGGGGGAGAGGGGAGAGATAGACAGGGTAAGGGTTGGGTTTTGCAGCAGCAGGCGGCGAGCAAAGAACAAGTGGTCCTTGCAGACTGTTTTGGAATATAGGGTTGATGTGTTGATGTTGATGAGAGAGAAGAGACACGCATGCTTGCCCTGGGAGGGGGAGGCAGAGGGGGACGGGGACGGGGGACAGGGGAGAGGAAGAGATAGGGTGAGGATGGGGAAAGGTGGGGGTATGTGGTAAGATCTGAGCGAGTAGGACATGGTCCTTGCGGACTGTCTTGAAGTTGAGCGTTGAGGCATTGAGGGTGATTAGCAAAAAGAGGTGCACGTGCTTGCCACCAGGTAGAGCAGAGATGGCATGGCCTCGAGCAGTGGTTGGTAGAAGGTTGGGATTGCAGTGGTAAATGGCAAGGCACACCACTGTACCTCATGCACTGAGCCGCACCTGGTCGATCTTCACTGGGATGGGAATGCCAGGTCTCTTGTCGAGAAACAGTCCCAGGTAGAGCAGAGATGGCATGGCCTCGAGCAGTGGTTGGTAGAAGGTTGGGATTGCAGCGGTAAATGGCAAGGCACACCACTGTACCTCATGCACTGAGCCGCACCTGGTCGATCTTCACTGGGATGGGAATGCCCGGCTTTGCTTCCAAGAACGGCCGCAGGTAGAGAAGGGACGGCATGACCTCGAGCAGCGAATGGTAGAAGTTCCCGCCGTTCCAATTGGCCAATGAGAGCAGCTCACTGTTCACGTGCACCTTGGTCTCGTTGCCTGTGTACAGGCCAAAGTCGAGGGGGCAGGACCTGCAATGGGGGAGGGGAGGAGGGGATCGAAACGCTGTGAAACAATGTGATGTTTGAACAGGCAAGAGAGAGGGGGAACGATGAGAGCAGGTTACTTCCACATGTGCTCCTTTCCTTGGTTTCATTTCATTGCCCACGTATAGGGCGGATTCGAGAGGGCAGGATCTAACCGGGGGTGTGAGTTTGGGGGAGAGAGAGGGGTGACACTGTCACACTTGAAAGGGGCGATGAGAGCAGGTCTGTTATACACGTGCAATCTGGTTTCATAACCCGTGTGCATGATACGTGTGCATGATACGTGTGCATGATACGTGTGCATGATGCCATACATAGCAAGCACACGTAGCACACATGCACACACACCACAGCAGCCCATGGCAGTAGTGGTACATGGCATCAAACATCATGCCACGGTCATCAATGATGGGTAACACACGTGTACGTACATGGATACATACACCACATAGGAAGATACCTGCACAGCAGCCCATGGCGGTAGTGGTACATGGCATCAAACACCATGCCACAGTCGTTGATGCAGAGATGGGGCCATACAGAGCACACATACATGCATACATATGCGTGCATACATACGCCACTCACCTGCACAGCAGCCCATGGCGGTAGTGGTACATGGCATCAAACACCATGCCACGGTCGTTGATGCAGAGATGGGTAACATCACAACAACACATACATGCACATGCGTGCATACATGATAGGATCCATGCTTGCACCCACACGCACTGCATACCTGCACAACAAGCCGTGGCGGTAGTGATACATGCCATCAAACACCATGCCACGGTCGTTGATAAAGACGTTCTCTAGCAGGAAAACCTGCAGGGAGCAGTAGGCGAAGGCGAAGAAGAGCAAGAGATGAAGGACAGTGATTGTTCAGCTAGTGTTGTTGGTGGTTAATGAAGCCGGTTGAGGGAGGGAGTGCAAATGAGCTGGAAAGAGAGAAAAAAACGGCTGTAACAAGTGAATGCGATGTTACGTGATGTGCGTGAGGGGGAATCTAGTCCTGAGGCGCCTCGAAACGAAAAACGGCTGTAACAAGTGACTCCAATGTGTAAGGAAAGGAACGAGACGTGAGACATGAGGACTGAGACGTGATGTGTGAGGGGGAAAGGAAATGTGAGGAGCGAGGGGGACGTGATAACGCAGGTTTATAACTCTAAGAAATAACCTGGGTGAAAAGTACATTTTGCCCTTCCTTCTAGTTGGATACAAGGGGATCAACGTACATTGTTCTCCTCAGATCCTCTATTCCCAAACCCACCTGTGCAGCAAACGGCTCAGCAATGGCCCTATCATAGGTCGCATTCTCCTTCACGTGGTTGTGGGGAGGCGAGTTGATAACAACCACACTACACCACATCCACCAACCACACGGCACCACATCGAACCACATTCAACCCCCCACTACCTCAAGCCACTCTCTCCCTCACCCACCTGTGCAGCAAACGGCTCAGCGATGGCCATGTCATAACTCACATTCTCCTTCACGTGGTTGGGAGGAGGCAAGATGAGTGAACACAACCACACCACACCAAACCACACCACATCCCACACAGTATCAAGCCACTCTCACCCTCACCCACCTGTACGGCGAAAGGCTCAGCGATGGCCACATCATAGGTCGCATTCTCCTTCATGTGGTTGGGGAGAAGCGAGGTGATCAAACCACTCCTGCAACTTATTGCCACCAGCAAGCCATTCTCTCGCACCCACCTGTGCAGCAAACGGCTCAGCAATGGCCACATCATAGGACGCATTCTCCTTCACGTGGTTGGAGGGAGGCAAGGTGAGCACAGGAAAGGTGTCCACCAAAGGAGACACGTCCACTGATGCCGAACCTAACCCCAACGCAGATGCCGAGCCTGATGCATCCATTGCAGCCGACCCTACGGTGTCCGACGGATTTGCATATGACGCGCCAAAAGATGCCGGCCCTGACGCATCCACGGAAGCTGTTCGACCAAATGCACCACCGTTGTTGCCTGATAACGAGTCGCTCAATAAAGGGTCGTTTCCGGTGCACGCCAATACCCTACCTGCCTGCCTGCGGCCAGTGCGGCAGCGGGCAAAGGAGGGGCAGGCAGGGGCCGAGCAGTGCAGGCCCTGAGAGGAGCAGGGGAGGGGTGCAAGGTGGAGAGGGGGGAGAAGGGGCTGTGAGAAGGCGGACTTGGTTCACCTTCATCAGCTAGAGGAGGGGCAGGGAGGGGAAGGGCAGTTGCAGGCCCTGATAAGGGGAGGGGAAGGGGACAAGGTGGAGAGGGGGGAGAAGGGGCAGTGAGTAGGCGGACTTGGTTCACTTTCATCAGCAAGAGGAGGGGCAGGCAGGGGATGGGCAGTGCAGACCCTGAGAGAGGGAGGGGAAGGGCGGTGGGAAGGTGTGTCTGCAGCCATTGCAGCAGCGAGAGAAGGGGGCAGGCAGGGAGTTGCAGTGCAGGCACTTATACAGTGGGAAATATCTCGCCCACCTGGAAATATCTCAAGTCCATGAGCTCCAGATCCTCATACACGATCTCGGGCAGCCACAAAAGTGTCTCCTGCCCGTCCGCCAGACCCTCTGGCCCGTCCCTCCGCACCAGTTCGCCCTTCCCCGCATCCCACCTCCACCAACTGCGTTCCTCCTCCTGCTGTGTGCCCTCTGCAACCCCCTCAGTTCCACCCCCGTTCTCACTCCCATGCCCCTTCTCGTTCCCACTCTCACCCCCTCTCCCTCCCCCACTCCCACTCCCATTCCAGTCCAATAAGTCTGATGTCTGTGGTGGACGCGTCTTGCTGCCTTCCTGGGCAGTCGCATGTGGACGCGTGTCGCCACCCTTTACATCAACCACATGTGGACGCGTGTCGCCACCCTTTACATCAACCACATGTGGACGCGTGTCGCCACCCTTTACATCAACCACATGTGGACGCGTGTCGCCACCCTTTACATCAACCACATGTGGACGCGTGTCGCCACCCTTTACATCAACCACATGTGGATGAGCGTTGCCGCCTTCCAGAGCTTCAATCTCTTCTTTTTCGAACTCCACCACTTGGCCAATCACGTCCTTGGAAGATCGGATCTGATTTGATTTGACCAGCGATGCAGATGCCACCTGCACAGATACACCTGCCCATGCAAGCACCCCCTCCCCCAGCCCACCCACCGCCTCCTGACCCTGACCCCACTCAAACCCCCTTCTCTCCCGTCGTCCCCACACTACCCCCCCCCCCAATCCCCCCCATCCCCCCCACCCCCCCACCTTCTCTCCCCACGCCCCTCTGTCCTTCCATTTCCCCCATTCTTCCCCCCTTCCCCCTTAACCCCCACCCTTACTCGATCCGTCTCAACATCCTTAGCCCATCCCCCCCCTCCATCCTTTCCCTCTCCCCCCTTCCATCATCCCATCATTTCCCCCATCCCTTCCCCCACCCCTTCCCCCATCCTAACCCCCATCCTTTCCCCAGACCCTTCCCCCATCCATCGCCCCCTCTCCTCCCCCCCCCCCCATCAAGCACAGCACCGCACGAAAGGAATGGCAACACCGTCAGCACAAGCGAGAGTGAGCCATTTCCTCAGTAAAAGTGACCTCACTTGCCCCCGCCCTATACCATGGCGTAAATTAACAGGAAGAGCTATTAGAAGCAATTGAATTCAACTGCTTATACAGCGGGGGTATGACGGTGACTGAGGGAGGAGGGTGACTGCGAGATGAGGGTGACCTGTGGGGAGAGAGCGATGAAGGCCAGCGCGACAACCAGGAGAACGCCAGAAAGTCGGACTTTTGGATCCATTTCCGCTTGTTTTCTCAGAGTAAATCACCCTTGAGTGCGAAGTTCAGCACTGCAAAGCTTCAAAACACGCTGCGTGGGCCCATCCGATGCCGTGAGACTGTTGACCGCATGCTGTATACTCGCTATAACCTAATCGCACGTGTACCATAAATGAAAGAATTGGTACTCGAGAAAGGATTCAGCATTTGCAATGAGCCGATGACGTCATGCTGTACTCGGTATCGCTGCAGATTCAGTACGTACGCCATCGGAAAGTCGAAGACATCGAAATTCGTAGAAATTTTAAGTGATGCAGCGGATGTTATGCCAGCGACGATGCTAGAGACAACAGACAATCAGAGCGCGATTTCCAGGGCACTGTCCTATATTTATGGCAGGGAACCGCGAGAGGGAGAAAAACGTTCGGGCCTATCACCTAACTGCGCGGGTCCAACCCAGCCACCTAGGTTGGTAGGCTGCGTACCGAAAGTATCATGGATTTCCCACACTGCCTGCCAGTGTTTCCTTAGGTAGGTACTCTCGAGGCAGGTAATCTCGAGGTGTGAAGTGCAACTGCAAGGAGATGTTCTCAAAGCAGTTGTTTCAAGACCTCAGATCTGGTTTGTCATCAGTTCGCATTTCAAGTTAGAATTGTTACGCAGCTCGGGCTCGGCTGGGAGGGACCCTCTGGAGAACCTGCCATGCCAAGCGTTCGTTGTCAATCTACGGACCGATTACCGTGCGGCAGCCTTCTCAACCGCACTGGACGATCACTGCAGAAATTGATACACACACCCCCAGTTTTTTTGAGTCAACCTAGCAGCAAGCGACAGCACCATATTCCCTAGCTATTGCGAGAATTCTTTTCTAGCCAGCGTGAGAGTAAATCACGTCTATGTCAACCGCTGCTGTAGGCGCAGCGCGAGCGGTGGTCGAGTACGCGCGATCGGGCCGCGCTGCGTGTCGGCACTGCAGCAAAGCGGTAGCTAAAGATGACCTGCGAGTCGGCGTCGTGACGAAAGGGAATGGCGGATTTGACGTCACGAAATGGTGCGAGCCCGCGGTTTATTCTTCGTTAAACGTAACGTTCCTTCTTTGAATCACACCCTTCTTCTAGTGTGCTTTCATTACTGGGCCCTCGATGTGAACCCTCTGTTTCCATCATCTTAAAAATAATAAAACTCCATGACTGTTCAGGTACCACCCACCCTGCGTCGCCGCGGCCAACTCGCTTTCCATAGAGTCGCCATCCAGCTTACAGGGTTTCACACGCCTAAAGGTGCGGACTGTTTCCCTCCGGGCTTCATCAACCCTTATCAGAAGACGCTCCAGATATTCTTCACGAACGTCGCTAGAAACAAGTGAAACAGAAATTCACATTTTCGTTTCCTCGTTTCGGCTCCTTATCCCACTCAACACCGTCACCATCCGTCTCTGCAGGTGTAACGCCTGTGGGCTGAGTGTTAATGGGCATTCCGCTGCGCCAAATAACACCCTCGTTTTGACCCAGTGGGTAGCGAGGTGTTATGGCAGGCCTTTTCAGTAACCACGAAAAGAGAACTCCGCAACCCTCTGAAACTGAAATTCTAAAAATCTGAGAATAATGTTCTCTTTCTTACCTGCCTTCATCCATCCGTCCGTTTACCGGCAGCAGGTAGCAGCTGTCTCTTCCGGGTCGTTGTCATGAGATGGGATAATGGATGAATTTCGTTTAGTTGAGTCAAAAGTCGCCCACCTTCCGAACTGTTCTCACAGGAATAATGGGAGATCACCTGAACAGGAAAATCGTAATCACTTCCGATCCCTTTTCATTATGTGCAGAAGAAATCAGTTTCAGCCTTTCAGGCCTACCACCAGTCGTTTGACCATGAATGCCGCCATGCCATTCTCGGAACGATGCTAAACGGAATCTTCTGCCTTCGTCTCTCCCACTCACCACCCCAGCCGTCCGACCAGCAATCCCTCCAGGCCATTCTCACGAGAGCCTCTGCTGCTGCTGCTCCTGGTGCTTCCTCCCCTGATTCACAACCTGCCGCCGCCGCCGCCGCTGCTGCTGCTGCTGCTGCCACTGTGGTCGCTGCCGCTGCTGAAAGCGGGAGCGGTGGGAAGGGGAAGAGGGTGATGGAAGGAGCTGCGGGAGAGGAGGGGTGTAGGGCAGGAGCGGTGCCGAACGGTGTGATTGAAGCTGGGGATGCTTGTAACGCGGATGGGAGTGGCAGTGAGGACTCCGATGGACCTGAGACGAAGAGGAGTAAGGTAATGTGGCTTTCTGACCTTGGGGGAGAGGGGGAGGGGGGAGGGGGGGGGGGGGTGTTTGCTAGCGAACGTGTTGCTTGAGGGTTCTCAAAATGTTACCCGAAGAGAAATAGGGTATTGTTGTTGTTACCATTTCTTTGGGGCGGCTGCTTGCTTGCAGTCGTGCTCATGCTTGTGAAGGAGTTGCGGTTGCCATATGGTGCAAATATTTCATACTTGTTCGTGCTTTGACTTGCAATTCGTGAATGTTTCATGCTGTGAAGTCATTTTTGCCATGTGGATCTTATGTGAGTGGCTTACGAGTCTCCACCTCTTTTTTCACCTCTTTCTTCTCCCCTCGTTTTACTGATTTCGTTTTTTCACCTCTTTCTTCTCCGCCGTCTACCCTGCTCCTTCACCTGCTGTGAAGAAAGTTCTGGGAACCTTCTCCCGTCAGTCACTCAAGGGGGAGTATAAGGTGAGTGTGGGTGTGCCGAATGGGGTGGCTCGGAGAACTCTTCTAGGGTGGTCTAATAAAGAGGAAAACGGATTGTCAAAGTGGCACACAGCATATTGACTTGACATGAGGAAGAACCAAGTAGGAATTTGCAAGATGTGCAATGCAAGGCGTGCATCTTGTCCAAAAAATGCACCAAAGGAGAAATTTCTAAAAGTAAGTTGTTTAAGAGGGAATCGGATTGGCAAAGTGGCACACTGCTATATCGACATGGGGAAGAACCAAGTAGGAGTTTGCAAGATGTGCAATGCAAGGCGTGCATCTTTTCCAAAGCAGTCATTACTAAAAACGGCAGCAGACACATGGTGAGGTCGTTGACGGTGCTTGTGAGCATTCGAATGGAACACTAACTTTTACCATTTTTTACTGGTGGGTACCAGGGTGAGCCAAGCGGGGCGGCACAGCAGAGAAGGGCAAGGCCTCCCGTTTTTACTGTAGAAGAAGGGTTAGAGGATATCAGTCGCTATATGGTCCCTGAACTGTTCAAGCCCCGTCTTCGACGTGCCATTGCAAACTTCGTGGCGGGTTGCAACATCCGAGTTGAGACAATTGATTCACGGGAGGTGAGTTGTTTCTTGGCGCGGCGCAATCATGCATTTTTCTCGCTCTGCCTTAAGCTGTTTCTTTAAGGTCCATAATCTAGACAGGTCCAAACCCTAATTGTGTCAATCACTGGCCCTCTTAACCCTCAATGTTACAGTTCCACCACATGCTCATCACATGCAACCCACTATGCGGGCAGCCGGGCATGATACCGCCTAGCTGGTTAGTCGAACGCGACGTGGCCGAGCTTAAAGCAGCTCGCAAGCGCAAGAGGAGCAAAGAAGGCACTAGTAGAAATGGTCGAAGAAAGTACTGAGCGTAAGGAAGGGGAGAGGACAACAAAAGAGGAAGGGGAGAGGAGTTCTTGGTGCGGCTACGGGAGTAGGAGTAGGAGGTTGCCTCGAAGCACCCTTTGAGACTTTTGGTATGGCCAGTCTCATACTAGTGCACTAAGATGGACTTACCAGCTTTTCAGTGAACAAATGTGTGGTCACTTATTTGTCACCTGGCAGATGCTCAGCTTTGAGCATGTTTGTGCACTTGCTTGACCCGTAAGTTATGGTTGTTGATTCTACCATGTCGATCATCGCAGTATGGAGGATTTGGAAGTAGTGCGAAGTTTTGAAGTTGCTTGTGCTTCATTGTTTCAACATTTAGTTTCCTGTTTTATGATTTAGCAGACTCTCGCAGTTCTTTGAGTTTTGAGGATTGCTTGACTTGTTTACCCTTACTTGTTACACTTGGGGGCCTGAAAAATGGTTTTTATAAACATGCACGAGCATCGAATCAAACTACTCTTTGTTTGACAACAATCAAATCAAACCTTTTTCTAGCTTAAAACGTTCGCAGGATTGGGAAACGGTTGGTCGAACCGTTCTTCGAAACCTTTTTTGTCCGCTTAAGTTGCGTCGAACCTGAACAGTTTAATGCAGAAATGCATGAAATGTGACTAACACGCATATGGCAATTTGAAAAAGACATGTTGGCGTTTATGACGAACCAGGGTTCGACTAGGCTGTATTGGACCTCGGACCTTATAATAGGAAAGAAAAAAAAAAGGAAAAAAAGAGAGAGAAAAAAAAACATAAATGGTAGTACATGTCGTCATACTAGGTATTAAGCATTGTACTTGCTATCGATCATTAAGCTAACTATCAGCCCTCCTGTTCAAGCGGCAATTATATTCCTTGGTGTTGGAGCGGGTTGCATGAGACATGGGTGGAGAGAAATGAGCTCAAACCCACGATTTGTAGTTGGGAAAGGGCTTTTAGCGCGCTTCGTTGATCCCCGTTACAAGCAGATGAACTTTCAAAAGACGTAATTAAAGGGTGTTTAAAAGTTATCATATTTGTTGCTAGATGCATCTCGACATGGCTCGACTCGAACATGTTCGGGTTTGGTTCGTGCTCATGACTACGCGGAATATGCTTGTGTGAGCCAACCATGGCAACAGATGGAAAGCGCGAAGGCCTAGATGGGGCTGGGTTGCGAGAGGTGCGAGGAACTGGGAGGGGATGGTTGCGTTGCGAGTGGCTGAAGGAAAGGGGCGAATTGGAACGCGGGATGAGTTGGGGTGCGAGACGCACGGTGGGCTAGAGAGAAGCATGGGTGGGAGGCGAGAAGGACTAGAGGCAGGGAGGTGGGTTACAAGAGGTGCGAGAAGCTGGGAGGGGATGGCTGCTAGCTGCTAGAGGGAAGGGGCAAACTGGAATGCGGGAGGCATGATGAATGAAGTGACAAGAGGCGATGGACTCGAGAGAACCTGAGGAGCATGGTTGCGGCGGCTAGAGGGAAGGGGCGAATCGGAACTTGGGAGGCATGATGAACAGGGAATTTTGATGGAGGGAGAGGGAGGAGGTGAGGGGCAGGGGAACAGCTAGAACTTGCTACTCTTTCTTCCTTCTCCTCTTCTCCCTTTCAGGGCGTTCCACTTCCTCCTGGCTGGTTCGCATTTTCCTCAGTCATTCTTCATGAGGTATTCCTTTCTGCAATGCCTTCCCATTGTCCTTGTGCTAGTCTCCTCTGCTCCATGTGTACGCTGCCTCAAAAGCAGTGATTCTCTCATGCCCCTCAGTCATCCTTCACGAGGTGATTCTGCAATGCCTAGCCATTCTCCTTGTGCTATGCTCCTCTTGAGTCCCCTCAAGAATACACCTTTTCCACTCCGGTCATTCCTCCTATTCTCTTCGGCATCACCCATCACCCGAATCCCCCTTATGCAGCCCATCTCATCCCATCCCATCCTTTCTTTCCTCCCTATCTGCCCCTCCTTCCCTTCAGAGCCCCGATTTAAAGCCATCCAGCCGAATTGCTGCCTTTGATTTTGATGGCTGCTTGGTCAACACAAATGTGCGCATGTGAGTGCTGTAGGTTTAGGGAGGGATAGAAGCACGTGCACAGTGCGCTGCGCATGCTTGCAAGTTGAGCGTGGCAGCGATTGATGCCTTTGCCTTGGTCAACACGAATGTGCGCTTGTTGGTTGGGGCCGGGGAGGCGCGGGAAGGGGTTGCGGGTTGGGGGTTGGGAACAGTCCTGCTGTTTCGTCAACAATAATGTGCGCATGTGAGTTGAGGGCGTGGGGATGGGAGGTGGGATTGGGGAGAGGAGGAAGGTTTCGTTTGGATGTGCTTAGTCAAATCTCATGTGCGGATGTAAGCTGAGGGCATTAGCGTTTGGAGAGGCGGGAGTGAGTGCATGTGAATCGAGGGCAGGAGGCAAGAGTGAGTGCATACATGCATGTGTGAGTCGAGGTCAATGTGAGTGTGTGAGAGGAGTGTGTGAGAGGAGTGTGTGAGAGGAGTGTGTGAGAGGAGTGTGTGAGAGGAGTGTGTGAGAAACAGTTCCCAGCGTGCTGCAGAAGTCTCACTCAACATCCATCTCTCTCCATCCATGTCAACTTCCCCCCTTGTCCACACAGCATGGGACCAAACGCCTGGTCTCTCATGTTTGAAAGAGTCCCCAGCGTTCTGCAGCAGTTTCACCAAGCGGGCTACAAGATTGTGAGTCTTACTACACATTTGAGATGCTGAATTACATGCTCGTTACGTCCTAAAATGCTCGATATCTTCTCTCTGATTTCCTTCTGCCTGCTCGATCTTCATCTTTGTTGTCAGGGAGGACAAATCTTCATTGTTTTGGGGTCACCTTTGTTTTCATTACACCATCAACCTCAAACAATGCAACCCCGACTCTCGAAACCTCAAAGCTCAATCATCGATCGCTTCACCAAGAAGGCAGAAGTGCTACCTGGTGTCACCCTCCCCTCCACATCAATTCCACACCTCACCAGGCCGTCTTCACCAACAACGGGTCCAACATCAATCGCATCACCAGGCACACTCAAGAGCGGTACCAAGTGATCTGACACTCAAGAGCGATACCAAGTGATCTGACACTCTTTAAGAGATTCCAATGTCAACCCTCCTCCACATCACCCCGACCCCCTCAACAGGTAATCTTCACCAACGAGTCAAACATTGATCGATCCACCAAGCACACTCACGAGTAACCTCACGCCTGAACTGAAACCCAACGTCAACCCTCCGCCTATTTGATCCTTGTGTCAAGACCATCTCCCCCCCACTCTCCCCCCACCCCCCCCCGGTGCCAGGTCATCTTCACCAACGAGTCAAACATCAATCGCTTCACCAATCAGTGCCACAAGGCCATTGAGAGCACACAGGAACAATGCCTAGACCCTGTAACCCCAAAACTCAAACCCTGTCCCCCCCTGTCAACCCTCATCAGGTAATCTTCACCAACGAGTCAAACATTGATCGCTTCACCAAGCAACGACACAAGGCCATAGAGTCAAAAATCGGCCGGCTGAATGGATTCATGCGCTCAGTGCCTGGCGTGCCCATGCAGGTAGGTGTTGTCTTCTCAGGGTGCTTGCAGGGTTGCAAGGGAGGGGTTATGTATGAGAGGGGGAGCTTCACCAAGCAAGCAGCGACACAAAACCATTGAGAGCAAGATAGGGCGCCTTAACGGGTTCATGTGCACAGTCCCAGGCGTGCCCATGCAGATATGGATTGTCTTGTTAGGGTGCTTGCAGGGTTGCAAGGGTAGAGGTTATGTATGAGAGAGGGTGCTTCACCAAGCAAGCAGCAACACAAGGCCATTGGGAGCAAGATAGGGCGGTTGATTGGCTTCATGCGCACAGTCCCAGGCGTGCCCATGCAGATATGGATTGTCTTGTTAGGGTGCTTGCAGGGTTGCAAGGGTAGAGGTTATGTAAGAGAGAACGGGAGCTTCTCGAAGCAAGCAGCGCCATTGAGAGCAAGATCGGCCGGCTGAATGGCTTCATGCGCTCGGTTCCAGGGTGGCAATGCAGGTGTGTGCCGTTTGCAGTGCGGGTGCCTGTTGCATGTGTGTGCTGCATGCAGGCCTCTGTTGCCGGGTTACATGGGTAGCGATCAGATGACACACACCATGATGCCAGGAGTGTCTTTCGAGTCGACTCAAAAGTCACCTTGCTGCATGCAGGCCTGTGTTGCCGGGTTACATGGGTAGCGATCAGATGACACACACCATGATGCCAGGAGTGTCTTTCGAGTCGACTCAAAAGTCACCTTGCTGCATGCAGGCCTGTGTTGCCAGGTTACATGGGTAGCGGTCATATGACACACACCATGATGCCAGGAGTGTCTTTCGAGTCGACTCAAAAGTCACCTTGCTGCATGCAGGCCTGTGTTGCCGGGTTACATGGGTAGCGGTCATATGACACACACCATGATGCCAGGAGTGTCTTTCGAGTCGACTCAAAAGTCACCTTGCTGCATGCAGGCCTGTGTTGCCGGGTTACATGGGTAGCGGTCAGATGACACACACCATGATGCCAGGAGTGTCCATGCAGGTCTGTTCTGCCGGGATGCAGGTGTGGCTTTAAGGTGTCTAAACGGCAGGTAGGCATAAATATGGTATCGTGCGAGAGAAAGAGGAGTTGAAGTGAATGGACCATGGATATAGGGATGCAGCAACCCAAGGGACATGTCTCGGATGCTACATTGTTACTTGAATTGAACTGACGCGAGTTGAGCTGAAACTATTTTTTTCCTCGTTCTCTCTCACGTTTCCGTCTCCCGTCTCTCCGTTCCCCCTCGCTTCTTCTCCTTCGCTTCTCCAGATAATCATATCCTGTGGTTGCAGCAACTCAGGGGACCTCTTGGAGAACGTATCATTTACTCACTTCCCCTTCCCCCTTCCATCCCCTCCCCTCCTCCTCTCCAGATCTTCATCTCCTGTGGTCGCAGCAACTCAGGGGACCTGTTCCGGAAACCAGAAGGGGGGCTTTGGCATCTGCTATGCGAGTGTGCG